TTTGAATGAATTTATTAAAAAATTTTTACTGAAAACATATGAATGATCTAAATATATTTATAGAGAGAGAGTTTTAATAGGAAAAATTTTTTTATAATAAAATTATATTAATATATTTATTAATCACTTTTAAAAGTAAAATTTCAAAAATAAATGTCATCATTCATTTAGATCACGGGAAGTATACAAGCTGAAATATTAAAACATTTATTAATTAAAAATTATATTATGAATGAGATTTTTTAATATTTTTAAAAGTATTATCTAAGGTATTTGCAAGATGTGTTATCGTATTTCTCAGACCGGGAATATAAAATTGTTAGAACAGGTTCGGAGCTTCGGAGCTCCAATGAATAAATAAATAGAGTTGAGCCGCAAGTTCCGATTCTGCTGAACATCAAGTAATTTTTGTCTTCAGATCGTGTTCAGGTTTATAGCCTATGTAGTTTACAATTCAGAAGAACCCTAGTCGATTAGCTAATTAACAGAGTTTTAAAAATGAGATAAAATATTCACCGTTAATCATCAGAATAATCAACAAAAATAAAAATATAATCCTTATATTCAACAGAACTCCAATGGCCGAGTTACAAAGATCAGTATCACACTCATGACAAGTGCATCTACTATCATCAAAGCCGAATATCTTTTTAATCCACCCAGATAATTTGCATCCACCACAACCTTTTGAATATCCATCTGAATATTTGCATAAAATTTATTTAAAATTTAGGGCCGATTCAGATTCCATTGAAAACTAGGAATTTAAAGATTCTGAGTCCATTAAAATAATTCTATAAGTCATAACTACACCAAAGTTTGGTGTGTTAGGGACATTTTCCTAATGTATTCCGTACTTAAAATATTCATCCACCGATTCTTGTCCCATAAACATACAAAACTTTGTTGAACTCGTAATTATTCATCATACTCTTAAACTTATGTTTGGACTTCTTTTGAACTCATAAATTTTCAAAAGACTAATAAAGCTTAGTTGGACTAATAAAGCAGGGGTGGGCTTAGTCTTGTGTCATATATCGTGTGAAATCTCGTGTTTTTTAGAGGTCTCGTATCTCACTCGTTTTATCTCGTTACCGTATTTTTTTGAGAATCTCGTATCTCGTGAATCTCGTTCTCGTATTTTGTGGGACTCGGCCCACTCCTGTTATAAAGCAAAGAGATACAAAGGGATGGTTTAATTTTTAATCTGCCAAGGATATTACGGTCTTAAAATTAAAATTTAATTTTCTAATAGACTAACATTCTCCACAATCAATTTTGCTGCATACATGATCCCATAAAATTGTCGTGCACTTTGTTAATTCAAGTTTAGAATGTTTTCCACTTGTTGTCCAAAAATCTTCTTCCTTATAACATTCGATGGAGTCTGGCAACAAAAATAATATTTTTTTGATTTTTTATAATTTACCTCCACATTTAAAATTCATTATCAGGAAAAGAGTTAAAATATTAATTAATAATCCCATTTTTAATTTATGAATTATTTAAATTTAATTTAGAATAAATAATTTAGTTAAAAATATTTTAATAGGAAAAATAATCGTTTTTGAATGATTAACAATTTTTAAAATTATTATTATGATTCTAAAAAAAGTAAAATTTCAAAAAATAAATGTCAATATTCATTTAGATCACCGACAGAATATAAGCTGAAATAATTTTGAAATTTATTAATTAAAAATCAGATTATACATTGATTATTTAAATTTTTTTCATGTTATAGATATACAGGATACTGTATTTCTTAGGCATGGAATAAAAATTGTTAGAAGGGGTTCAGTTTGTAATTATTATCCAGACGCGAGTTTTGATTGACTAAATATTTTTTGACTTTAGATTTTATTTCGAGACACTTATAAAGTAAAGCAGCTGGGCTTTTAGCTATTTCTCTCTCTTAGCTAGTGCAATTAGGCATCTTCAGTAGATCGGACTGATGTGTTACCTTTACACCACGCCATCTACTACACAGTCTTAGAAATTAAATAGCTATATGCTTTACAATAATTACCATTAATTATCATGATAATCAAGCAAAATATAAACATAATCTTTGTATTTAACAGAAAACCAATGGCCGAGTTACAGAGATCAGTATCACACTCATAACATTTGCATTGATTTTCCTCAAAGCCTAAGAGTTCATCAAGGCCATCATGTAATTTACAACCTCCACAATTTTTTGCAAAGCCATCTAAATTTTTTATTAAATATATTTAAAAATTTTAAGGATTCTATTCTTATGTATAAGGATACCAAGATTTTCCTAACATAAGCAATTAATTATGTAATTAACTAACATTCTCCACAATCAAATTTTTCACATAAATTAGCAAAATCTTCGGCATCGCACTGTTCTAAAGGTATTATATCACGTGCTCCAGTTTTATTAGCAAGATCTTCTTCCCAATAACATTCGATTGTGTCTGTTAACAAAACAATATTTCTTTTGATTTTCTAAAAATTTACCTCCAAATTTAAAATTCATAAGTGCGGAAAAAGTCAAAATATTTATTAATAATAATCCCATTTTTAAATTTAAAATAAATAATTCAATTGAAAGTTTTTTTATCAAATATATATGAATGTTTTAGATATGTAGAGAGAGTTTTTGATAGGAAAAAAATTTTTTTCTGATGAATAACTCTTTTTTAAATTATAATGATAATTTTAATAAATTAATCATTAAAATAAAAATATTAATAATAATTTTGAATCTGTAAAAATTGAGCAAATTATACTAAATTTTATATTTATTTTAGTTGAAATTTTATTCAAAAATTAAATTTTTAAACGACAAAACATTTACAATCATCGTATCATCATTCATTTAGATTTGTGGAGAATAAATGCTGAAATGAATTTATCAAGTAAAAATCAGATAAGAAGTATTTTATATCCCCTCCTGGTACACATAGGAATTAGGTAACTATTTGCTCAACAATGCCTATTAGAAACTGGTTAGATTTCATGGTCTGGGCATATATCGGATGTTCAGATTTTGTTTGCTAGAATATTCGTGATTTTTGATTAAGGATTCGGGGGGAGCAGGCCAGTGTACCGCGAGCCTAATGTACCGCCGAGTTATAACTTTTTCCAAAATTGTCGGATCCGTGGCACCCTGGTATGGTTCGATGCGTCTCGACCAGCTGAATCGAAACATACCAGGGCGCCACGGATTCGACAATTTTGGAAAAAGTTAAAGCTCGGCGCTACATTGGGCTCGCGGTACATCGGGGTGGACCGGATTCGGGTCCGATGAAAAGCTATTACAGCAAATGATTTTATTAAACGAAATAATACAAAATTTTACCGTTAATCAGAAATGTAATCATGAAAACTAGAGCTATAATCTTTATATTTAACTGAATTCCAATGGCCGAGTTGCAAAAATCAGTACCACACTCGTGACATGTACAATCATCCGCATATTCAGTTAATCCAGTAATTGCTTTAGTTAATTTACAACTACCACACCCTTTGAGATAACCATCTGAAATTTTTGTATAAAAATTAATATCAAATTTTTGACGATATCATAACAATTTTAGATTTAAGGTTCATTGTAGAAGCTAGTATTGTAAACACTGTATTTAATTTTTAATAAACAAACATTTTCCGCAATCATTTTTTAAGCATTTTTTACCAAGGACATTAAAAGGAAATTTTTCAGTATTGCACTCTGCTGAACTCACTTTAACATGAATTCCATCTTTGTCAGTAGTATCTCTATCGGCGTAACAATCGAGCGATTCTGTTAACAAAAAATGATATTTGCTTTGTTAAGGTAATGAATCTTAATGAATTTAATACTCTCTTGCTGTCAGTAACCAGATCGATCGAATTCCAATTTCCACAGCTCCGATTACAGGCATCTTTGCGAAGGAAATCGAAGTCGCGCGAAAAAATCGAAGGTCGGTCGTCATTTCAGACCGACCTCTAGTAATACTAACAAGCAACATAGTCTTCACAGTTTTACTACCAGCAGCAAAGTCTAAGCTTAAGTATTTTGTGGTTTACTACTACGATGTCCCAAAAGTTCTCGCTGTTTCAAATGTAAATCATTTTTAAAAATTACCTCCAGCTATTTTTTAAAATTTACCTCCAAATTCAAAATTCATCAAAAAGAGAAGCGCTAAATAATTAATTAATAACAATCCCATTTTTAAATTTAGATTTAATAATTTTGTTAAAAAAATTTTTTACTAAAAAATATATGAATGATTTAAATAAATAGAGAGAGGTTTTTGATAGGAAAAAATATTTTTTGATGAATAACACATTTTTTAGATTTTAATCTGATAATAATTTTAATATATTAATCATTATAAAGTAAAATTTCAAAAATTTAATAAATATTAAATTACTTAATAGTAAATTAATAACGTTTATTATATTGGATATCCATTATAGATCGAGATTTTTCCTGAACTCTGAATTTGATTTATTGACCCGGGCCGGATCCTGGGCTTGTAGTTCAGAAAAATCCAGGCCCAGGAAAAACTTTGGAAAGTCTAAAAATGCCTGGACCTGGACTTTGGGTACAGGAAACCCTAGGCCTTGTTCCAGGACCAGCTCGATCTCTACTATCCATACATTAGCAGTATTGTTGCGTATTGGCTTAGTATAAAAGCCTTCCTATTATTCAGTCGCGGTCTGAGTCTTATTGTCGCAGTGTTATTCTTATTTTATTCTGTCTCCACGTATTCGGCATTTAGCCAATATTCCTATTGTTCGTCCTTATTGTATTTAGTATTGTAGATAAAGCACAGTTTGTTAGTTACTGTCTTATCTTGTTGTTATTCTTGTTAGTACGAAGACATACAAGTCTCGTACATAACAAGTATTAACAAGTTTATCAGTCTTCAAATAAAGATAAATCTTTTATTTTCCTTTAAAAATATTTTTTGATACTTAGGTTATGTTTATTTATCAATTACATCAAGATATCGCTTTTTTATTACATAGTTCTTAACAGCTGCCAAATATTCATCGCCCTGTACCACTTCCGGTCCCGGTTCCTTTAGCTACTTTCTAAAAATTATTTTTATATGAAAATTTAAAATGTAAGTAGTCTCAAACGTCTTCGAAAATCAGCCCTCGAGCAACCACAAAATGTAAAGCAATTATTAAAAGAACAAATAATTGGCTGAATTTCATTTTAGATTATAGAATTTTTTGAAGTACTTTGATGAATAAAGTAAAATTTTCGCCGGTTTTTATTCATCTAAATTGTTTGCCAACAGGACAGAAATTTTCCATGTTAAGAATTTTTGAGACAGGAAGTATAGTGAAAATTTTTAATATGCCCAATAATTTTAAAATTTTTAATAAAAAAGGGATATAAAATTTTTTATTATTTATTTAACTGCTAATTTTAATAAAATTTAAAGGAAATTGAGGAATTAATAAAATATTTTTCAAATTGCCAACTCGGCATAATTCAAAAAGAAAAAATGTTTAAACCAGACATGGACACGGGTACTGATTTTGGTATCCGTATCCGAATATTTACGGCGGATACAGACGGATATCCGCAGGCATTTTTACAATATCTGTATCCATCTGTATTCACATCCATGTACTATCTGTATCCGTATCCATGTCCTAGTCTGGTTTAAACATTAATTTTAAAGATTTTAAAATTAAATAAAGCAATTGAAAAGCTTTAAAAATTATAAGTTAAACAATTAAACAAAGGAGATTTTTTTCGTAAAAGAATTAACTAAAAGTTTATTTTTAATATTTTTAAATTATACATATGCAAGCAGCAAAATAATTGCTGCCATTAAACAATAACCATTAATCAGCAAAATAATCAAGCAACTTATGCATATAATCTCCACATATGAAGGAAAGCCAACGGCCGAGTTACACAAATCAGTGTCGCACTCATAACAAGTGCAATCATTCCCGTAGCCATTTAGCTTATCAATTAATCTAGTTACCGTATTTCCTATATTAGAGCCCCATGGGGCTCTATTTTTCAACTATCCTCCAAGGTGGGGCTGTATTAAAGGGTGGGGCTCTAATTGAGGGTGGGGCTCTATTTTTCAACCCTCTTTTGAGATAGAATCCCATTTATTATATCCATTGCAACTAGAGATACCTAAGTCGGAGGGTTTGGTCGATAAAGCCGCAAAATATCGAAAGAGAATCTATATTTTTCGATTTTTCAAGAAAAACCAAAACTTTTTAAGCAATGAATTACAAAATAGTCCCAATAGTTCAATGAGAGTAAGATTAATTATTAAATATGGGTAGATTTGGACGGATTAAAGGAAATATTATGGGACTTTTATTTGACATTGATGGATTAGAGGGATAAAAATGGATTTTAAGGGATTATGGGGAATATCAGAGGATTAAGTTTATATTGAGAGATTTAGAGGGATTATGAGGGATATTCTGGACTAGGGGTATTAGGAGGCATATGAAGGGATTTGTTTGATAAAGCTTTGGAACAGGTTCCAGAACTGGAACTGAAGAAATTCAAATAGCAGTTACGTAACTGAAATCGGTTCCAGAGAAATTTTGGTTAGATATCACTGATTAGATATCTAATAGATCTCTAATAATCTCGCGAATTATCATCAAGTGCCTAACACGATTGCAACCCTTTATAAAATGATTAGATTTTGGAGGTAATATGTAGGAGGAATTTAGAGGAATATAGGCGATATTAGAGTATTTTGACGGATAACGGGATTAATCCCTCATTTTCATCCCTAATCCCCATGATCCCTCCTCCTCAATGATCACGAAATCATAGATATCCCCCTTTATTTCCTTAACTCTCTTAATACATACATCTTAAAAGTTATTCTAATATTTTTTCCTCCAATATTTTTAGGTGGGGCTGTATTTGGGGTGGGGCTCTAATTGAGGGTGGGGCTCTATTTTTCAACTATCCTCCAAAGTGGGGCTGTATTAGAGGGTGGGGCTCTAACAGAGGGTGGGGCTCTAATATAGGAAATACGGTAAATTACAATTACCACAAGTTTTGGCATAGCCATCTAAAAATTCTTTATAAAAATTATTATCTTTAAGGAGCTAGTTCGAAGTATTTTTCTGGTAAAACTAACATTTTCCACAATCATTTTTTAAGCATTTATCATCAAAGGCATGATAAGGAAATTTTTTATTATTGCATTCATGCCGCTTTATTTTTGTATTCTTTCCTATTTTATCAGTAATATCTCGTTCGACGTAACATTTGATTGGATCTGTTTAATAAAAAAAATTTTTTTTGATTTTGATTATTTATGCTATTCAAATCTGTATGAAAAGATCCTTTAACGAATTTTATACCCTCTTGATTTTAGTAGTAAGAAATTGGTAAGAATTTCGATTTCCGTCAGTTCCAATTACTGGCACCTTCGAAGGTGGCTCGAAAAAACCGGAGGTCGTTCTGATACAATTTTCGCCCGACCCATGTCAGTAACAAGCAACATAGAACCTTCACATTTTTACTACCAGCAGCAAGTCTAAGCTTAAGTATTTGGGGGTTTTCTGTATTAATAAAGATTCTAGTCACCCAATTTTTAATTCGATGGAAATGTGCCTTTATAGCTATTTTTTAAATTTACCTCCAAATTTAAAATTCATCAATACGATAAGCGATAAAATATTAATTAATAACACTCCCATTTTTAAATTTAGATGATTTAGTTTAAAAATATTTTTGTTGGAAAATAAAAGTATGACTTAACTACATATTATATGGAGAAGCTTTAGCAGGAAAAAAATTTTTTTGATGAATAACAATTTTTCAATTTTTAATCTAATAATGGTTTCAATGAATTTATCATTATAAAGAAAATTATGAAACTAATAAAAATCACTTTATAATTCAATTTTATTTTTAATCATTTCTTCAACATTTATTCTTTCAACTTGATTAATTATGTATTTCTTTTAGTAAGTGTACTTTAAATAAAAAAATATTAGCTAAAATACTTGAGATAGGTAACTAAACTTGGCATCTCTCCTGACATTCCTTCTTAGTCTTGAAATTATTTCCATTACCTTTACAGCCACCGTATTCAAATTGCTATAGAATAGATGAATGGAAAATCTCCTCTAAAAATTCCAATTTACCTTGCATTCCCCCTTGTCGTACCACCAACGGGGGTATAAGGCTTCACAAGGTCCAGGGTCTTTTTCAAGCTCACACACCTTATTTTAAATTTTATCATTTAACTTTTTTCATCATAAAAATTGTTAAAAATGTGTAAACAAACGTTGCATGTTTGTTGACATTCTTGAAGGGTTTCGAAATTATTATCGTTACCCTTACAACCGCCGTATTTGAATTCCTAAAATTAATATTTATGTATTTGTCAAATTATACTTCGGATTAAAGTTTCAAGATCCTTCCCAGGCTAAAAATGACTGGGACCATAGAAAATTGAACTGAGACAAAGGAGAATGAAGGGGATGTAGATAAAGTGGGGCATAAGGACTAGGCTTCTGCGCTCAAAGGAATGTCAAGACATTCATAGCATGGATTTTTCATGGACTATAGCTAGTGTTGCACATCGACCCCGCCCCAAAACAATTCGAAAACCCCGTACCCTGACACACCCGCCTCCGAGCGTTCGAGTGCAATCCTAACTATAACCTCTGAATCATGTACTATAAAACAAGATTGAAATTTCTATAAAGTCCTATAACTTCCAAATATTACCTTGCATTCACCATTATCATACCACCAACGTGGTATTGCAGCCTTACAAGGTCCAACAACTTGTTCAAGCTCACATATCTTTATTTTTAATTTTAATAATATATTAATTGATAAACTTTGCAAGTTTGTTGGCATTCTAATTTAGTTTTAAAATTGTTTCCGTTACCATCACAGCCGCCATAAGTGAAATTCTGAAAATATACTTTTAAATTTTACCATCTTTGAATGATTAACGTGATGACAGATTTTCTTTTTACTCGGACAAAATTTTTAGGGGATTATGGTTTTACTGTGACAAATTGGATTGTCCTTCGATCCAGGCCCCTTCTCTCCAAACTCCCCTACATAGTCCGTTCGGCCAGTATCCCCCTATCGGCCGCTGCAATCTTGCTGTTGTTATTTCCAGCCGCTGCCAATTTCCTTGTTCTTTACATTTTCTTCCCTCTCGCCGACTAGATAGTCGCGACATTACCCCCTATTTTAATTTATTTTACCCATATCCAACCTGGCATTTGCCTAACTTAATGTCATACCACCAACGTTCAAATAAAGCTAAACAAGGTCCAGTGACTTGTTCAAGTTTACAAATCTGTTAATTATATTCATTTTTCTGTTAATTATATTAATTTGCTAATTATAATTACTTCAGGTAGCCCATAATCATCACCAGTAACCATTAAAAATATTAAAAATAAAAATAAGACCCCAAATAATTTATTCATTTTATTAATTTTTAAAATCAAGAGAGGGAAAAATAAAATTTATATTTAATTTTGAATGAATGAAATATTCAATTACACGTAGATTCAGCTTGTTTAGTCACACAAACACAAACAAAATTTTTTTTTAATTTCTCGATAGCCTATTTTTCCATTAAAAACTTGTTAAACAATTAATTTTATTTCACAAATAATTTTTTATTGAAATGTAAACGCTCATTCCCTAAATTTTCTTTATCATAAATTTCTCTTTCATCCAAATTTAAATCATAATAATTTTCGTCGTTTTCATCTTCCTCTGCGGCTACATCTTTTATTTCCTTTAAAAATTTTTTATTAAAAATTTTTTTTAATAAGAACAAACATTTTTGTTCCTCTTCTCACTCATTTCAATTTTATAAAGTTGTGAAATTAATTTATTTAAATTTGTTTGTACATTATCTAAAAATTTATATATAAATTTTATTATTTTTTTAAATTTTATAAAAAAATAAATTTTGTTAGAGAAGGAAAGGAACTGAAAAGAAATTAAAAATACTTATGTATTTTCGTCTTAAGAAATGTTTCACGACATGAGAATGACAAGTATTGCTAACGTCGCCACTAAGTTATCCTTGGCAAAGCGATTGGAAAGTAAGCGGTGTATAAACTTCAGTGGAATAGGCTAAAGCAGATGCTCACTTTTCATTTATCCATGGAGTCTTATAGGGAAGAGCGCTCTCCCTATATGAGTTCACTTATGATTGTAATATGCGCGTAACATCACTCCACAACAAAGCACTGGGAAACGGGATCAACCGCTTTACTATATGTACCCCAGTTGAAGTTTGTGGCAAAAATTGCCCCAGAACTATGAGGGAGAGAAGCAACAAGATCTGTTAGTCAAATCAAGAAATGCTCTCAAAATCGTTGGACGTCTAATAGACTAAAAAGTCTTCGTTATTCAACGTCCCCAAAAATTATTCTCAGCATCACAGGCAAAAATTTTCTCAAAAAAATTTATTTTACTTTTATCATAATCACTCGATTCTCCATTTATTTCCTCCAAATCTTCAAATTCTTCAGCTGGATTAACCTCATTAATTTTAATTAAATTATTAGTATATTCTTTGTTATATTCACATTCTAAGCATTCATTAATACATAATTCGTTTATTGAAGGATTCTAGGGATTAATTTTGAAAAATATTTGTTTTCAATTATTTAAGCTTACTGTACAAATCGAACAGTAAGGTCCACGAACTATCTTGCATTGGAGCATGAGGTCGTCTTAATTTATATTTAAAATATTTAAAACAAGCTTAGGGCTAAGTTTAAGGTCTACAATGTAGATTTTCTTCCATTTCCATACCGTGTCCCGGGCTTTTTAAATTCCTAAATCAGCGCCTAAGAGTAGAGTAAAAGGACAAACTGCGGACTAACAATTTTCGAATTTCCTCTACCTCTAACCTCTACTCTCTCTACGAACTCTTTCTACGAACTCTCTACGAACCTCTACGAACGATACGAACTACGAACCTCTACTACCTCTAACACATAACTCGAACCCCCTACGAATTTCCTCTACCCATCAATTTTATTTTAAAAAATCTTAAAGAAAATTACCCAAATTTTGAGGAACAATAGACGATTGACTTGAATATACACCTCTACTGATTCCTTGTAAACCTCCCCCGTTGCAATATTGACATTCAAACGGGCAAATTTCCTCTACACTTTTGTGCCCACAATGAGTACAATATATTCCTTGTAGGTTTGGACAGAGTTTTTGAAGTTCACCTTATTTTAATTTTATTTTTTTGGAAAAAATTCTATTTGTTTCTGTTTTGGTGTGTTTACAATAATGGAGATTTATCACTTTAAGTCGGAGGTGGCAAATCATTTGCTCCCCTAATCTGGCTTTTCCCTTTAAAGTTGTCAAATAAAGCCCTACATATCTTCAACCGTCAACTATTGTCAACGCAGTCGTCAACTGTCGACACTCATGATCTCCTTCTCTTAAAAAATATCTGCCTTGAAGGATAATATAATAGATTATTTAGAAGAAAAAAACTTTCGTCCTAATTAACTTTCGTCCTAATATTACATTTGGACGATGACATACAAACTTTAATTTACCTAATTCAGCACTTTGCGCATTAACAAATTTATTTTCATAATTAGAATATAAAATGATTAAAAATAAATATTTAATTAAATAAAAATAGAAAAGCATTGTGAAAAAATGGGAAAATAATAATGGAAAAAAAATTAAAAAATACAAACAAACAATTTCATCTCTTTGTTTAATTTTCAATGGATTTAGACAAAAATAGAAATTTATATTAAAAAAAGAAAAAAATTTTTGTTTTGATGATGTTGGCAAGGCGTTGACGAAAACGTTAACGAGTTGACGACACGGAGACTCGACGACAGTTGACGACAATCTTGACGATAACGTTGTCGAGATGACGACACGTTGACGACAACGTTGTCGAGATGACGACACGTTGACGACAACGTTGTCGAGATGACGACGCGTTGTCGAGATGACGACACGTTGACGACAACGTTGTCGAGATGACGACACGTTGACGACAACGTTGTCGAGATGATGACAACGTTGGCGGCAACGTAGACGAGATGACGACAACGTTGGCGGCAACGTTGACGAGATGACGACAACTTTGTCGAGATGACGACAACGTTGGCGGTAACGTCGACGAGATGACGACAACGTTGACAACAATGTTGACGGCAACGTTGTCGAGATGACAACACGTTGACGACAACGTTGTCGAGATGACGACAACGTTGGCGACAACGTTGACGAGATGACAATACTTTGACGACAACGTTGTCGAGATGACGACAACGTTGGCGAGATGACAATACTTTGACGACAACGTTGACAACAATGTTGACGGCAACGTTGTCGAGATGACAACACGTTGACGACAACGTTGTCGAGATGACGACAACGTTGACGAGATGACAATACTTTGACGACAACGTTGTCGAGATGACGACAACGTTGGCGGCAACGTCGACGAGATCACGACAACGTTGACAACAATGTTGACGGCAACGTTGTCGAGATGACAACACGTTGACGACAACGTTGTCGATGACAACACGTTGACGACAACGTTGTCGAGATGACGACAACGTTGACGAGATGACAATACTTTGACGACAACGTTGTCGAGATGACGACAACGTTTGCGAGATGACAACACTTTGACGACAACGTCGTCGAGATGACGACAACGTTGGCGAGATGACAACACTTTGACGACAACGTTGTCGAGATGACGACAACGTTGGCGAGATGAAAACACGTTGACGACAACGTTATCGAGATGACGACAACGTTGGCGAGACTAGTTTGATGAGATACGAGTTTTTGCCGACGTATCGAGTTATGACAACAGTTGGCACGAGAGTGACGACGACGTTGACTAAGTTTAAATTTTATTTACTTTTAAAAGTTTATTTAAAAGTTAATTTAATATTTTATGATTTTTCTATTTAATCCTTCTATTTTTATCTTTTTATTGTTTTTTATGTCTGTCTGTATATTTGAATTTAAATAAAAATTAAAAATAAATAAAATTATTTAAATCTGTTAGTTTAAAATTTTTGAGCCTTAATAAAACTCAATAGTACATGATATTATTAATGCAAATCGTACTAATATAAATATTCAAGTTAATCTTCAAACAACAAATATTGTCCGACAATGGACCACACTAACATGATTTTTATGAGTCCCAACGTATAAATCCCGATTTTATACTTTCTAATAATTTTTTGTTATCGGATTGTTTTTGATAAAAACAGGCAGATCCGTCTTGTTCTGGTAAAGCCAGAATTTTCTTCTGATACCAGAAGTACTATTTTTTCGAAAGCTGAACGATTGAGAAATTTTTGGAAATTTCCCTACTTCCCAAAAATAAAATTAAGGTTTCCTCTATTTAGAAACAACTAAAAACCGAACTCAAATGTTCGACAAGTATCGGTTTATTTTTCAAGATATCGCTCTCAATATTTGAAATTCTTGTTCGAAATTTATACTCGGTCCGATCTCTATAAACTAAACTTAGCTCTTAAGCTAGCAGTAGTTGACCTAATACATAACTACACACCCGGCATGTCACGGGTTACGCGACCAGAGGAAAATTTTCAAAACCCGACCCGAAACCCGACTTTTTTTCTCAATTCGTGGCATCCCTGTTAAAGACGCCATTTAAAAAATATCTTCATAATAATAATTAATCTATGTAGAACAATAATAAAAATTTATTTTCAAGAACAAAATGAGAAATATTTTGAGAAAATTACAAAATTATAAAATACTTAACGGACAACACAGCAATAATAATAGAATAAATAATAAATTACGTTATTTTTATTTCATGTTATTTTGTATTTCTTTAATTCTTTTGTACCCATTTTATCTTAAATTTGCGAATGATAAAAGCTTAATTTTGAGGGAAAAACCACTAAAAATTCCGCCAAATCCAAAGGTAAAATTTATTTTCTTAATTTTCTGAGGTATTAACTTTGGATATTCACTTATAAAATTGAAGTTTAAACTATGATGCCAGTCATATCTCAGGTTGATGAAACATACATTCTAAACCCGAAACATTTTTTCGGCCCAAATCCCAACATGAGAAATTTTCCGAAACCCGACCCTAGTTTTTTCTTAGCCACAGACATCTCTTATTAATAAATACTTGACTATGAAATTTTCTCTCACTTAACTAAGTTCGTAATAGTATAATTTATCTTCTGAAAAATTTTAAAATTTGAGATAGTCGCTGAAAAATAAATTTAAACTTTGAGAAATCTAAAATTGAATTTCTATGAACTTAATTGAATCTATTATATTAATTGGGTTATTCTAAGATCTACCAAGAACTCTCGTTCTAAAATCTCGGTTATCATAATCAAGTGCCGAGCTATTATCTCAAAGTTTAAACGACCACCATATCTAATCTTTAATTTGTCTTGTATTGTATGTAATCCTCATATGAATTGTTCCCAAACCTCTGTCAATTTTATTGCACCTGGAAAATGATACGGAATTAGAGATAATCATTAATAAAAAATCATTTTAGTTTAAACCAATTATTCTTGGATGGAATACTATTTACACATATGATAATGTAGTAGCTATGTTAACTGGAATGTTTAATACTAATGAATGTCCATATGAATGTGAATATTCAACAGATAAGAATAAGTAAATCATCTCAAATTTTTAGTAAAATTTTCGGGGGGGGGAAGGGGGGGGGGATTGGGGAATTTTTAAAAATCTGACAGGGTTCTAAAAAATCCTTTTAAAGATACTTAAATGCTTCTGCCATTGTTTATTATATCCGGTCTGAGCATTTAGACTTGCCTAAAATAAGATTACCAAATCAACTATATGTCTTCTGTTTGGACGAACCGCCTCATTATACTTTTGAATTTTTCAAGGTTCTAGAAAAATTCTTAATAAATAATTAAATATCTTTATAAGGACGTCTCCCCAGATTTTTTCAACATTTCCATGACCTATCGTTTAGACAGCGATATTTATTACCCATATGATACTTTTGTTCCTTGTAATGGTGAATGCCAATTAGATGAATATTGGACTGAAAAGGAGGTGAAAAAAATTTTTGGAATTTTATGTGAAGGGAAAAAAATTTCGATTTAAAGGTAATGGAAAATGTAATAAGAAAAACTGGATTGGCAATGCAAGTTAACTCAGATTGCGGTTAATAATTTTTATTAATTTAAATTAAATTTAGAAAATAAGGATAATAAGTATGATATAAATTGATATGATTAGTATCTGGCAGAATCATTCTCCAGGTCCGGAAACTTGATTTTCGTACTCATGCCGGACTGGAGGAAGAGGTCTAGAATAGATAAGCTATATGCCATAGGATTATAAAAAGTCTATGGAATAATAATAATCTGAACTTCATTTTCCATAGACTGGTGGATTTGATGATTCCAAAAGAATCTAATGGATTGTAAAATGAGTCATTTTATCATAAAGACGACCCGGTATCTAAGAAGTGATTATCCTGCTAATACTTTGATAGTCTCTCTCTTTTCCACATAAATTTCAAAAAAATTAAAAATTTTCAATTTTAAAGATACTCCCTCCAAAAGAGAAACTCTTGTTCAAGAATTGCGTAAGCTGATTAAAATTGATCTGTACGGAAAATGCGTCCGTGGGGCCAAGTGTGATTTTGAATATTGTTATAATCGAGAATTGGGTAAAAACTAAAATGAATTTTTGTCTGAAAATATTTTTAGAAAATCACATGTTTTATTTGGCATTTGAAAATGCTGTTTGTAAAGGTTACGTTACTGAAAAATTTTGGAATTTAAAACATTTAATTGTTCCTGTTGTTCTTACTAGACGAATTTTTGATAAATGGAAAGTGCCTGACAGTGCTTATATTGCTGTAGATGATTTCAAAAATATTACAGAATTGGCTGATTATTTACTTTATTTACAGCGAAATAGAACTGAATATTTAAAGTGAGAAAAATTAACTAAGATACCGAATGATGCATATTTGTGTACAGACATTTTGGAGTATACCTCGATTTACCTCACGACCTTCCTGAAACCTTCATAATATAATTATGGTAAATGTAGCTTGTATTGTCCACAAGCCTTCTAGTTTTAAGAGATATATTTTGGGTATTTTTGTGTTTGGTACTACGTGATCATAAGCCCATCAATAGTCATACTTTAGTTGTTAGTATCCGCTCAAAAATGTAGATAAATGCCGTCGAACTGATACCGTATTTTATTAATTTCTCTAGTTAGAGAAATACTTCATCGAGGGAGGGCAATTAATTAAGTAAATAGTGACTTTTAATTTAAAAAACTAGAGTAGCTCGTCTGAGACGGGAGTGTAGTGTTTCGGGAGAGTCTTCGGGGATCGGGTCGGGGTTTTGCCTAAAAATTCGTCGGGGGTCGGTTTTTCGAGAACAGGGTGCTACCTTATTAAAAACCATTAAAATTTCAGATATTTTGAATGGACAAAAACATATCGTAAAACCAATTATCACGTTCTACACAAAAAACTAGAACGAAAATATCACCAAGCATTTATCCTCTCTCAAAACGGCACATATGCTCCAACATACAACCCTTTATGTAATTTATGTGAATTATTGCACCAACAACATGGAAAGGGGCATCCCAAATTAATTATTCCAGATATTTGGAAATTTTGGAAAGGACCGGATATTTGTATAGAAAATTGGGTAGATTTATATTTAAAAGGAAAACATAAAGAAGCTTTTGATAAGGCTAATTGGCCTGAACAAAATTAAATTTATATAATTTTAGTTGATAAAAAGTAGTGTTAGCGATATGTATTAGTGATATTTTTTGCTGACTTTAATATTCACTGATCAGGTTTTGGAAGAGGAAAAGATAATTTAAACGTCTAAATACGACTAGAACATTTCGGAACCTTGGAAAAATTTGAAAATCTAGGAAAAATTCCAAGACCTGAGAAAAACTCGAAAGAAATGTTTTAAAAAATTCGAAATACTCAAGACCTCGGAGAACCTTGGATTTTTTGGAATATAGCTGAATTATCACTTTATCCGAAAACTCTGAGACCTTTCAGCAAAGCTTGAAGGCTTAGGCCTTATTAAATGGAAAAATCTTTGTGTATCAGGGATCTTGCCGCATTAGAAAATAAATTTTCGGTTTTCGGGAATTAAGGTGGCACAAATTGAAAACAGCAAAAAATAATAATTTCTTATTAAATTATTTTTATATTCCTATTTAACACATTACATGATAATGACAGATAATTTTTTATTATTAGCTTTAAACATGCTATTTATTTTTAAATTTAAAAAAAATTTTAAAATTTTATTCGATTAAAAAGTACTTTAAAGCATTTTATCAGCGCCATTTTATTTTTGTTTCTCTAAAAAATGATTAAGAAAATTGGTGTCATAAAGAGGAATTTTTTAAAAGGTTTTGTATATTTTCAAAAAAATTTTATAAATGAATAATCATTTAAATAACATTAAATATTTAAAAGGCTTTTTTCTTTATTTTAAAATTTAAAAATATTCACTTTATTCGCTTTTTTAAATTTCAAAAATTATTTTGACAATTCTGTAAAAAATACTAGCAAATTTTAAAGTGAAGTTTCGTTTTTAAATAACTGAAACGTTCCTCAATCCCTCTTAATTTTGAGATTTTATTTAAAAGATTGTTCTGGGATGGGACGGTTTGGGTGAAAGCCGTGTTGAGATTCAGATAGGATTTTCTCAGTTTTCTTCTGATCAGGTGTTGGGCCAAGGGGTTGTCGAGTAAGGGTTCGGGTTGATTCGTCACTGGGATTCCTCCTCTCAGTTTTCTTCGGATCGAGTATTGTATCCAGGGTTCGTCGATCAAGGTTCGAGGGCTTATCCCAGTGATTCTTCCATGATCGGAAGAAATCCCTGATCGTCAACTATAATCTCTCAAAATGTGGAGGAATCACTGTATCTGATGGCTTAAATGAATAATTCTTTTCTTAAATAGAAATTAATTCTTCCTTTAAATTATTCTTTTGAATAAATTTAAAGCTAAATTAATGCTTGAATACTTGATTTTTATTTTATTATTTGCTGCCTTCACTAATGCTGCTCATGTAGTGTACATAAATGATGGATATAACGTTGATAGTGAAGGTAGTTATTAATTTTTACGTCGAGTTCTGAACGAGCTCGTGCTGTTTGCTAGGGATTTGGTGATAGGTCGGGCTGCATTTTAAGGCTCAGTATCATCGGAACTTTTCCCTTCTCTATACTAGAGTTGGGCGGGATCGGGATCCCGGTCGGGATCGGGCGGGATTATCCCGGTTTTTTTGAATCCCGATCCCGATTTTTCTGATCCCGAACCCGAAAGACAAATCCCGATCCCGGTTTTGGCCGATCCCGATCCCGAGCCGGGATCGGGACCGGGATCGGGATTAGCAATCGGATCCCGATGAAATCGGGATTTTATAAATTGATGAAAATATAAATTAATGAGCTGAAAAGAAAGCAATTTGGCTTCTACGCCATCCAAAATTTTCAAAATTTTCGCCTGCGGCGCTAAAAATGAAGATTTTGGCTTGAGAATCTTCGAAATTTTTCAAAATTTTTGCCTCCGGCGGTGAATAAGAAGAGACTCATTTATAAACTATCGACGGAATGGATTTGAACAGATATAATGGATATCCTAGATGTCCATCTAGATCCCAATATCTCATTAATCAACGATATCCCTCTTAATCCATCAGAATCACCTTATCGTTAATACTTTATCCCTCCTCCTTAATCCCTGATACGCCAAGAACAAATGCGCGCTGGGACTTAAAATCAATATTTCAGCACAGCAGATGAAAATTATGGAATTACATTGAGGTATATGCAATGTAAATAAAAATTTAAATTTTGAAAATTTTTTTAAACTAAATCCCGATCCCGATTTTTCAATCCCGATCCCGAGTCGGGATCGGGACCGGGATCGGGATCATTATTCCGAATCCCGATCCCGATTTCGTTCAATCCCGATCCCGCAGTCGGGATCGGGACCGGGATCGGGATCATCATTCCAAAATCCCGATCCCGATTTTACGTCGGGATCCCGATCCCGCCCAACTCTACTCTATACTCGAATCACATTAATAACAATTGAAATTTAAATATTAACTAGGGTTTAACTAGTGGTGGACATACCTATGTTACCGTACCACAATCTTTGATTGACCCTGATTGTGATTAAATTTTTTATCATAATTTTATTTTTAGAAGTACCACTTTTTCCTAACAAATATCTCTACAATAAAGGTATACATATATTAAAAAATTATTTTAATTTTCCTATTTTATAATTTAATAAATATTTCTAAAATTATTTTAAGCTTATTACCACAATAAACCAGGAAGCTATTTAAAATACCCAAAACCATATGCTTACAAAAAAGAAAACAGTTATGACACAGGTGTAAATTTAATTTCAAAAATTATTCAAAGTTTTAAATTTTAATGTAAGATCCCTACAAAGCTAATGGCGGGACTGCGTGTAAGTGAAAAAATTCTAAAACATTTTAACATTTATTTTGATTTTAATTAAAATAAATTGTTAGATAATGCCAATTATAAGAAGCCGACAAGCTACAATTATGAAAAGAAAGATGAATATAAAAAACCTGAGGATAACTATGAGAAGCCGACCTATGAGAAAAAAGATAACTACGAAAAGACTAATGAAGGATATAATAAAGAAGGATATGGAGAAAATAAAGGATATGAATACAAGGAAGGATATGAGAAGGGATATGGGGATAATGGGGGATATTCAGGAAATGAAGGATATGAGAAAGGATATGGAGATAATGGAGGATATAATAAAGAAGGCTATGGAGATAACAAAGGCTATAAGGAAGGATATGGAAATGAGGGGTATGATAAAGGTTATGGATATAATGAAGGATATAATGAAGAAAAAGGCTATGGAGGTTATGACGAAGGATATGGCGGGAAGAGTTATGAAGATAACAAAGGCTATAATAAGAAGAAATATCGAGGTCATAAAGTACGATATGGAGGTTATGGGGGATATAATGGACACAACAAATATGGATCTTCTTCATCAGAAAGTGATGAGTACATCTACCTTCGCAACTATAAATTTCCTCATTATTACGGAAGTTATATGAATTATATGGTAATCTTTGATTTACTATAATTAAATATATAATTAAATTAAAGCAGCCAGGCATGTATTATAATAGGCCAATTTACTACTATACTACTACTTCTACAACAACCACTACTACAACAACACCGACAACGACAACCGAGGAAACAACTACCACACCAGAGGGTACAACCACACAAGAAGAAACAACCCCAACACCTGAAGATACAACCACACAGGAGGAAACAACCCCAACACCAGAGGACACAACCCCAACACCTGAAGATACAACTACACCAGAGGAAACAACTCCTACACCTGAAGATACAACCCACACGCCTGAGGACACAACCCCAACGCCTGAAGATACAACCACGTCAGAGGAAACAACTCCTACCCCAGAGGATACAACACCCACGTCTGAAGATACAACCCCCACAGCAGAGGATACAACTCCCACACCTGAGGACACATCCCCGCCGTCCGAAGAAACAACTCTCCCATCAGAGGACACAACTCTCCCACAAGAGGATACAACACCACCCGCTGAAGATACAACTCCTCCACCAGAGGACACAACTCTCCCACAAGAGGATACAACCCCGCCCGCTGAGGACACAACTCCGCCGCCTGAAGATACAACTCCTCCACCAGAGGATACAACTCCGCCGTCTGAGGACACAACTCAGCCGCCTGAGGACACAACTCCTCCACCAGAGGATACAACTCCGCCGCCTGAAGATACAACTCCTCCACCAGAGGATACAACTCCGCCGTCTGAAGACACAACAGAATCAACGAGTGGTAAAATTATATCTTAAACTTAAATGGCGTATCATATCACATTATCACAACTCTAAAAAATAAAGAGGGGGGGGGGGGGCTATTTATAAAATTAAGGAAATTTGGCCCTATCCCGAAAGAAGGGTCGAATCGTTTTTTCATTATTTTATAAAAAGGGTCAATTTTTTCTTAAAAGTTGATGGTTGTTGATGTTTGCCGTAAGGAAAAATGAAGAAAAGAGAATAACATTTTTATAACAAAAAGAGCTGTTTTAACTCCTTACCTATTGGGTCTGTCGGTTTTTACTGCTGCGGAGGTATCCAGGCATCCCCATTGCTACTAAACTTGGAATAGGTTTATGTTACTCAGGTAGAACCCAGCGACCTTTGATTCCCCAGCAAGGCGCGTGCCGCAAAACCCCGCGCGAAGCGCGGGGTTTTGCACAAGCGCCTTGCCGGCTTTCCATAGGTTTACTTGGTTTATTTTTGCATCGAATAAAAACGAAAAAATGAAAAAGTTATTCTCTTTTCTCCATTTTTCCTTACAGTAAACATCAACAACCATCATCTATTTAGTAAGGAAAAAGAGACCCTTTTTATAAAATAATGAAAAAAACGATTCGACCCTTCTTTGGGGATAGGGTCGGAAATTTTCTTGGTACGTTCTTGCATCTTATTTACAATTATTCATGAAAAATTTAGATGTTACACCAGTTTCTGATGAAACTCGTACTGATATTACAACTCCAACTGGAACAGAAGGGTTTTAATATTCCATGATAGATTATATTAAATTTTATTTAGTACTCCGCCAACACCAAAGCCTCCATGTCCTCCAGATTACGAATTCTTTAAGGAGGGAAATTGTTGCATTCTAATTTCCTCGCCAGAGAAAAAACCATTAACTTGGAAAGAAGCTAGTGAGGAAGCGAAGAAGAATGGGGCTCGAATGGCTTCCATACATTTTAAAAAGGAGGATGATTTTATAAGAAGTAAAAATTTGATTAAACTTTGGTTAAAATTAATTTAAAAATTAGATCTCGTGGAAAAACAACCAAAGGGATCGGGTAAAGACAACCCTGTTTACTTTACCGGATTACAAGTAAATGCCACAAATGGAAAGATTGATAATTTCGCGTGGTCTGACAATACTCGGGTAAACTATGGAAGTCCGAAAGATATAAAAGTGATTTGCTTTAAAAAATAATTTTGGCAATATTTTTAGCCGAATACTGATCCTTGGGGACCAAAAACTACATTTAATGGAAATAATGGATTTGGTGGAATTTCTAAGGATCCGAGCGGAAAGGCATCTTGGGGTCTGTATGATCCGAATCAAAAGGGAGGTTATGTGTGGAAGGTAGAGAATTTTGATTCTTGAGGGAATATATAATTTAATATAAGATTGACTTATCCAAAAAAGATGGTGGAACCAAAGGCCCGGAACCAGGCAATCCAACAGGAGGAGTTGGCCCAGGAGGGAATAGTAAGTATATCATTACGCCTAGCTATGCTTGACTAATTTAATTTTAAGATGGATTGCCAGCCGGTTTCAAATGCACTACAGGCTGTAATCCATCTTCTATAAAATTGAAAGCAGAAAAAGGGCAACCAAGTCCGGTTGATGAAGGACCTGTAGAAAAAAATGGGTGCCAAACTGATGTGTTGAGTTGCACAACAAATCAACCAATTGCCACTATAACGGTTTAAAAATATTTTTTTAAGTAAAAAAATAATTTCGTTAACAGTTTGGAACACAAGGAAGTCTTAAATCCAATCAACGTGATAAAAGAAATGTGAGAGCTCAAGTATTTTGTGTTGAGGAAGAGAAAACCAAGAAGAAAGGATGGATTAGAAATGGGGTAGATAATAATCCAAAATTATTCTTTGTTGAAGAGGTAAAGATGAGAGAAAAATATTTAAATAATTTCTAATTTCAGGCACATTGTGAACAGTCGAGTTGAATAGAAATCACTTGATTAAATATTAATTTCGAGAATATTTTAAAATAATCTTTTATAAAATTTATAGTACCTAAATTTATTCTTCAATTTTTTCATTGAACTTTGATTAATTATTGAGGTAGAAGGTAATACATATCTCCCTAGATTTAAAAAATAATTTTCCGATTTTCTCTTGGATTTTTTTCGATTTTTCGAATCTACTTTAAAATACGACCGAGAAAAATTTTTTTTTGAATTTCCTTCACAAATCAAGGAAAATTTATTTTTGAGAAGCAAGGGAAAATTCCCAAAAATTATTTTATTTGCCTTTGATAATGTTTTAAATAAAAATGTGGGCACTACATGAAGAAGAATTGTGGAGAAAGAAAAATTTGCCTCATTCCTTTGAAGATGGATCAACTTAAATTGCCATACTCCATATTTTAAATCAAAATATTCCCCTCATATTTTCTCATATTTTATTCAAAATTAATCTGTCTATTGATAAAGAAAAGTTTGGAAAAAATTTAAAACTTCGCCCCGCCCTCTTTGAATGCCAAATATGCACATATAATGAAAGTATGTATAAGTGCCTCCGCAGTGAATTATTTTACTATTTCATTTTTTAATTTGTATGTACAATTTCTAAATTTTAGGAAACACAAGTTTCTTTAATCTATAATAATTTTTTATTTTTCATTTGAATTTTTATGTCAAATTTTAGATTGATTTCATGTTGAATTTTTTTTGATTAATTTGATCCACATATTGACATAAATAAAATAAAAGATAAGGAAAAATCAAAATTCTCGACTTATCAATAAAAACTTTAGGATAGATATTAGATTTCGTATCATATTTTTCTTTGCATTAATCTGACAAAATTTTGATTTTTTAATATTGTATTATATACTCTATTTAATTTTCCATCAGTGATGAACCGTACCTTTGATAACTAATATTAACACTGACATTTTATCGCGACACACATAGTCACCTTTTAATCCTACTGTATTTCCTCATGTCTTAATACCCAAATTTACCATATTAAAAATTTTCTGATAATCCGACTTAAATTTTTTTCGTTTTTAGTTGAAATTTTTACTGATAAATTCTGAGATATGAACGGAATTGAAGAAGATTCGTTTGATTTTCCTGAATTCATGGAAAGGGAACATTGTCTACCAACTTCTAGTTCCTCAACAACTTCATCTGTTTTTCGAGTATTTTCTAATCTAAATTTCTTTTTTGAAGTAATAACCTTCCCTCTTATTCAGTCTCTGACAGATGCTCCTTTACTTCAAAGCACTTCTCAGCAATCAGCTGAGAAAATACAAAAACCTGAACTTTTGAAATGGTCCTTTTTCTTTTTGAATTTTTAAAAATTTATTTTTAAATAGCTCTCATTATTTACAAAATAGTGGAGGTCGTGCCATTTCTCCAATTGTAGAGGCATTTCGAGAAGATTTGGATAACAAGGACAGTACAAATGACAAAATTGTTCAAAATTTGGTTACTCGATTTGAAAATTTGTTTGACGTAAAAATTTATTTATTTTCATTTTATTTCAAAATATTTTAAAGTATTTTGAACGAAAACAACACCAATTAAATGCAAATTGGGAAAATTTCCATAAAGAGATGGCTAAGTTTAATCAACAAAAAATCCATGAATGGGCAAAAATAGAAGATATTCAACGTGCTGAATATAAAGCAAAGGCAGAAAGGGAATCTACTAGAGTTAAAGAGTTGGAACTAGAGGTGTAGTTAAAAATTGATCAAAATTATTTCAATCATTTAAAGCTAATACATGCACAAATTAAATTATTGGAAGAAAAAGTAGATGCCTTTGGAAAATCATTTAAGAAGGATAATGAAAGAATTAAAGATTTTAGCGAAATTTTGGACGGTTCAGAGGTTTTTAAGGAATTTTTACTCAAATTTATATGATTAATTTTTAGCGTTCCCACTCTCAATTTGTTGATGAGCCTGTAAATTTATTTAATTCTCTTGCACAAATTTCATTAAATCAAAAATTTGAATTACCCTATGAGATGGTTTATTTTTAAGCTTTATTTTTTATTATTTTTAAAAAGGTGAATACAATGTATAAGTTGACTGAAAGGGGTAAAGAATATACGTTTAAAAATGGAAATGAAAAAATTGTTGTCGTTGAACTCTCTGGATGTGGTCATCAGTATTGCCTCTTATATGAATATCCTAATAAATTATTTGGTGATAATGTACATTCAGAGAAGCATAGCTCCAAAAATTTTCGTTGGACAACAGTTCCAATATTGCCAATAAACAATTCTGATATAAACAAAAACAAAATTGAAGTAAATTTTAAAAATTAAAATTTTTAATAGCTTCCACATTTCCTTTCTTCTAAATTCTCTCATATAAACTTTTTGGCAATTAAAATTAAAAACTTTAATTTCTAATGAAAATTTTAAAATATTTTAATTATCTTTTGCAGATTATATTTCAAAAAAATTTTTATCAAATAATCACTACAAATGGAAATATTATTAAATTTTGTCTTTCTGGTAGTTTGGAAGTATCCTGGAATAGTGGTGATCAGACGATAATACTACCAGATGGGGAAAGATATGAATTTTTTGATCAAGAAACGCCTGATCTTAATATGGAATTGTTTGTTTTTATTTTTTAAATTTAAAATATTTGAAGCTATCTTTCAAACGGAAAAGCACTTCGTTCAAATCGTTCAACCAAATGGCATAAAGAAGAATTTATTCCAAATACGTTTAAAATGTGTGTTCGGCGGGATGGGTCTTATTCTGCTTTGTGCAATAAGGTAATAAATTTTGTCTTTATTAACGCTTACCGTATTTCTCTATTAATTACCCTCCCTCAAATGATTACCCATCCTCTAATATTTACCCCCTCCAGCGAAAGTTTGAAACAAGTACTCCCTTAAAACTAGTTATAATTGGCCTTCCTAACTTAACCTCTAAACCCCGCCTCTATCAATTACCCCCTCCAAAGAGAGGTCGAAACAATAATTACCCAGAGTAATTAATATAACGTAATCTTCGTTTCTATCTTTAATAAATTCATTTATTTTTTAGCTCAATACAGAATCAACACCTTTAAATTCTGCTTACTTACAAATAAATGCACCAGACTTTAAAGTTTTTAATAAATTCTTTTCTTTAATTATTTTTTAAAGCTTCGACGGTTTAATGCAACAAAGGCAGTTAAAATAGTAATACCAGTGGACTCCTTTCCTGGTGCCAGTTTAGAATTTGCGCTCTGTATTGACAATGCCCTTGTTGTTAAACATGTCTATAAGGACAAAGGAATTTGTGGACAAAACAAACATGGTAATTTCTCAAAAATTAATATTAACTAAAGCCAAAATATTCAAAAATATTAAAGATGAATATGTTTGTTTCTCTTACGGTAAATGTGGGCATATTTGAACAACACAATATTGAAAGAACAATGCCTTTTTGATAGAGTAATGAGATGGGTTTATTTTGTACAAGATATATTTTTGTTAACATGTCTGGTTAAATTCTTTGGGATTATTTCGGTCAGATTTGAGTTTTTTCTTTCGTTTTGTATTTTATTTTTCCATACTTTCTCCTTACATCACGCTAATTATCATTTCATGTTTCGTAGATTTCCGTGGATTTTTGATGTTTTTGTTTTGTGTTTCGTTTATGAATGCTTTTTTTGCTTTTATTGTTTCGTAAACATTTTCCCCTTCGTTATCGTTTCACATATTGTTTTTAGAATTTAAAGTTTGCTCGTACTTGTACTCATACTCTGCTTATTTCTCCTCGTACCATCTCTATTCAGTGCCTCGACCTCCAATTTTACCCCGTACATGGGAAATATACAAAGACTTGAAAGTTTTATGATTGTCAAGACTAATGAAAAATTTTTTAGGGATCCCGCATGAGTGATTTTTTTTAAAGGGATGGATCACAAAAGATAATTCGTTTATTTTGTGAATCTAAAAAGTTTGATTGCGGAAGCGGAATTTTAAAAAATCCCGCGCGGGATCCCGTAAATCTCGTTAATTCAAACAATAATTTTCTTTAATTAAAGTAATTTTCTATTTTTTAAAAATTTGTTATGGATTTCCAACACGTACTTTTAAACATCTCATTCTTTAGTTTCAATCCTCTAACTAATATTTGTAGTTGATTTTCATTCGAATATGAGCGGGGCTAAAGAAACTTCTATTTATTGTCAAGATGCTATGGAAAACGAAAATTTTCTTGCAGACTCCGCTTCTTTAGATGCCTCGCTTTTTGCTGTATTTTTTAAATTTTTTAATTAAACACCTTTTCTCTTATTCAGCCTCTGAACATTCCTAATTTCAAACAAGCGAATGCTTCTGTGGTTCAACGAGATACTCAGCAGCTTCGAATAAATGAATTGGAAATACAAGTAATAAGGATTATGTTTAAACTGAGGAGTTTTGCCTATATGAATTATTTGAAAAGCACTATTTTCCCTTAAGATTACCTTCCGTCTTGATTACCTTCCGTCTTAACTTCGGTCTTATGTATATGGGCAAATATATTTCAGTTTAAAGTAAATCTCAAAGCCCTGATTATAAATATTTTCGGGAGAATATATTTTGATATATTAATAAAAGATTATATCTAAGGTTGAACAACTAAAAACAAGTGAAAGCCTCTTATTATTAAAAATTAACGTATTGGAAAATGAAATATATGATTATAAAGACCAGTTGGTACTTTATGGATATGTCACCCCCCCTCCTATTTTGAGTCTCACAGTTTTTCTTAAACGTAGAAAATGGTCAGAGATTATTTTCTTCTCCATGTCAATCATTTTTCTTTCTTCAAGCAAAATAAGTGAAATGTGGTAAATGTAGAAACGAAATGAGTGAAATGTAAGTACAAAATATGTGAAAAGGCAAAATAAACTAGCAAAATACTTGAAGAAGAAAAAATGATTGACATGGAGAAGAAAATAATCTCTGACCATTTTCTACGTTTAAGGAAAACTCTGAGACTCAAAAAAAGGGGGGGGGGGGTGACATATCCATAAAGTACCGACCAGTTGGCTACGATTCAAGTTTATTAAGTTAAATTTAAAATTTTCTAAAATTTTTAGCAAGAGAATGCTACTCTTCGTACTGAATTAAACTTAATGAAACAAAAACAACCATTGTCAGGATCCCGACAGAATTTGCAAAGTACTAGTAATAATGCTGGGTCTAGAGACACACGTCTTAACGTTTTTCGCTCTAATCAGCAGTCAAAACAAATAGATATATTATGCTACGCTTACATAAAAAACGCGCGCGTCTTGCGGCAGAAAAGATAATGGGAAATGAGGAGAGTAAAAGACGCCGGCGTCTTGCCGCTTTTTTTGAGTGCTTACATAAACTGCGTCTTCCGCCGGCGTCAAGACGCCGGCGTCTTGACGCTTTTTTTGCGTGCTTACATAACTCGCGTCTTCCGCCGGCGTCTTGACGCCGGCGTCTTGCCGCTTTTTTTGAGTGCTTACATAAACTGCGTCTTCCGCCGGCGTCTTGACGCCGGCGTCTCTTTTTTTAATTCAAACATGTTTGAATTTTTTGCGGCAACTTTTAGCGTCTTGATCATTTCTCGGCCAATTCTAATCCGATTTTCAAAATTTAAAAAGATTTTGAAAATTCAATTCATTCTCTATCGATCAATATAAATTTTATATTTTTAAAGTTAAATCTTATGGGTTAAAATTGATTTTGAAAAAGGTATACTTTTTGCAAAAAATATTCTTTTTTTTCGATATTTTTGAGATTTTCGAGATAAAAAAGTATTTATATCATAACTTTTTTATCAATCGGTCAAAAATTCTGATTTTTTGTTATGTTGTAGAGCTTTTGATTCTCTATCAAATAATACCAAAAACATGAAAAATTGACCATTTCTTAATGACTAGGGCTCGTACCATATAGTTAAAGACAAAAAGTTTTGGGGAAAATCGAGGCTGATGGGAAAGTTCCAAAATATCTCTGGAACTAGTTCCAGTTCCTAGTTCCAAACTTTTAAATTTTTTTGAATATGAAGATTTAGCCTCATAAGAGGATTTAGTGACAGAGGATTTAGCCTCATAAGTTTGTTCAAAATCGCCAAATCTAACCGATCTTAGTACCAATCTACCCAGCTCGGATAGCTCTTTCGAATGATATATAATAAATTATATGTCAAGCAAAAAAGCTCAAAATGGTCAGGGAAACATAAAAAGGGGGGGGGCGACAACCGAAGAATTACCTCCCGAATGATCCCGATAATAACAAAAATCCGGGATCCCGGAAAATCCCGTCGGGATCCCGTCCCGCGCCGACCTCTAAGTAGAATATTTTACCATTGAAGTTGGATCGGTATCATGGCAGGATAAAATGATTTAATATTATTTGTTCAATTTAATTTCAATAAAATATTTGTTATAAATTTAGTCCGCAATTAGTGCTTACATAAAAAACGCAAGACGCCGGCGGAAGACGCTCGGCGTCAAGACGCCGGCGGAAGACGCTGTTTTGTGCTTACATAAAACTAGCGTTTTGACGCTTTGCGTCTTCCCGCTTAGCGGAAGACGCCGATTTTATGTAAGCACGAAACTGCGTCTTCCGCCGGCGTCTTGTCGCCGAGCGTCTTCCGCCGGCGTCTTGCGTTTTTTATGTAAGCGTAGCATTACCAAGGAATCTAGTTACTGCGATTAATAATAATGCAAGTTTAACTTCATCGGATAAACCTTTTATACGCAGATCTAATTCCGTCGCTAATTTAAATACACAACAAAAACAGCAGGCTAATAACTTTACTGATGACTCTCATATACATTCTACGTTTAATAACAAGGAACTCTCTTTAAATCAAAAATTTGAATTACCTTCTAGAATGGTATATTTTTAAAGTTTATTTTAGCTTTTTCTTTCTAAAGGTAAATACTCTGTATGAACGGACTTCACGTGGCGAGGAGTTTACTTTTTGTGATGGAACTGAAAAAATTATAGTTGTTCCGAACTCTATTATGCTGTCGTCCACCATATTGTCGACATTGTGTTTTACGTGATTTCCAAGCAATAACTGCCGAAAATAAAAATAATGCAGACCGGTCGTTCTTCAAATATTTTCGTTGGACAACCGTTCCTCTGCCAATATCAAGTTTTGATGTAAAAAGAAACAAGATTGTAGTAAATTTTAATTTTTAATCAGAATATTTTCTGGTTGATAAATTATGTCCCTCGGCTTCTGAGTAGGGTAGTCTGTTTCACCAGACTCTTTGTTAACCGAAAACGAACTAATAAAAAATTAACAGAAACATACCGAAAATAAGTTGTGAGTATAACCGATAAACCGAAACGAAAATCTTTTTTTCGGTTCGGTTTGAATAGATAACCCTACTTCTGAGGTATTAAAATAAGAAAGTTGTAGCATTTTTATTTTGTAAAGAGAAAAGTGAGATTTAGATCATAATTTCAATGCAAAAATTTTTAAATAATTTCTATTTTTAGGTCAATTTTCTTCAAAAAAATCATTTTTATGAAATTACAACCCCTAAAGGCCATATTATTAAATTTTGTCTTTCTGGTAAATTACGTGTTTGTTGGGTAATAATTTTTAAACCTTCTAAATAGGGTATAGTGTAGTGTACCGGTAGTAAAAGTTCAGGATTCGACATATTTCTTTTGATTCGTCTCGACGATCTGAGTCGAATGATACTATCAATACTTTGGGAATTTAATCTGGACCGAGTTATACAATAGCTCCTTGAAAGAACCCGTTGTGTAAGTTACTAGTTGACCACCGGTAAATTACACTACAGCCTAGGTTCTTGGTTGTCTTGTTTTTTGTCTAGTATTGACAATAAATTGTCTTGATTAAAGCTTATTCTTTGTTTAAATATATAGTATTTCTTATTTATTTTTAGCTCAATACAGAAACAACTTCAAAAATTACTAATGAGGAATTCTTAGAAATAACTGCGCCGGATTTTAAAGTTTTTAATAGATTCTTTTCTTCAAATTATTTTTTTAAGCTTCGTCGCTTTAAGACAACAAAGTTAGTTGAGATTGTAATTTCATTAGAGTCATCCTTTCCTGGTTCCTATGTACAAATTTGCCTGTGTACTGACAATGTAGTTATGGTCAAACATCTTCGTACGGACCAGACATGCACGAAACCCCAAAATTTTTTCGGACGAAACGAAACGAAACAAAATTTTTTAAAAATCGTTTCGTTAACGAAACGAGACGAAACGACGAGAATTTAACGAAACGAAACGAAACAAAACGAAACATTTTAATTTTCTAAAAGTATGTTTATTTTCTCAGTTATTCGATATTAAATCCGTAAATTAATAAATTTTCGTGCAAAAACAATTGTTTTTCGAGATTTTCCATAGTAAGGTTTTTTCTGCGATCATCCAAAATATATTTTACAACTGAAAAAACTCGTTCACACTCTGAAGAAGACATTGGTGCGGAATGGTATTTTCGAACAAGCGGTAGAAGAAGAGGAAACTTTGCAACATTTATAGGATTTTTCCAGAAATCAGCAGAACGTCCTTCAAATCTAGGTGTGTTCAAATACTCGGTCACTTGCTTTAACAATATAAATTAAAAATATTTTATTCTCAATTATATTAACTAACCCCAGCTGCCTGAGCCTTTGCATCAGCAATAGAAGGAGACGGTTGTGAAGATGGCAATAAAATAGCTCTTTCTCGCAAAAATTCTTCAAAAGGATCATCATTCTGCATTTCTATATCAAATTGTGGAATTTCAGGTTCATTATCTTCCTGAAAATGAAATAAAATAGCCTAATAAATTTTAAATTAAAAAAATACGTTAATTGATTTCAAAGCTATTTTTTCAACTTCCATAAGTAAATAATCTCTAAAGCGATCATGAACACTGGGAATTTATTATCGTGGGCCGGCATTAGTTGAATCACATCACGAAATTTTGTGAACCTTTCCAACATTAAAAATGTTGAGTTCCATCTTACTTCTATCCCCTATTAAAATAAAGAATCAAAATAATCAAGTTTCAAAAAACCTTTCTTAAGTTTAATTGAGGAAGACCGAGTTCATCCTGCAACTTCGCAAATTCATCTCTCACGCAACGTGACTTTCTAATCCTTCGTATCGCTTTTTTTACACGTTCTATGACTTCTTTAAAACCACTCAATAGCCTTAAGCCGTCAGCAATTGCCTTAAGTTATAAAAAGTTAAAATTTTTAATACTACCAAACCAATTGAATTTTGTGTGAAGAACAGTGTTGCGACTCAAGACCGGCGATTCTAGTTGCTTTCTGCATTGCGCTTTCGTTGTCTCGTACGACCATATGTATTTTTTTGTCAATTCCAAACTTACTAATAACCTTAGCAACCAAAGATGCTATTCTATCGCCTGTGTGACTTCCTTTAATAGGCGATGCAGCAAGTAAAACATGTTTAGGCTCAAAGTTTTCTTTAAGAAAATGACAAGTCACGCCAAGTAAGGAATGGGTGCTTTCCTCTGATGACCACGAATCAATACTTAAAGAAACAAAAGGTGCAGAAAAAACATCTTTTTTTACAACATCCACCATGTTTTCATACATTTTTGGCAATTCTTCGTATGAGAAAAAGTTTCTTGATCTTAAATGCAAGTTACATAAAGACTTTAATTAAAAACCTGATTTTATATTGTGGTTGCAGAATATGTAGTAAATTTTTGAAGCCCGGCTCTTCAACGAAAGAGAATGGGAGACCTGCAGTACATATCAAGGAAATCACTGCTCTATTTACTTTCAAAGTCATTTCGCCGTCGGCTGCCCATTGTTCTTAGATAAAAATTTATAAATATTAAAAACGACTAAATTCTTACTAAACACATCCTCAATTCTTGGTTGTTTTGTTGATGTCATTGCTTGGGAAGTTGAAGCCGAACCGGCAGAAACAGAAAATATCCTTTTCAAACTTGTTTGTTTAAGTTTTTCTGCTCCTTCATCCATCTCTTTTTCTGATTTTTCGGATTGGAGGAGCTCAGAAAACACTGATGGATGCCTACGCTCTAAATGTTTACGCAAAGAAGTTGTTGGAAACCCATATTGATTTTTTGGTGCATAAAAATAGTCACAATGTTCTTGTTGGCAAGAAATTTTATTTTTTTCAAATTTAAAATAATTATTGTATTTGCTATTGCTAGCCATTTTTCTGAAAAAAATCAAAAAATAATTATCAAAGTTTCGTTAACGAAACACAGGTGTTTCGTTAACAAAACGAAACGAAACAAATTAAAAAGTGTTTCGTCACGAAACGAGACGAAACAGAAAAAAACATAACGAAACTAACGAAACAACGAAACGAAACGAAACGTTTCGTGCATGTCTGCTCCAGAGCTCAATCGAAAAAAATTTTCCACAGCCGCAATCCGCAGCCACTATTTTTATTTTTAAAATCGCAGTCGAAATTCGCAGTCCAAAAGCCGAAAAAACGCAATTTTACGCAATCCGCAGTAATTTGGAGGCATATCGAAATTTGTAGATTTGAAATTAAATGAGATATCATTGATATCGTTTTGATCATGGATATCTGAAAGACATCAATCACTTGTCCACCTATCGTTAAATTGCGAATAATTGCGTGAAAATTGCATAAAAATCCTAAAATTCCACAAAAATCCAAAAAATCCACAATTTTAAAATCTGCATTAGCAATATGCAGTCCGCAATTGCGGAAGCTCTTCTCCAGATCGTGTTGACATTTTTCTCCAGCCTCTAACGACCGACAGCCTTTCCAAATCCCTTGATATGTATAGTAAACAGAGTTGGCTTCCGCTATTTTTTGAATTATTTCAAAAGGTTAAGCGGCGGTTGGGAGCAGACCTGGGCGAAACTCAAAATTTTTTTCTGACGAAACGAAACGAAACAAAATTTTTTAAAAATCGTTTCGTTAACGAAACGAAACGAAACAACCTAAATCTTACGAAACGAAACGAAACAAAACGAAACATTTTAATATTCAAAAAATTTTCAAAACTGCATTTATTTCGCAATTATTCGACCTCAAATACTTTATTAGTCGCCTATGACTTATAAATGATTTAGTTATTGGTTTATTTACAACAATTGTGTCCCATAAGCCAGGCCCCATAAGCCAGGCCCGTCTCCATATCTCCATTTCGAGAGGAAGGCGATATAAGCTAGTGCTTCGCCGGAAGTTCCGGTTCCAGTATTTCCGCAACTCGCAATCCGCAATTTTTAAATTATGATGCGAGTCCGGTAATAGAATTTGTCGTCGATTAAGTAATATGTATATGTGAATTAGGGAGTGGAGTATAAACGGATTTGTAGTATATAAGTAATTGATATCTTCCTTTTTCAGCGCCGCAGGCGAAAATTTTGACAATTTGGGAAAGCAAGAAGCCGAAATTCTTTTTTTTCAGCGCCGCAGGCGAAAATTTTTTAAATTTTCAATAAAAGATGGTAAATTTTATAGATTTTGGCCTTAGTTTAGGCTTAAAAAATTGTTTCGTTTCGTTGAAAAATCACAGGTGTTTCGTAACGAAACGAAACGAAACAAATTTAAAAGTGTTTCGTAACGAAACGAGACGAAACAGTAAAAATCATACGAAACATACGAAACAACGAAACGAAACGAAACGTTTCGCCCACGTCTGGTTGGGAGACACCAAATCCTCAAATATCGCACTCAGTGGTAGCGCAAGCAACAATCTCAAAAAACGCAATGCGCTCACCCTGATCTTAGTTAACATCATAATCCCTCGTTTAATTACCCCATATATTACCCAAAATCCACCTTAACCCATTAGATCTCCGATGTCCCCCATACTTTTTACTTTTTTCGCGTCATAATAATATTTATGCGCTCCGTAAGCGGAAATTTTGCGAAATTTGTAAAATCAAAAAGCTAGATTTATTCCGTTTTCAGCGTCGAAGACTGCGTCGTCAAATATGGTGAAAATTTCCTGAAAATTCCTAAATTTTCAAAAAAGAACTAAAAATTTCGGAACTTATTTACTTTAACTACCGACCTCAAAATTTTATCGTGGGATTGTATTCTTAAATATTGACAATTTATATATCGTTCGAAAGAGCTCGACGAGCTAAGTCGAATGGTAACAAAATCAGCTTGATTTTATGATTTTAGACAAAATTACGAGGAACTGAATTTTGCTGGGATAACTGCTTTTGTGCGGTTGAGGGGGTAAATGGTGATTCCAAGGCTTAAAATCGTTAGAAATGAATGGGTTTATGTTTCTGGTGTACAACCCAGCGAACATTGACTACCTGCGAGGCTCGTGGCGCAAACCACGCACAAGGCGCGTGGTTTATGTTGACCATTTTGAACCCATTTGTCTTAGCTCAAAATTGAGACTGCGGATTGATTTTGGTGTCATACGATTCAGCTCGTCGAGCTCTTTCGAATAATATATAAATTGTCCATATCTAAAATCTATCTGGTAAAATTTCTGGGTCGGTAGTTAAAGTAAATAAGTTCCAAAATTTCTAATATACTTCATAAATCGGTGAAAAATTATAAGCACGGGAAATTCCACAACATTTTTTTATTTGCCTTTGATATGTATTGTTTAATTTGAAATGTGGGAAAAACTCGAAAACTTGGGTAGCAAGAAAAAACCGTCTTATTTCTTTTATAAATGGATCAACTGAAATTGCCACATTATATTTTAAATACCTCTATTGTACATTCCCGACCTCTATTGTACATTCCCGTTTTATTTTGAAAATTTCTCTCCATTTTTTACTTATGTTTCTTTTCGTTTGTTTCGTAGTATTGTTCTGCCCGACTTTCTCCCTCAATACACGATAATTTTCATTAGATTTTCGTAGATTTACTTGGATTTTTGATGATTTCGTGTAGTGTTTTGCTTGAAACTTCTACTTACTCTCCTTTTATTGTTTCGTTGAATATACATATATTTTCGTTCGTTTTCGTTTAGTATATTGTTTTTAGAATCTAAATCTTTCTGTACTTGTACTTCGTACAAGGCTTATTTCTTCTCATATTCGTACTACTACTCGTAAAATTGAATTTTGTACCCCTCCTTTTTCCTTCCTAAAAGTATTAAAAAATGGTCAGTCAGTCTTAGTTTATATAACTCGTCGAGCTGTGTCGAATGACACCAAAATCAACCCCAGCTTAACTTTGGGCCGAGATACAGACCCCCGAAAATTGAAAAAACTCATTTTTCGGCTAAAATTCGATTAAACATTCGAAAAAGCTTGACGAGCTGATTCGAAAGACATTAAAATCAACGTAATTGAAAAAAATTTGACAGAGTTATGACATAATGTAATCCTACTTGTGTCGGCGAGACTAATGCAGGTTTTTGTCTAATGCAGGTTTTTGTCTGTACCTCGGCCCAAAATAAACACCGGGGGTTGATTTTGGTGTCATTCGACACAGCTCGACGAGTTCTATAATCTGATAACAGACTGACCATTTTTAATATTTAGTGGAAGGAAAAAGTAGGCCATTCTCAGCTCATACCCATTCTATTTTTGTCTTGTTGCTTGATTAAACGGTATCCTGCAAATGTCTGCGCAGGATCCCGTCCTTTGTCGGTCAATAACTGGAACTATATTTTACTATTTTTCTTTGAATTATGCACAATTGAATAATTTTTAATTTTTTTAAAATTTGTTGTTGGTTTTCAACACGTATTTTTATATATCTCAATCTCTAGTTCCAATCCTCTAACTTACCATTTTTTATTAATTTTCAGACGAAAATGAGAGGGGCTAAAGAAAATTCAAATTTTTTTTCATGAATCTATGGAAAACGAAAATTGTCTTGCAGATTTTGACTCTAATAATAATTTTTTGCAGTACTTTTTAATTTTTTTGAACGGCGGTTCTCAATTATGGTACCAATCTCCTTAGCTAGTTAATGGAATCGTTTAATACTAAATTTGTTAGGATTAGGAATTTTTGAAGCAAGACAAGGCTTTGCGCCGTTATGGCCGCGCGCCGTTTTGGGCTTGTCCCATAAAATTTGAAGTTAGCTAAAAAACACCTGATTCTTTAGATCCGTATTAATTATTTCAATTTTGTTTTGGTATTCGTTTAGTATTTAACTTAGACTCAATTTCAATTCTTCCCAGCAGTTGATTAATTCTGTTTCAGTTACTTGGCCGCTACTATGTTACAAGTGTATACAACATCCCTCCCATATAAATGCTCAAAGGCCTAGGTTTTAATTTCACAAAAATATAAACTTTCAAATTAATTTAGTAAAGACTATATAAGCGCTTATAAACGTGAAACGTGCACAACAAAATTACATAAAATATGTCGTGAAATACGAAATTGAACGTCAAAAGATTGAAAAAGAAAAGAGAAAAAGCTGAATTTCAAAAAGAATGGCGTCGAAGGTTTATTAAAATTTGAGAAATTTTTTAAAAAAATTTAAATTCAGAAATAATCATGTTTTGCAGCTAGGAACATAAAAAGGACTGCCTAATTTAAATGCACAAATTCGAATAATTTTAGAAAAATTGGAAAGAGATAAAGAAACAAATTAAATTATGATAATTTGAGGTTTTCCTTCTTAAAAATTTTTTTTTATAAAAATTCCAAAATTTTAAGGACACTTAATAATGGTCAATAAACTCTATTTCTAAGGAAGGGAAAAAACGGTGTCAGAAGTCAACAGCCATTTTTTAAAAATTATTTCAGTCGAAGCTCATTTTTTGAATACTCCCAAAATTGGTTATTTTTTGAGTTTAAGATTCGGGTTTTTTTAATTTTGGCTGGTTTTACTGGGTGATGGTGGCCGCCTAAATTATACTCCGTAGTTAAAATTTTCTTTAATTAATTTTAAAAAAATTTTTCTAAAAATACTCCAATAAAAACTTCATTATAATTTTCGATTTTTTCAATCCAAAGGAAATGAGTTTCGACCAGGGCTAGACGAAATTACGTATTGCGTGAAATTATGTTTTTTGACATGCGGATTGCGTATAGCTGCTGCGGATTTAAAAATTTTCACGCAATTTTCACAAATTTACCGTCCATAAAGGGGAGAATCTGGCTTCTTAGCTTTCCAAATTTTTCAAAAGTTTAGGAAGAAAGCTGATTTTTTTCAATTGCATCCACACCTGGTTTCGATTGCATATTTAATAATATTTTTTTTCTTTATAAATTTTATAAAAAATTTTATTTTAATTATTTACATTCAGTTTAATTCTATCAATATTTTTACCATTAATAAAATTTAATTAAAAATAATTTTTAGTTTCCTTTCAGTCTGTTAACTATTTTTTAAAATAATGTCAAGCATGATTCCCTCAATTCAAGGTTTTTCCCACTCCTTTTAATTTTTTAAAAATTCCTTTTTCGATCTCTTCTTTGGTTCTATTCTTGGAATTTTGCATAGTCTTGTAGTCAAAATTATTTATCAAAAAGTTCCAGAGCCTTATATGGATGAAGTTTTTCATGTTGCACAGACAAGATTATATTGCAGAGGAATTTATAATGAATGGTAGATAAATTTAAATTTTATTTTGTAATACTTAGGGATATCAATAAATTAGTGATCTAACTGACATAAAAAATAACCTGATTTTCGGGAGTCGGGAATTTTTGATAAAATTTTAATTCTAGATTTTTGGGAACCATAAAACAGGGGGAGATAAAAGCTTTAAGAATTATAATTGTATAAACTAAAAGGTTGTCTAAGTTGGGAAGGTTAGAATTTATTTAGAAATCGGACGTATCGAGTATTCGATAGATTCTGCAGAGTTGCGTAAAATTACGTGTTTTTTTAAACTTACGGATTGCGTCTCCGGATTTTAAAATTAAAATTGCGGCTAAAGAAAAATTTTTTCATTTGCGTCAAGCCCTAAGATCAAGTCTATTTTGTAAACTATACAATTCTTAATTATTCCTTAAAAGCAAAATGAAATTTTCACGTCTAATACCAACATCTTTTCCCGAAGAAATTTTTAACCCTCACATATTTTCAGGAATCCAATGATAACTACACCTCCAGGGCTTTATTTCCTTGCTGTTTTATTTGGTTTTTGTGGTTATGAGCGTTACCTCAATTCGTTAATTTTGCCCTTTTGTTTTGCTGGTTTATGTCGTTTGAGACGTTTTATTTTAATTTCTATTGGAGGAAAATTGAAAGAAATTGGTAAAGTTAAATAAAATTATAGTTAGATCTCGCTATAAGAACACCCCTTTGTTCTGAATTTTTTATTCCATAATTAAGCGTTTCATAAGTTGGGGGAATCATGCCCCTTACACCCAGTAGTTAAATAAACTTTTAAAAAGTGACACAAACTGAGTATGTACCGTATTTCCTCTAAAATAAGTCCCCCTTCAAAATACCCCCTCTAAAATAAGCCCCCCTTCAAAATAACCTCTCCTAAAAGCCAATTTCAAAATAATTCCGCTAAGATAAGCCTCCCTTCAAAATACCCCCCCCCCATAAAATAAGCCACCCCTTCGAAAATAACCCCTCCCCCCTCTTTAAAATAAGCCCCTCTTCAAAATACCACCCCCCTCTAAAATAAGCCCTCTTTAGAGGTCGGTCGAAAAAGATAAACTCCGGGCTTATTTTCGAGGATTTACGGTATTTAGAAGGGGAGCAGGCCAGTATACCGCGAGCCCAGTATACCGCCAAGCTATAACTTCGTTCAAAATTTTCGAATCCGAGACGCCATGGTATGTTTCGATTCAGCTCGTTGAGGCGCATCGAACCTCCCGGATTCGACAATTTTAAACGAAGTTATAGCTCGGCGGTATACTGGGCTCGCGGTATAACGGGGTGTACCCATTTAGAAGGGACAGACCTGGTTGAGAGAAAGTTTCAGACTTCTGAGGATCTAGTTTCGGATTTCAGGCCGAAAAATGTCCTGGTTTTGGTGACCCTGTCCATTACTGGCATCCATTATTGGGCGTGTTATATAACGAGGTCTGACATCTCAACGAAATTTTCTTTTCCAGATCAATTTAGAGATGTTCGCTTACCAGCTTTAGCAATTTGTTTTCTCCCTGTATTGCTTAATAATTCCTTTCTTTAGTAATTTACTTAAAAAAATATTCCAAAAAAATTATTTTAAAGTTATACAGATCTTCTTTCCCTCACAGCTTTTATTTGGGGTATTTCCTCCCATTCTTCTTTAATTTCTTCAATGTTTTTGGCATTAGCAGTGCTTACAAGACAGGCACATTTATTTTCAAAAAATTTTTTTTAATTATTAAAAAAATTTTTTTAAGACCAACATTGTCTGGCCAGCTTTAAGTTGTTTGGCATTTTCATTAAATTTACTCAAACAATTTTTATTTAATCAAATCTCCTTTAAACAATTATTTTTCAAGGCAAATTTAAAAAAATTTTTATTAAAAAAAATTTTTTAAAGACTTTTCAATTTATTTATCAATTTTTGTTGGTTTTTGCTTTTATGTGTTTTCTTGTTTGGAATAATGGAAGTATTGTGCTAGGTGATAAAACAGCACATAAACCGGTTAAAATTTGAATTTTTTAGTTAATTTGGTGAGTTATAAGAATTCTTAGAGAGATCTCCTTACAACTCATTTCTGATTAACTGATAAAAATTTTAAGCCTAAAAGTGAGAGTGATAGGTAGAAATTTCAAGTGACATATCAGCATCTTCTAGTTATAATTCCTTGTGAAATTATTCTCAACAGCTCCCTGGAACGAGGAATCAACCCCGTGGGGCTGTATTTTTCAACTATCCTCCAGACTGGGGCTTTATTAGGGAATGGTGCTCTAATTGAGAAGGGGGCTTTATTTGAAGAAATGACGGAGTAATTATGAAGTGAATTATTTATTTTTTCAAGGCATTTCCGTCTTGATTAACTTTTCTAATTTACTTAAAAATCGGAAAAAAATATCCGTTAAATCATAAAGATTACCTCTTGCTAGCCTCTTACCTCTTTGCTTAACTCAAATTTATTAATTAAAAAATATTTTCAGGCCATCCATTTACCTCAATTATTCTATTTTGTTGGGTTTACTGCAGCATCTTCCATGCCTTTATTTATTAGCTATTTTTTTCAAAATTATAAGAAAATATTTAATCGGTGAATTAACTTATTATAAAATTAAATTGAAAATTTTTTCAGTTTTTCTTTAATTTCAATGTTATTTATTTCATTATTTGCCTTTTTATCAGTCAATTGTTGTACTTTAGCTCATCCTTATTTGTTGGCGGATAATAGACATTTTACCTTTTATTTATGGCAACGATTCTTTCAGAGACACTGGATTGTTAGAATTTTTTAAATTTTATTTTATGGGCATTTCTGAATTTTTTCTGATTTATCCTGAGCAGAAGTGTGTCGGAATTCCGACTTCCGAAAAAATTTTGATTTCCGATTTCCGAGTTCCGACTTTGAGCCATTTCGATTACCGGCATTGCCGATTTCCGACACCTTCATCAGTTCCGACACACTTCTGATCCCGGGTTGTCATAGGATCCAATATCTTTTTATAGTTTGACGTTGGATCTGGGGATCTAATGGTCCCATTGGGCCCGATTTCCTTTACACAGTACCGATACGAGATTAGACTTAAACGATCTTTGTCAAAAATCTTGGGTATCAAAGGCGCGTTTTATCAAATGCGCGTTGGGTATCAAAGGCGCGTTTTTTTTTTATTTTGGGTATCAAAGGCGCGTTTTTTTTATCCTCCCTCATACCCGGTGTTTGATCTTGACTCCTAAGTTTTCAGACAGAGGTTTTTTGATTCAAAATTTTAATTATTATCTTCTATCATCGCTTAATTTCGATACCATTTGACTTAACCCCATAAAATGGCCCCCTCGAATGGTATAGTTGAGTTAACTCGGTTCAATAGTACAGTTTCACCGGAAGTTCCTTAGTTCCAGGCCGGAACTAAGGAAAGTTCCGGTTCCGGGATCCGGAACTTAAATTGGATCCGGTTCCGGTCGAAATGTCGGTTACGGTTAAACACTATTTAATAGCCTCCTATAAATTTATATAAATTTGGGTGAGCTTTAAAACTTACTTTTTATTAGTTTTTGTTATTTTTTTATATTTTAGGCAAAATATTTGGCAATACCCTTCTATACCTTCAGTGCAATTTTTATGTTTAAAATGACCTCAGAAATTCCAAACAAATTAAAGGTCCTTATAAAAATATTTCTTCACTTTAAAAATCTTTTTAGGCCTTTTATCTTGTCTTTACCTCACTTTGCCTCATTCCAGCCTTTTTATTAGAATTTCGTTATTTTATTATACCGTTTGCTTTATGGCGCCTTTCATTAGATTATCAATCAAGAAAAGCACAATTTTTCGAAATTTTGATTAATTTAATGGTAATTTTGAGGGACTTTTTAAGCAAAAAATTTATTTTAGGCCTCTTCTTTTGTTCTTTATTTATTTTTAAATAAGCCTTTTAAATGGTCTAATGATCCAGAAAAGTGGCAGCGGTTTATGTGGTGAAACAATAATAAAAGAAGAAGATTTTTAAAAATATAAAAATTAAAATTTACATGGATATATGTATATTGAAATAAAAAAAAATTATATTTTTGAAATTATATTTTGAAATAAAAAGTCAACATTAATTAAGTTAGAATAAAAAATGAAAAAAAAACGAAAAACAATATTGAAGGGTCGCACGAGGATGATATGTATCTTGAAAAATCTCGATTCTCGATGACGGATATTTGTGTAGAATCTCGTCTCGGTCTGGCCTCTACTTAATAGTCCTGAACATGTTTTCTCATGAACTTCTAATATAAAATTACGATTAATTCAGTGTTAGCGGGATGAATTAAGCAGTAAGTAGAGGGGTACTTTTCCGTTATGACGTAACCCCCTAAATTAATGATCAAAATGTCATATATAGGGTAGAAAAAGGTGCTGAGTCGAAAGGTACCACTCTTTTCCCGGAGATGCTTGTGGACCGAGATATAGGGCTCGAAATGGTCAAAAACCATAGGTAGTAAGTTCATTTTTGGGGTATCGAGAAAGTTCATTTTTGGGGTATCGAGAAAGTTCATTTTTGGGGTATCGAGCTGCGTTGAATGACACCAAAATCAGCTCGAGATCTTGATTATGAGCCGAGATAAACAGGTTCAAATTGGTCAACGTAAACCTATGGGGAGTACATGGGTACTAAATTTCCAAATTTAAAGTACACTCCAAATTAAATTAGAAAAATCTTATATTTCTCTCCTAAATGAATCTTTAATAATTTCTTGTTTCCACTGAGCATTTTGTGCATTTCAATGCATGACATGTCAAAATTCGCTGACACAAGAAGTAAAGCCCCGTTCGACTCAGCTCGTCGAGACGAATCGAATGACATATGTTTCGACCCATTTGGAGACGGCCCTCGACTAAACTACAACCATTTTTATGTTAAACTGACACGTCGCTTCATGCTTAATTCGGTCCGAGGTTCGAAATAAATATAATTTGAACTCATATTCGGACTCAACACACTCGATTACAACCCTTAAAAGTACCGAAAGACCACTCTTCCGTATTTTTTAACGAGATGAATAAACAAGAAAAATGCATCATACAAAACCGATTATTACCAAATCTTTTAAAATTTTTAATAATATAAATAGAAAATTTGTAAGAGTTTTTTGAATATAATTTATTTAAAAAATTTGACTTTAAAAATTAAAATATAAATGACTTATATTGGCATTTTAAATTATTTTTTAGGCACATAATATAAACCGATAGCTAGAAAAGTAATCGAACCTCAAATAAGGTAAACATTTGGGCTGCAAAATTATATCTTATTATGAGAGGTACTTAATTAGGGATATTGCTTAGACATCTTATCCCATCCCAAACTATTTAAAAAATCATAAATAGAGGTGTATCTAATATTAGATTTGAGGTCCGACTAAAATATTCATAAAGAAAGCTGAAAAAAATACACTGAGAATAAAGAAAATTATAACTTGTTATAGAAAATATTTTTAAAAATATTCAAATTCCCCGTAGTTTATTTATAAATAAAATCCAAATACATATTCCACTCAAATTAATTCATTGAAGACATTACAATTAATAGTATGTTCACACATTCCGAAAGAAAAGCATAAACAATCATCTTTAAAAGATTTAATATATTTTTTAACTATAAATTTGGCTCTTCTCTGCCTTGAAACAGAGCTGCGTCGAAATCTCGATTTTCGACGTTTTTTTTATAAAATTTCTATTTTCGATGTTTTTGGATTTTCTTTTGATTTTTGATTTCCGAAAATTTTTTTGTTTCGACGCTAAAAACTAAAATCGAAATTCCAAGTTTTTTAAAGGAAATGCGCCTATGCCTTCGAAGCAGAGGAACAGTTATCACGGGAGGTACCTGAATGCTTTCATTAAAAATTACCGAGCTTCTTTTGTCCATAAATTCCATCCTTACTAAGAACATGTTTGACAATAATTACATTATCACAACAAAGAAAAATCTGCAAATTAGAACTAGGAACGGATTCGACTGGAATTATTAAGTTAACTACTTTTGTTGTATTAAACCGATGAAGCTTTAAAAAATATTTTAATGAAAAGTACTTAATAAAAACTTTAAAATCTGGAGCAGTTATTTGTAAATAGTCATAATACTTTGAGGTATTTCCCCTCTGCACTTGTTGTATCTTAATTAGAAGTATTAAAAATATTTCAAAGATTAAAAATATTCATAATTAAATTCAGTGCTGGGTATTTGACATTTGCTGGCTCCGGCTCCCGGCATTTCAAATTCATGGCTCCGGTTCAGGGTTCCGAAGCTAGCTCCCGGAGCCATGCCCAGCACTGGTTAAATCACAAACTCCAACAAAGTACCTGATTGTATAAAGTGGAATAAGACCCATCTCCTCTAACGGACATTTTTGCCTTATTTGGAAGGAATTCTTCTTTATTCCATTCATTTGCATCACATTTGCGATATGCTATCCCACTTGGAAGGTAACTAAATTAAAAAAATTTTAAATTTCAAAATCAAATCAAACATTTCTATCTTTTTTTGGTCAAAAAATTCTGTCCTTTCCCCATCAGGTTTAATCACAGTCTCATCCCTATTTCTCCAACATATTTCTAAACCTCCAGAAAGATAAAATTTAATAATATTTTGATTTGGTGTAATTATTTTATAATATTTATTGCCTTGTAGAAAATTTATCTATAAGAAATAATCAAAATTATTTGAGAATTTATGGCTTTAAATTATGATCTAATTTCCCTTTTCTCCTTAACAATAAAAGTATAATTAGGTATATTTTTTTAATTTTAATATGTACCTCAAAAGCAAACGTTTATAAAAATTGTAATTAATTGATGTTCGGGGAAATTAGGGAGAAAGGGGAATTTTTTATGAGACTCAGCTTTAAATTAGATATAATTAAAATAAAATTTGCTGATTAAAAATAAAAATTTACTTCAACTTTGTTTTTGTTTAAATTATAATTGGATATTGGCAGAGGAACTGTTGTCCAACGAAAATATTTGGAATCCGACCGGTCTAAATTATTATTTTTGCAAGTAGATTTTGGTTGAAATTCATATAAAAGACATTGCCGTTTATATGGTGGTTGACAACATAAAGCAGATTTAACAACAATAATTTCATTATTCCCATCGCTAAAGGTAAACTCATTTCCACGTGTAGTCAGATTATGCATTTTCCTTACCTTTAGAAAGAAATAATGAAATAAATTTCGAAAACAAACCATCTCAGATGGCAAATGAAATTGTTGATTTAAAGAAAGTTCCGTGTTATTAAATGTCGTATGATTACTAGGAGCTGGAACTAAATTTACGGGTTATTCGGTAGAGTTATTAGCGTGCTGTTTGTATCGAGTATTTAAAGAAGCGACGGAATTAGATCGGCGTATAAAAGTTTTGTCAGATGAAGTTGAAGTTGTGTTATTATTAAGTTTAGAAACTGAATTCTTTGGAAATGAATCTATTCGACTAGAATGTTGATTTAAGCGAAAAACATTAAGCTTTGTGTCTCTTGACACAGAAGAGTTTGTTTTATATGTTTCATTTTTATTTTTTTGCAAATTAATTTGTGATGCTGCCAATTGTTGTTTTTCCTTCTTCATCAAGTTTAATTCAGAACGAAGAGTGGTATTCTCTCTCTAAAGATTAAAAAAATAATTAAAATTTCATTTAAAAACTTGTGCTCTAGCCAACTCATTTTCTCGAACATCTAATTCTTCTTCTAAACCTTTAATTTTTAATAAAGACAATCCATCATTTGCTTTTAATTGTTCTACCTATAAATAATTTTTATTAATATGGGTAAAAATATTTTGTCCTTAAAATATTTTTAAGTTTTTTTTTGATTGTTCCTTAGAGTTTTCCAAAATAACCATAAATTTACACTATAGATGAACTATTTTCAATGCCATTTTATTGGCAAGAAATAGTGATTTTAAAATTATTATATGCAAAAATCCCCCGTTATAAATAATTCTTATTAATATACTTGTGTTTCCAATTCATTTATTCTAAGTTCTAGCTGCTGAGAATTACTTTGAACCGTAGGAGCATTCGGCTGCTTGAAATTTGGTATCTCCAAAGGCTGAATAAGAGAAAAGATGTTTGATTCAAAAAATAAATTTAAAAAATACAGCAAAAATAGAAGCATTTAAAAAGTCAGAATCTGCAAGAAAACTCTCGTTTTCCACAGATTCATTACAAAAATTTGAATTTCCTTTAGCCCTGCTCATATTCGTCTGAAAATTAACTAAAAAATGAAAGTTAGAGGATTGGAACTAGAGATTGAGATATATATAAAAGTATGTGTTGAAAATCTACAACAAATTTTTAAAAATTTAAGAATTATTCAATTGTGTATAAATTAAAGAAAAAATAGTAAAATAGTTCCGGTTATTGACCAACACGGGACGGGATCTTGCGCGAGATTTTGTAGGATACCGCTTGAGCAATCCGCTGTTTTTGATTCACGAAATAAAGTATCTATCCTCATATACCGTCACTTATGTTTTAGAAAAAATTATTCATGCGGGATTCCTAAAAATATTTTGCCTTAGTCTAGAAAATCATAAAAAATTTAAATTTCTCGTACATTTCCCATTTACAATAAAGTGAAAGGTACAAGACAAAAATAAAAAGGGTATGAGCTGAGAATAAAAACGGCGAGTGAATAGTAGTAATACTAGTACGAGAAGAAATAAGCCTTGTACGAAGTACAAGTACAGAAAAATTTAGATTCTAAAAACTAAACGAAAACGAAAATATATGTATATTTAGCGAAACAATAAAAGGAAAGTAAAAAGAATTTTTCAAGCGAAACACTACACGAAATCATCAAGAATCCAAGTAAATCTAGTAAACATGTAATGAAAATTATTGTGTATTTCAGCGAGAAAGTCGGGCAGAACAAAAGTACAAAACAAACGAATAAAAACTTAAGTAAAGAAAAAGAAGAGAAATTTTCAAAATAAAACGGAAATGTACATAGAGGCGAGCTGGACCTGGACCAAGGCCTGGATTTTTCTTGTATCCAGAATCCAGGTCCAGGCATTTTTTGACCTTATTGGGTTTTTCCTGGGCAAGAGTTTTACCTGAACTACAGGCCCAGGATCCAGTCAAGTGAAGAAATCAAACTCAAGAGTCAAGGAACAGGTCCAAACTTTTCAAAAATCTCGATCTCTAATGTACAAACACGAAGCAAAATTATTCTGTATTTATCGAAGGAAGTCGGAAATAACGAAACTAGAGTCATTAATCGCGCGGTGTAGCCATCACATTGCTGCATCATGTAAATCCATTGTTCTCTAGTATTTCTATCAATTGAATTCAAATATGTCCACAGTTGCCATCAGAAAAACAAAGATATTTACCTTTAAAAATTTATAATGCTTAAATATTTTAACTTTTGTTTACGAGCAGTTAGTTTTTTGAAATTACCAAGTTCCTTTTGTCCACAAATCCCCTTTTCCATACGAACGTGTTTAATCATAAGGGGATTATCTACACAAAGCCAAAATTCTACACTTTCGCCAGGAAATGATTCGACTGGTATTTCTATCTGAACAGCTTTTGTTGAGTTAGAACGACGAAGCTTTAAAAATATTGTTAAAGAATAGAATTTATTAAAAACTTTAAAATCTGGTGCATTTATTTGTAAATAATCATAATACTTTGAAGTATTTTCCATGTGGATTCGTTGTGGCTTTAAATTGAAAAATATTAAATGAAAATTAAAAAATTTTTAAATTCAAAAAATTTGTGAAAAAATGAAAAAAATTTATTTTAACAATTCCGGCAAGATTAAAAATAATTTATAGCTAAATTACAAGATCCAACAAAGTACCTGGTTGTATAAAGTGGAATAAGACCCGTCTCCTCTAACGGACATTTTTGCCTTATTTGGAAGGAATTCTTCTTTATTCCATTCATTTGCATCACATTTACGATATGCTATCCCACTTGGAAGGTAACTTTAAATTAAAAAAATTTTAAATTTCAAAGTCAAATCAAACATTTCTATCTTTTTTTGGTCAAAAAATTCTGTCCTTTCCCCATCAGGTTTAATCACAGTCTCATCCCCATTTCTCCAACATATTTCTAAACCACCAGAAAGATAAAAATTAATAATATTTGCATTTGGAGTAATTATTTTGTAGTATCTATTGCCTTGGAGAAAGTTTATCTATAAGAAAAAGATTGATCTAATTATTATTTTCATAAATTAGCCTTAATCGCCAATAATAGTTCCTAATCTTACCAAGATAACCCCCCCCCCTTAAATCTCTCATAATCCCTCTATGTCCTTTAGTCTAAACTGCAATTTAACGGGCGATTTTAGATTTAGATTAAATATCTATGTCATTCGAAAAAGCTTGACGCAACACCTCGCCTGAAAAAGTTTGCCGCTATGGAAGCCGTGATGTCTTTCGGAGCTACAGCAGGGTTGTCGTTTTACCCTATTTATAGGGGATTTTCCCTATTTTTGGCCTTTTCGCCCCATTTTTTCCCTATTTTATACATTTGCCATATTTTGCCTTATTTTTAACATTTTGTAATATTTTTCAAATTGTCGGGCATTTTGTAAATAAAATGCGAAAAAACAAAGAAATTTAACTCTTGGACATAATGTAATAATTCCCAAAATTTTCGCCTGCGGCGCTGAAAAGAGATCTCTCCTATTGGTCTTCCTAATTTCTCAAAATTTTCGCCTTCGGCGCTAAAGAGGAAAAAATCTGGCTTCATAACTTTTCAAAATTCTCAAAATTTTGCTAAAAATGGAAGAAATCTATTGGTTCCAAAGATAATGAAAAAAACTTGAATATCGAGATCGAGAGAGACATCTCGTACGATTCTCCCAGTCTGTCTCTAATCGGAACTTTCTGTTTTTTAGAAATTTAGTTAAAACTAGTGGAGAACATGCGGAATAAGGCTTTTTATTTAATATTTTAATTATTTTTATGTTTTTTAAAATAATTCCCTATTTTTTGCCATATTTTTGACCAATTTTGCCCTATTTTTTCCCCATTTTTGAGTGGCTGCGCCCCATTTTAGTGGTTTGGAAACGACAACCCTGAGCTACAGCCTCGGCCAGATCTAGAATCACCCGGTAAAATGAAGTGTGGCCGGCGTTATCCCACTTAATATTTCGTTTTTCACTCGATATCTCTCATAATCCGTTCAGATCCCTTGATATCCATATTAATCCACACAAATCAAAATCGTCTAAATTTTCTAATTAAAAAAATTTACTTCAATTTTTTGTATCTGTAAATTTAAATTTGATAATGGTAATCGAGGAACGGTTGTCCAACGAAAATATTTGTATTTAGACTCATTTAAGTGGTCATTTTCACCAAATAATTTATTCGGATATTCATATAAAAGGCAATACTGATGACCACATCCAGAGAGTTCAACAACAACAATTTCTTCATTTTCATTTTTGAATGTAAATTCTTTACCTCTTTCAGTCAATATATACATTGTATTCACCTTTTAAAAAGAAATGATGGTAATAGTTCGGTTCGTACTTTCCCCCTCCTTTTTCCTTCTTAAACGTATTAAAAATAGTCAGTCAGTCTTACATAGGTTATCTAACTTTAATGTCATTCGAAACAGCTCGACAAGCTCTTCCGAATGAGCTATTATTTGTTTAATTGAATTTTTAGCCCAAAAATGAACTTGGTTTACCCTTTTATTCTTCAATTTTCGAGGGCCTGTATCTCGACCCAAAGTTAAGACCGGGGGTTGATTTTGGTGTCATACGAACGGAACTATTACCGAAATAATAAAATAAATTTTTAAAAATAAACACCATTTCAGATGGTAATTCAAATTTTTGATTTAAAGATAAAATTTCCATGTCGTTAAATGCCAAGGGTGTAAGAGAATTAAATAAATTCACAGGCTGATCAACAAATTGGGAGTAGGAATTCTCTTGCTAAAATTCAAAAATGAAAACTTGAGTAAAATTCTGAAAAGACCTCTGTATTATCCAAAATTTCACTATAATCATTAATTTTTGTATTATCCTCCTTAAATGATTTTCCAAAGGCATTGACTTCTCCTTCCAATAATTTAATTTTTGCATGTATTAGCTTCAAATAAATGAAATAATTTTGATCAAATTTTAACTAGACCTCTAGTTCCAACTCTTTTATTTTATCAGAAGCCTTTCCCGCCTTTGCATTATATTCATCACGTTGAAGACCAAACCGAATATCTTCTATTTTTGCCCATTCATGGATTTTTTGTTGATTAAACTTCGCCATCTCTTTATGGAAATTTTCCCAATTTGCATTTAATTGGTGCTGTTTTCTTTCAAAATACTTTAAAATATTTTTTAAAAAATGTAACAAAATCATTTTTACGTCAAACAAATTTTCAAATCGAGTAACCAAATTTTGAACAACTTTGTCACTTGTTCTGTCCATGTTATCTATATCTTCTCGAAATGACTCTATAATTGGAGAAATGGCACGACCTCCACTGTTATGTAAATAATGAAAGCTATTTAAAAATAAATTTTGAAAAAATTCAAAAATAAAAGGGACCATTTCAAAAATTCAGGTTTTTGTATTTTCTCAGCTGATTGCTGAGAAGTGCTTTGAAGTAAAGGAGCATTTGTCAGAGTCTGAATAAGAGGGAAGGATATTACTTCAAAAAAGAAATTTAGATTAAAAAATACTCCAAAAACAGATGAAGTTGTTGAAGAATTAGAATCCGGTAGACAATTCTCCTTTTCCATAACTTTAGGAAAATCAAACGAATCTTCTTCAATTCCGCTCATATTTCAGAATTTAACAATAAAAATTCCAACTAAAAATTAAAAAAATTTAAGTCCAATTATAAGAAAATCTTTAATCTAGTGAATAGGGAAAATACAGTAGGATTAAAAGGTGATTATGTGGCTCGCGACCAGACGTGGGCGAAACGTTTCGTTTCGTTTCGTTGTTTCGTATGTTTCGTATGATTTTTACTGTTTCGTCTCGTTTCGTTACGAAACACTTTTAAATTTGTTTCGTTTCGTTTCGTTACGAAACACCTGTGATTTTTCAACGAAACGAAACAATTTTTTAAGCCTAAACTAAGGCCAAAATCTATAAAATTTACCATCTTTTATTGAAAATTTAAAAAATTTTCGCCTGCGGCGCTGAAAAAAAAGAATTTCGGCTTCTTGCTTTCCCAAATTGTCAAAATTTTCGCCTGCGGCGCTGAAAAAGGAAGATATCAATTACTTATATACTACAAATCCGTTTATACTCCACTCCCTAATTCACATATACATATTACTTAATCGACGACAAATTCTATTACCGGACTCGCATCATAATTTAAAAATTGCGGATTGCGAGTTGCGGAAATACTGGAACCGGAACTTCCGGCGAAGCACTAGCTTATATCGCCTTCCTCTCGAAATGGAGATATGGAGACGGGCCTGGCTTATGGGGCCTGGCTTATGGGACACAATTGTTGTAAATAAACCAATAACTAAATCATTTATAAGTCATAGGCGACTAATAAAGTATTTGAGGTCGAATAATTGCGAAATAAATGCAGTTTTGAAAATTTTTTGAATATTAAAATGTTTCGTTTTGTTTCGTTTCGTTTCGTAAGATTTAGGTTGTTTCGTTTCGTTTCGTTAACGAAACGATTTTTAAAAAATTTTGTTTCGTTTCGTTTCGTCAGAAAAAAATTTTGAGTTTCGCCCAGGTCTGCTCGCGACAAAATGTCTATTCTATATTTTATTATCAGAGGTACGGTTCATAACTGGATGGGGAATTAAATAAAATACAATATTCCAAAAAATCAAAATTTTCGACTAGGGCTGGGGTTTTCGAGTCGGGCCGACGTTCGAGTCATTTTTTATCGGACCGGCCCGACCGAGTCTTTTTCGGATCGAAATTCAAGGCCCGACACGATATTTCGGTCTTGGCAGGATCGGGCTCCCAACCCTATTTTCGGCAGATTGATAAAAACAAAATTTGATAAAAATATAAAATCTAAATCTTTTAAATAAATGGCATTTTCGAAGGTTTATCAACGTAAATTTTTTATTGATAATTCGAAAATTTTGAGTCTTCTCTATCTTTTAGTGTATTTCCATGTCCAGTTGTACTTGGACATTAAAAATTTTTATCTTGATATGTTAAAGGGAGTTGAAGATATACTGAGCCGGTAATCAACATAAATCAATCGGAAATTTGGCATAAAAATTTAAAAAAAAATACAAAATTATATTATAGATTAAAGCGACATGTGTTTACTAAAATTTAGAAATTGTATAAATAAAAAACGAAGTAATAGAAAATAATTCACTGCGGAGGCACTTATATGTATTCTCTCCATCAATAAAAAGATTAATTTTTGAATAAAGTATGGGAATATGGGAGGAGAAATATTTTTGTATAAAATGTGGATTGTGGCATTTCAGATGACCCCAAGTGACGCAAATTTTTTTTCTCCTCAATTCTTCATGTGTCCTCGTTTTTATTCAAAACATTATCAAAAGCAACTAAATAATTTTGGGGAATTTTCTCATGCTTCTCAAAAATAATTTCGCTCCCAGCCGCCGAATAACCACTAGCTAAAGGAGAGAAATAGATATGTATAGCCCGCCTTACTGCATTTTAATTGATTAAAATAAGAACTGAATATTTTGGATAGAAAATTCAGGCATAAACCGGTTTCGGTTAACCGAAAACCGGGGGTCAGTCATAAACCGAAACCGAAAACCGGGGGTCGTAAACCGGTCAAAACCGAAAACCGGGGGTACCGGTTAATAACCGGTAGTGATCAACCCTAGTATGTATATTCAAAAAATATATTTTTGGTCATATTTTGAATTAAATTCGAAAAAGTCGAAAAAAATCGAAAATTTTGCTGAATATTTTCCGAATAAAGTAAAAATTCTAAAAATTCGACTTTTAATTATTTCCAAAAATAAAACAAAATTTTCCTTTTTTTGTTAACATTATTGAAAAAAACAAAGAAAACTAGTAGTAGATTAATAATTTTATTATTAAAAACATTTTCTTTATTTTCCCGAACTTGCAAATGTTTTAATAATGTTTCTATTTTTTGTTGGCTATTTTTAATGGAAAAAGGAAAATAATATTTTCGGGAATCCATTATTCTCCCTTTGTATTTTAATATATTTAAAAGTAAATTTATTTGGTGTCCGCTCATTTGCTGTCCATTTCTTGGAACTTTCTTGGATTTCTTAGAAAATTTTTTTTAACTTTAATTTAACAATATTTCCTTAGAAATTTAAATTATTTATTTATCAAAAAATTTTTGTTGGTAATCCTTAAGAACATTGGTTTTAAAACGAAGAGTAAGAAGTGCTCTCTCATATATTTTAATGAGTCACTCAGCTTGGAGAGACGATTCAGAATAGCCTTAGTATCTTATAAATTTTAATCAAATTCGATCTGGTCGGATTCGGGTCTAGGATTCGAAATAAGTAGGATTTTAACTCAGTTACGGACTCATCACAGTCGATTACTTAGATTGGAGGTGGATTGGGGGTGGATTTTGTGGCTTGGATTCGAAGTAAATAAAATTTGAACTCGGATTCGGATTCAGCACAGTCGGTTACCTAATATCAAACCTCAAAAATCTTGAAGAGAACCATTCTTGTCCATCTTTTCTAGAAAACAATGTTCTTAAGGATTGCCAAAATCTTTTCTGAAATTTTTTAGTTAATTTTCAAGCTTAATTGAAAAAATGTTTTTCACATTATTTACTTTATTCCTAAGCATTATTACGCTTAAAAGTGTTAGTTCTCAATGGGATCCAGGAATGGGTGGAGGAGGTATGGGAGGTGGCGGTGGTGGTGATATGGGAGGTGGTGGTATGATGATGGGTGGAGGAGGTAAATGTTGGCTGTTAAAGTAGCTTAAAAATATTTTTGAAGGAATGGGTGGTGGAATGCCTGATGGAGGCGGTGGAATGATGAACGGAGGAGGAGGAATGATGGGAGGGGGAGATATGAGCGGTGGTGGTGGAATGATGGGAGGTGGAATTGGAATAGGAGGTGGAATGCCTGATGGAAATATGGGAATGAGCGGTGGAGGGATGGGGATGGGATATGGTGAGTGAAGAACAATTTTTTCAAATCCGGATCTGGCCGAAGAGATTTGTCTTAGACGTTAACTATGCATTAAATCCTTTCCCAGCTGTCCCTAATTAAAATTAAATTCTATTCAAAAGGTGGAGGAATGTCCGGAGGTGGTATGCCCGATGGAGGTATGGGTGGTGGTATGTCTATGGGTGGTGGAGACATGAACGGAGGAGGCGGAATGGGCATGGGTGGAATGAGCGGTGGAGGTGGCCCAGGCGGTGATATGGGAGGTAGTTATTCTAGCTAAATTTTATGATTTTTAAAATTAATTCAGGAGGAATGGGTATGGGTGGAGGTGGATCTGGAGGTTTTGGTTCGATGCAGGGTGGTGGTTATGGTGGTGGATATAGCGCATCAGCGCGTAATTAATTAAATTATTATTTAAAATTATAAGTATTTATTAAAGAATAAATTTTAGTAAATTTTTAGAGTTTTAGTAATATTTTGGAATACTGTAGGACCTTACTATAATTGCATACATGCCTTAATGGATATAAGAGAACGAACTATTTTTCTCAGGCGAGTATCTCGTTCTGAAAAATCTCCCTTCTCTTTTCGATTGAATCTCTCGATCTTGATACCCTCTATTTGACTTACACCTCATTATAAGGCCCAATATTTTTAACCCCAAGGTGACTTAAAGTGAGGTCCTACTGTAGTACTTCGAAAAAATTTCAGCTTCAATGGGCTATAATCTAAAAATTGCTGAAGGTCTTCCACCAATCCATATTCCCCCGTATTCTGCTGAGGAAGATGCTGACAACAAAAAAGTGAAGCCGATTGTTAACCCTTTAAGAACTTGATAACCTCAATTTTAGAACATTAAAAAGGCGGGATAGGTTAATGTAATAGTTTTGAAAATTTTGATATTTATTTTAACAAATTTAATATTTTTAATTAATTTATAAATATCGAATAAAATTTAAATAATATTTCCAAAAATTAGAATAGAAGGTTTATGAATTAACAGAAAAATTTAAAAATTATTCCCATTTGGGTGAAAATATTTTAGAAAAACTTTACACACGACGTCTTAATATGGGTATATCCTTTAGGTTTTCAAGTACTGTCAAAAGCCATTTCAAGTCCTAAGACCGAACGTGCCTAAAATCAGTTAGTTCCATATGATCCTCAGAACCAACAACCTTAACGATACGCAGTTATTAGGATAAATAAAGTACGTATTTATTCAGATAATTTGTTTTCGAAGATTGACCTACTCAGCGGCAGGCTAAAGAAATACTTTCTCAACGTGATTAATTTTTAATTATGATCCGATTTATTCTGTTTGATAACTACGAAAGATGAGAAATATGTAATTAAATTTAATGATTAGAGTTAAAATTCTAAATTTTATTTTGTGTTCCATTGTTTCCTCAATTCGTTAAAATATAACTGTCCAGATCTATCTAATGGCTGTATTTTTAAAATTCTTTTTTCTTTAATTCGTCTCACAAAGCATATATAAATTAACAATGTTATGGCTGAATGTAGAAGTGGAAACTAGAAATTATTGTTTCATTTATTATTTTATTTTCTTGTATCCATGGAGATAAGATAAAATTATACTTAATGAAAATTAAAAGTAAGAGTTGACGTTAAACTACAATTATAGAAGGAATTCTTAAACTTAATTTTGTAGCGGACACAAAAAAATAATAACAAATTTTGGTTCAAAAAGTGTCTTAAATCTACCGATAATAAATAAATTTTACGATAACCTGGGGCAGTATTATAATATCGAGTTAAGAGCTTAGCTTACCCCTAAGGCTCAGCTTACCCCTCAGCTTACCTCCCTAAGCTGAGGGTAATAATCGAGTTAAAGGTCAATTTTTTTTTGTAATAAATGTTAATCCTTATGTTCATGTTTGAAGGTAGTGTATGCCGCGTCTAATGGCAAAATACCCGATTAAGAGGAACCTGCTAGGTTAACAAGGTACATCTACCTCAATTTTATAATACCGCCCCTGGAGCTCGATTAAAAATAAAATTCACGAATATTAAATCCTTTCCAATTCATTTCCAATTCCTGTATCTAATCCAAACAGTTCCCAAAAATATTTTAAATTTACCGTCATAAAAATATAGTAGATGCTAGTATACTGCTCTACATACATTTCATTACGGTGTATTCTTAATATAGCAGCTCCGGTCATATAAATACCATTTAAGATAGTGTATGCCGCATCTAATGGCAAAATCAGTTTCATTGAGAAAATATTTTCTCTCAACTGGTAATTAGCACTTAATGAGTATGTTGTGGGAATATTTGGATTTTCACATCTACTTCTAGAAAATAAATTTTAAAATATATGAGTTGAACTTGACTCCCGTTTATGACACAAGGGTATAGCCGCATTCAAAGCAGGGATGTCAAGGTTTGAGAAAAAACTCAGGTCATTATTCAAAATTTTATTCGGATTAAGTTTCGTTTCGAGCCTCCCTATTAATTACCCCCTTCAGCCAGAGATTGAAAAAATAATCCATCTTAGAAATAAGTAGTTATAATTATTATTTCTAAAATAAATTATAATAATTACACCCTATCTATTAATTATCCCTCTATCGAAAGGTCGAAAAAAATTACCAAGGGTAATTATAAGACATATACGGTAATTGATCTCGAGGTATAAATGTTTGGAGCAAGAATGATAAGGATAATGCCCCAATGGTATTATTGGATAATCAAGATCAACAATGAAAGGTCTCAAAATCGACTTACTTCCTTCTAATCCTTTTATTAGCTCTATAAACCAAAAAATCACAAAAAGTAATAACTACACATATAAAAAGTGTAGCATAAAAAGAATACAGAATAATTGTTGCATTGTATTTGGAGGTCAATGCTACAATACCCAAGGGTTGACCAAAAGCGTCATTATCAGCTAGGGCTGAACAAATTATATAAATTGTGTAGATAATTGATAAAAACCACTGAAAATTAAATTTAAAATCTTTTTATTGAAATTCAAGTGAAAAATGCTGAACCTCACTATAAAATAGTTATAATGAGCAGTGTTTGCAATTTTGAAATTTGCTCGTACTCGTACATGTTTTATTTTTTTTCTCGGTCGAGCTCAAGCACAAATTTTGAGACGAGCTTACAAGGACTGATAATTATGAATACCTAAATAAAGGGTATTTCTTAGGCTGATCCGTCATCCAATGTTCGCCAAGTTTTACGAAACAGATCTTGAACTAATGTGTATCTAGTATGGGTATTTTATATTAAGCTGTGTTTCGAAGATGTAACAGAATTAGTAACGTATCGGTCCTGTGTAATACTATAGTACGAGTAAATTTAAAAGTTCCAAACAATGCCAGTGAGGTTAAACTGTATAACGAAGTTATTTATTACCACAAAAATAATTCCTCCAGCAGTAAATTTAATGCCTTCCGTTTCATAGTGCCTTACAAAAATAGTTGCACGAACACGCTCCAGCATAATCAAAAAATGAATGCAAGTATTTGCAATTAAATAAAAATAGTTTGGAGCAATTAGAACAACGGCAAGCCAGACAGGCGTTAATAAATTGCAATTAACAGAATATGTGTAAACTAATATCTTAAATTTTAGTTTGTTAATGTCGAAGGTTAAGTATATCCGTCGAAACAGTTAACTATGTGTATAAACCGTAAGAAATTCCTGCCGCCATAATTTTAATCTAGTAAGGATGAGGATTCCTCAGTAGCTGCCAATTACAGATAGGGCCGAGACAAGGACTCATAAAAAAGCACAGTCGATTTTTCGAGATATTTCGAAGATCAAAAACTAGATTATAGCTGAAGCAACAAATTCACATTTTTACCATAAAGTAAGAGAGAGCTTCCGTGAGTTATTGTTAGGCCTCGCTCACTACTAACAGATATGCTCTAACGTCTGAGTTATTAAGGCCCTTCTCCTCTAAACTAATATGACCGTATCTTCTTAACTTAATCTAGAATCTGTCCCATTCTCAACGATTTTTTCAAGCTTATTGTTTTCCTCTAATATTTTTTCTCCACTAATTAACTCCAAAAATAAAATTTACAAAAATTTTAAAATAATTCACCTTGTAGCGAATTATATTAGCTGCCCAGAAGGACGCATTAATTAAATAAAATATAATAGCATTAAATACTAGCAACTTTAAAATTAAAAATTAAATTCAATTTATTAAATTAAATTACCGTTAAATTTGAATGTAAAGGTATTTTAGCTTTGCTAAATTGACGAAAAAGCACTGCGGAAGACGTGAACAAAATAAATAAAATAATTAATTGAACCCAGGTAATTAATCCAAAAAGGGGATTTAACAAAAGATTTTCAATAAATGAACAGTTTAAATTTGTGATATTTGAAGATGACATTTTAAAGAAATTTTTTAATTGAGAGAGAATATTTTTACTCAGAAGTATAGTCGCACTTGGTAAAAGTGTTTAAGCCAGGAATGAGTTTAGGCTAAAAAATATAAAATTTAGCTAAAATATATTAGATTAAATTGGAAGAATGATGAAATAAAATTGTTTAAATTTGCAAAATTATCAACTAAGCGTGTAATTATTGCTGGGAGGCCAAGGTACCGCAGGCCTAAGGTAACTCAAAATGGTTGTATCCGGGATGCACTCGTACGATTCGATTCAGCTCGCCGAGGCGCATCGAGACATACCAGGTGTCCCGGATTTGGCGTCCAGGATTCAGCAATTTTTAACAAATTTATAGCTCTGCGGTATCTTAAGCTCTGCGGTATCTTGGGGTTATAATTTTAATTAAAAATTATAACTGAAAATTATTATTAACCCCTTTTTGCTCTTGATATTTCGTGTTTCTAAAATTAGGAAAAATTTCGCAAAAATTCAAGCAAATATAGAGGCATATGTTTATAAAAATTGTATAGCTTAATTAAAAATTCTAACTGAAAATTATTTTTAATTTTTTTAAATTTAAGATGCTATACATAATTAATTAGAAATATCTTAATTCAAATATTCCAATTATAAACAGAAAATTAAAAAATGAAGAGGCGTAGTTTAACATTTTAGGAAAAAAAGGCTATTATTAAGGAAACTGCTTATTATTAGTGGACGGGATCTTAAAAAATTTTTTTTCTATTTTTTCTATTGGACGAGATTTTAAGCTTTTTTAGGAAGCTTAATTAAAATTTTATAAAATAGGCTTGTTGGAATTAAAAAAAATTACATCTGTTTATATATTTTTATTGACCAATTTAACTAATTCTACAAGGAGCCTGCATCCCCAAAAATATGGAATTTATTTTTCATGCCAGCACGTTCCAAGTATCCAAATATGTCTAAAATAAATTTTATTTTTCAATACTCCTAAAAATTAGATAATTTTTTAGGATATTAAAAATTTTGGCGCTGATCTAGTTTATGCGTCCAATGAACTTTTATGCGTCCAATCAACAAAAAATTAGACTTTTCATGGTATTGCAAAGAAGGGGTATGGTTCCAAAACATTACTTCATGTTCGGGACCCACATACTACGTCCATTGGGTCTGGGACCATTCCTTACCCTATCCCTCAAAATTTCTGAAAGTTAAAATCGTTTTCTGAAATTTTTAAAAATTGAATATAACTTCAATTTGGTAGGATAATAGGGGGAATTCTGTCTAAACGAAATCCTCTATCTAAACTTTACTATTAAATAAGATTTCTTACCCTAAGTTGGTATTTAAATGAGGTTCGAGTGTTCAAAAATGCATACCTATATATAATTAGAATAAAAGATAAGTAATTAATAAAAATTTATAAATTATAAGGTATATGTATATTTTAAAAATTTTTTCATCTAGTATGTATTTAAAATTTATGGCATGTGTTATTAAAATATTTTTTATTTAAATATTTATTAGCTCAAATAAAAAAATGGCATGTCTTTAAGGTAGAAACGGGTAAAATTATTTTTTTATAATCCATGGCATGGTGTTTTAAACAATAAAAAATCTTTAACCTCAAAAGAATATTAAAGTAAAATAATTTTTAAAGAACGGGCTTTCAAATGAGCTCAAAATGAAAATTTTAAACAAACCATAAGGGGTCGAAAAATTTTTTTGAAGTAGAAAAATCGTGTTTTACGTTGATTTTCAGGGTATCGAGATCTCGACACTGGAATGAGATAAGGGCCTAATTTTTTTTTATTTTCTATAATATCGATAGAGATGTTTACTGTATTTTTTGTAGAATTTTACAACAAACAGAAATTAAATTTTTACAGGGGTGCTTATACTTTTGTGACAGAGTGTAGACTAAAAAATAAAATTTTGTAACAAAATTAATTTTTAAAATTGTGGAAATTAACGACTAGGGTGTCTATTAAAATATTTAAATAATAAACAAATTGGCTAGCTTTTGAAATAAAAAAATATTTTTTAAATGCTTATTTAACTAGAAAATTTTAATAAGAAAGGAATACAATTAAAGTGGAGGTTGGCTGACACTGCCAAATGACTGGCTTTTCTCTATGAGCTTTCCCATAAATTCAATTAATTTTAGTGTTACGACAATTTATTATTCTTAAAATTTATTAGGTGACGAAATAAAAGGTAAAAAAGTAAATAGAAAAAAATTCTTGTTAATTAAATAACAATGGTACATAAAAGAAAGAAATTGTACTATTTTTTGAGAAATAATGCAAATTAATTCGAGGTTCGAGGATTAATTCGAGGCTTTCTATCAAATTTTATCCTGTCAGGACTATATCTAGGAAGTAAAGTTATAGGAAGAAAAGTTATAAAAAAATAAAAATGGTATAAAGACTAATAATGATAACGGCAGTAGCCGATTTTTGATTAAAACGAGCATAGACAGAATACAGATGAGACATATTTTAATATTAGCCATTTGCCAGAATTCTGGCGCCAATACGTCATTTTCGGCAAAGCTGTCTTAATTAATAAATATATAATTGGTTTGCCATCTGGCAGAATTGTTTCATGCAAACCATTGCCTTTTCATGCAAACCATTGCTAAGGCAAAAGGGAGATATTAAAATAACTCTTGAAATCTCCAAAAATCTCAATCATTTAAAATCAACAAAACAGAATCAATTCAGAGCAATTATGGGCTGATCTTGATTTATCATATAGAAGATCCAGCGGCCTAATTATAGCAAAAAATGTCAATTTTTTAGAATTTTAAGATGTATGTACATATTTTAAAAGACAAGATACTAAAAAATTTTATGCAAAAAATCAAGCAAAATTCAAAAAATAACTATCAAATTCAAAATTATTTTGAATTCCACTGTTTTTTCAGTTCCTTAAAGTATAACGGTCCTGTCTGATCCAGCGGACTTATTTTTAAAATTTTTCTGCGTTGGATTCTTTTAAGAAAACAAATGTAGATGGTCAGAGTTATAAATGAGTGGAGTAGTGGTAACTAAAAAATTAAATTATTTTTGTAAAAAATTGTAGTGAACCCTCGCCTCACTATAAGAAACACCCTTGGGGTTGGAAAAAGGTACCTTTCAATGAGATGTTTATTAAATGGGAGGTATCACTAATGCAGATCTTACACCTAATCAGGGCTGGGATTGATTATAGTTGGATGGATTGTAGGATGGATAGGATGGACTTGTTGGACTTATGATAGACTTATGACTTTGATGGGTTATGAAATTGATGGACTTGTAACTTGATCATAGGATGGATTTGTCGGATTTTTTTTATCTAGTTTCGAAATTCAGGTCGAAAAAAGGGTTCGAGAAGGCGTCCCATTCTTACTTTAATTGCCCTACAAATTTGAAAAACGTATCCTAAATTGAGGTGTACATAGTATTGGATGTATCTTCAGAGCTCAGACTGCATTTAAGAATAAACCCTCACCGTAGTTGCCAAGCAGTAAAAACTAATGTAATTTACATCACCTATCGTATCTCTATAAATTCTAAGCACAGCAACACTAATTAAATAAAGTCCAAAAAATAGAGCATAAGAAGCATCGAGCGGCAAAATGAAACGCATCGAAAGCAAATTTTCGTTCAGTTGGTAATTAGCACTAAGAGAGTAGGTGAAGCTAGTTTTGTTTCTTTAAAGAATAAATTTAAAAATGTTTAATAATTTAATGTTGTAACTTGGGTTTGGCATTCATGGTTCGGAGCTCCTTTCAAATGGGAGTCTATCTGGGCTACGTATCTCAGAGGAAGGCCTCTAGGCATCTGTGAGCTACATTCACCGGGGTTACAAAGCTCTAAGGAAGTGCGACGAAGTCTTTGGTGAATTTCTTTCACCGGGGACAGGGGTCGAACCCAAAAAGCAATCTACTCTCTAGGGAATATAGTTTTTTCTATTTCACTCCCGGTGGATGGCACGTAAGGGGAGGAAGGAGGGGGGGGAGGGGGGAGTGCAACAGCAAATGAGGATAACATAAGTCAATTGTAAAACCTCTTCTTGAAAGTCTTGTTGGTTTTATAGATAACAAAATCACAAATTGTAGTGATCGTAGCAATAAACAGAATTAAATAATAAGTATAAAGTAAAATTGTTGCATTATATTTTGATGTTAAATAAACAACACCCATTGGTTGACCAAAGGTATCAGTATCAGCTAGTGCAGATAAGATGACATAAATTGTGTAAACAATAGACAATGACCACTAAAATTCAAGCAAATAATTTTAATTTTTGAAAAGTATTTTAGAAATTTTAGAAGTTTAATTGGGATGTTTTAATTAATAAGGATCAGGCCGAATCAGGTACTGCGGAGAAAAGCGAGTAAAAAGGAAAAGCTGTGTAATTACTCGTCAAATCAGTCTTGAAAAACGGTGATCGTTCGAGTAGATCTGTATGTTCCATAGCCACAATTCTCAAGTGACTCACAAATTGCTCGTTCGAGTAATCGCTTAATTTTATGCAAATTCTAACTCAGAATCTTACTTTTAATTTAAAAAATGGAATTTATTTTAAACATTAATATAAGCAGGAAATGGCTGTATGTATCAAGAACCGCAATTCTGAAACACTTAGAAATGGCATAGACCCTTAAATTGGTATTCGTTAATTTCGGCGAGACTAATGCCCTTAGATTTTTCCATAAAAAGACGTACGACAACTATAGTCCCACGAATCGCACATATCTTTCCCTTAGTTTCATATTGCCAAATACAAACAGTTGCTCTAACACGTTCCAACATTATAAGAAAATGAACACCAGCATTTGCAATTAAATAAAAATAATTTGGAGAAACAGAAAAAATTACAAGCCAAATGGGTGTTAATAATTCACAATTATCTTTATAAGTAAATCCGAGATACTTAAAATTAGGAATAAATATTTGTTAATAAAATGTTAAAGTATTATGAAAGGATCTTTTACCGAAAGGGGAGTGAAGGCTAGACCTATTGCTAGTCAACTCCATCAACTTAGGTTTTTCTGATGATTTAGCAAGTTCGACACAACTTGACGCGTGAATCGAACGATATTAGGGCTTCATGGATCCTAGATTTTATCCGGACTGATAGATTATTGAAAGAGAGGGCTCACTGCTTATCGAGACGTATCTCTTAAAGGTATACTTCTGAGGCTGAAAAATTGTATTATCGAGGTTTAAAAGTTCCAAAGTATTATTGAGGTTTCTAAGTGAGTTCTTAGTCACCATCCCAGTGATCAGCCAAAAATTTCACTATCGACACATTTCACATCACTATCGAGTACCTCAAGCGATATCACCTTTGTATAGGACCAAGCGATATCCCCCTCTTCAGATGCCACATTATAGAGCACAATGTTTCAACGTTTCCTATTTTTTCTAATCTCCTCTCTCCCAATAGGTCTCCTCCCTCTCTCCTAATATTTCTACAAAAAATTTAAAAAAATTGTTTCACCTTATAACGTAAAAGAATTAAAAGGGTTGGAATTGAATAAATGAGATAATAAACAACGGCATTGGCTATTAATATCTATAATTAAATATGAATTTAATAAAATTTTAAAAATTCGAATTTACAATTAAATTGCAATGCAAAGATATTTTGGATTTTGAATATTCTCGAAATAAAATAAAGATTAATAAAAGAATGAATAAAATTATAAAAATATTAAACCAACAGGCAACACTATAAACTGTATCTTTTATCATTTGTTCTACCAATAAACAATTTAAGTTTATATTTGACATCTAAAAATAATTAAATAAATTAAGGAAAAACATAAATAAATTATTTAATAAATTAAAAAATTGGTGAGCGAGCTCTCAAAAAGTGCGCCCATTTGCGTTAAGACAAGGGTTTCGGTTTCACCAAATTCTCCGGTTAACCGAACCGAATTGAACGAATCGTCAAAATATGATAACATTTAGGCGTCGATGTGGAAAATTCCGATTTTTTGTTCGGTGGTAAAAATTTGAGAATTTTGGAAGGCCAAGAAGCTATTTTATTGGAGCAGTTAGGGAATATCAAGGCATATGGTGGGATATCGGGTGCGGTATCCCAAATATATTGTCGAGAGTAGCTCTATAAAAATATATTGGCAAATAACTGGACATGGGTTCAAACAGAAAACTTTGAGATGTACTTTCTCATTAAAAAATAAATTAAATTCTTGACACAAAACTCTTTTCGAGTTAATATAATTATTTTAGCTAATATATTATAATTGCAAATGAGTCAATTATCTATGTATACTGTAAAATATTTTCAAGAAAATTTTAGAAAAATATTTATTATAAAATTTAAAAGTGTACGAAAAACAGAATTCTTAGTAGAATGAACAAAATATAAAATTTCCACGAACACAAATCAAATTAAAATTTTTAATTAAATTATTAAATATTTATATCTTTCTGAGAAATTTTCATTATTTACGAGTGAATTTTAAATTAAAAAAATTTTTTTTTAATTTAAATAAATGTCTAAGAAAGTACAAAAAGGCTTGTTTTTGTTTTTAATTTTTGATTTTCTAATTTTTTTTTAAATTTTTTCCTACAAAAAACATTTTTAAAAATATTATTCTTATTTATTTATTTTCATTTTTACTGAAAAATTTAGTCATGAAAACAAGAAAAAAATTAAAATAAACAAATATCTTTTGTATCTTCCCAGACAATTAATTTAAATTTTTTTATTTTTTGTCTAAAATTTTTGCCTCATTCTCAAAGGCTACGATATTTTTCATTCAGAATTTTGAGATTAGCTTGTGGAAAGAGCTAATCTCAAAAGGTCATGTTCCGAGCAAAGTCGTCGAGACTCATTTACTAACAAAGGGAATCCTTTTGATCTACCGTAGCGGACCGATCTGACTTTTTTAAACCTTATAGCTATAGCTGTCGGTTCGAACGAACCGAAGACCTGAGGATTTTTCTTTAGGGTTGGTTTCGGGTATCCAAAAATTTTACAACACTATTTGTAGCTCTCAATAGGTTTTTAATTCAAAAAAATTTTTTCTACTTCAAAAAATTTTTTTCTACCAGGCTACTATTTTCAACGAAATTAAGTTTTTAAGGTTGCCTTAATTATAGAAAAATATTTTGATTAAAAAATATTTTATTTAAAAATATCATTTAATATTTAATTATAAATAATTAAATTATAACTTATTGTTAGTATGTATAATAATATTATAAATCTAAAATATATAATTTTTTTGCAAATATATATTTTAGGGGAAATTTCCGCAAAAAATCTACAAAATAATGTAATTTTAGATTAAGCAAAATAAAATATAACACAAAATAAGAACTGTTTTATTTTCTCAATTTTTTTCAAATTGTTACTTGAGAAGCTTCTGTTATTTGAGAATGTTCTATTTTAGAATCTTAAAATTCTAAAATAGAATCTTAAAAAATTATATATTTCCGATACTCTACGTAATGTGTTTTCTATACATTATCCTCCCGATAATTTTTTTGGAATTTTTTCGATCTGGTTTTCGCTAACTTTTTGTTGATACTTGCGGAATTTTGGGGTGTTTTCGGAATTTTTTTATTCCAACTATTTTTTGTTGAATGTTAAAAATTATTAAAATACGGTTGTATATCGACATAAAGAACCGGAAGGGACTATAAAAAAGTTTTCTAACTCGTGATATCATGCTGGTGCTCAGAGCTGTTTCGAAATTTTCATTCAAATTAAGATTTTCGTGGTTACTTTTCTTCCGATTTTTGATTTTGAAAACTATTTTCGATTTCACTTTTTTGAAACATTTTTTGATTTACGGTTTTCGAAGATTTTTATTTTTTGAAACAGCTCAGTTCGTACTGTGGAAAAATTCTTAGAATTTTAAGGAAAATTCTTAGTCATAGACTAGTAAAAAAGTTCTTAACTTCAAGAAGTACGTTAATTAAAGGGTTGCTATCTCAACGCACGATCTCAGAATTTTTTTAAATTTTATTATAAATTAACACAAAGGTTATTAAATAAAATAAAAAAAATAAAATTAATTAATTATCAAGTTCATTTGCGTAGTTAAAAAAATTTCTTATTGTTTTTCACAATTAATACAAATATTAAAAAAATATTTTTCGTAAATAAAACACATGTTGTCAAGGTTTTTTTACGTCAAGCGGAATAAATTAATTTTGAATAAAAAATTATTTGAAATAAAAATTAGGGGTATTCTAGAGACATTGAAATTAATTTTAAAAAAATTATAAGGACATATGTAGCACTTAATTATTTAAATTTAAAAAATAAAATTATTGGGTATATAAAAAATAATTCAAAAATTTTAAGAAAAAAGTATCATTTATTTAAATTAAAATTTAAAAGCAGAAATTATTTTAAAAATTATATGTTTACTTTAAAATTATGTTAATTATCAAGTCGCAACAGAGGAGTCACATGAAAATAAAAAGGGTTGAATTTTAAAATTTTTTGATGTGATATCCCTGACCTCACTATAAGTTAATATCCTGTCTGATAATTTAAAAAAATATTTATCTTAAATAAAACAAATGTTGTCAAGGCTTAGGTTTCATCACCTCGAATCAACGGCCTACTATGAGCTTTTTTAAATTGAAAGGTATCGCTCAAGTGTAGCTGTTAAGATAAAAAGATCCGAACTGAAGACTCAATGATTTTGTTTCGGTTTGGTTCAGTATATCCGAAAACCTTCCTAGAACCGATATGCCTAATCAGGCTCTTAACTTAGCCGTTAACTAAAATAGAAAACCGTCTTTTCTGGTCCATCCAATATTAGGTCTATTTTATAGCGAGTTTGCCGACTTGAATTTGATTAAAAGTTCATGACTAGAATTATTATACTTCAATTCAAAGATAAAATTATTTGTAACAAAATTCAAATTCTTGGGGGTATCCATTTAGGTTTGTAAGGCTTCTCAGAACCTTCCTCTTTTTTATTTTTAAGTTTTAAAGGTTCATTTTCGTTTTTATTCTTCGTAAATTCATTTTCTTTCGATTTCTCGTCTCCATTTTTATATAATTCAGTGAGCGTTAAATAAGAACCTACTCCAGAACCTACTGCTGCGCAGGCTGAGAACATCAAACCGGCAGCTGCACAAGCTGTTTTTAAACGATTCATACGTTTATCTCTAACAAGTAGATTATTTCCTGTTTATAAAATTTAAAAATAAAAATTTGATAAAATTTTTCTGACTTTACTTTAAAATACAATCAATAACACAGACTTCCGAAAAATCCTCCTCCGATTTTTTTTCGATAGAACTCAGACCCTGAAAGTCTCAAACCCGACGCAGACTCCTAGACATTTCAGGTTCAACCTCTACTAAAGATTTACAAAAATTAAAAAATCTTTGGTTGGCCACCGCATGATGGTTGTTGGGGACGGTGGTCATAGGTGTATCTTTATCTCTATTTAAGAAAACCTCATAGTCAATTTTTATCTCCAAGGTTATCGTTTACATCGAGGTCTGAAGTATTTTTTGTCTTAAACTATTATTAATTTCCGGGATAAAGTCTCGTGCAATAAGTCTAACAAACACGAATCTCTATCAAGCTATATCAAATAGATAATTAAATAAAAATTTTAAAAATAGATTAAAAACTAATTTTTTTAATAAAAATTACCCATAATTTTAGCATCTACAAAAATTAATTTAAATAAAATATTAAATAAAATAAAATTTAAAAGAAATTTTTTGGAATAATTTTGAAGCATTATTAATAAAATTAACAAAAAATTAAATTCTGATAATTTATGGAAAATTTTCAGAATTTAAATATAAATATTTTCCGACTTAATAAGCCTGACGTAATCAAAATAAAATAATTATTATTTAATTATTACATCAGAATTATTAATTTATTTATTAAATCAGAATTATGCAATTAATTAAGGAAAGCACTTTAATAATTGTTATTAAACATAAAAATTTGTTTTAGAATATTAAATTAGTAAAATTAATTTAAATAAAATTTGGAAAAATTTTCATAAAATTTTTAAAAAATACAAGAGATCCTTGCTAATATAACTATAAATTACTGCGTTTAAAATATGACGGAACACACCAGGAGTGTGTCTTGAAAGTGTCTTCTTCAGGACAAGGCATCTTTGTTTATTTAACGATAAATTACTCTGTTTACCAAATATGATGGTACATGCCAGGAGGGTATCTTGAAAGTGTGTCTTCTTTCCTTCCTTCTTTTGCCAGAATTCCGACATTTTCGATCTGAATTCTGGCACCCCTGCTAAAAGCGTTGGTCTCTCATTTCTGCTATAGATTACTCCTATATAGAAATAAGGAATAATTTTAAAAATGACATCTAAAATACAAAAGCTTCCATCTGCGGCACCTAAAAATGGCAATCTTAAGATCAGGCAGATTAAGAAGCCTTAGGAGCCTGAAACTCTAACATTTTAATTTTTATAAACAAGACATCACATTCATTGGGTATAGTAAAGCAGCTGGGCTACTGCATAGCCTTAGGAATTAAATAGCTATATGCTTTACATTATTTTGATCTTTTATTAAATAATTAGCAATATTACTCGTTATTTCAATATTTTAATTTTATTTTTAAAATTATAATTACTAATATTCGTTCTTTATTAAAAAATTATTTATTTGTAATAATTTTCTCATTATTATTTTTATTTTTAATAAACAAAAACAAATTTATCAAAACAAAAATAAAAATATTTTTAAAAATCACAAGAAACTTTAAAAATTTATTTTTAAAAATAGGAAAGGTAAATTAATTTATTAAACAAAAATAAAATTATTAGTAAACAAACAATTATTTTTAAAGTAAATTTAAAAGTTTATTAAATAAATATTAAACTAAAAATAGCAAATAATTATTAAAAATAATAATGAAGTGGAAATGTTCCTATATAAAGTCCAAAATTCTATTATTAATTTAATATCATTTAAATTACCCAAATTTTTTTACAAAATATACTTGCCAAGGTGTTCCTCAAATTCTAATTTTAATATTAATAATACAAGGATACTGTCGAATCTCGATATACAGATCCTCTCGATTTTTGCTTCGAGACTTTGTATGTCAGATCAAGGGGCCGTTATATATTGGACTTTTAGATGGATATCTTTTACCAGTCGAAAAGTATACATAAGATACCATTTGTATCTTCTAGTAGAGACAGGGCATTCATTTTCATAGATCTCTCAGGAATGTATGAGGTATAGAATAGAGCCAGTCCTTTTATCAGCACTTTGCCGGTAAACTATTGTTAAATTAATCACAAGATTATAGACAGCCATATTTGAATCATAAAAAATATTTTGAAAAATTTTCAAATTAAAAATGGAATCTTTAAAAATTATTTTTCTACTTGCTTTTGTTTTAATGATTGGAGGACTTGTTTTTGCACAAATGGAAACACAACTTGAAGGAGGAAGCGGAGAACGAAGTTCAAATTTCTATAAAAATTTAAAATAATTTTTAGTTAAACGCTTCGGATATTGGAGTGGAGGCGGTGGAGGTCGCGGAGGAGGACATGGAATACATGGAGGTGGAGGAGGAGGGCATCACGGATGGCATTAAATATGCGGAACATTTAAATATAAAAAATTGTTTTATAAACAAATTTAATACATACTACCTGAAATTTAATTTTTATTAGATTAATAAAATTTCTATAAATTAAATAAAAATTTTATAATTTTATCAGTAGCTTATTTAAGAAATTAATAAAAAATTAATGAAAAAATATTAATATAATATAAAATTATGTCATCAAATAATGGACCTCCCTTTAAGATACACCCAATTTAATATATTTTTTGAAATTTTATTGGACACTTGACAGGTGCCTAGGAAAAAGTTACCCTCCTTTTAAGTATTCAATGTTAGCCTCTATGTATTTAGGATACAGCTCGTTATGAGATAAAATTTTAGTGTACGGTGTAGCTTATAGTGAGGCCGGCTAATTCTAAACACATTTTATTCATATTCACTAATAGATAAAATCTCAACGTCGCCCAAACCATCCCCATCCCATTCCGCCAAGTGGAAAACCGCCAAAGACCGGGCCACCGAAAAAGTGGTGATGTCGGCGAGCTAAAACATTAAATAAAATTTATAAAAAATTAAATAATGCCTCTATCATTTTGAGGTTCTTCCACCGCATTTGCATTAAAAATAAGAATAATATTGAGAATAAAAAATAAAATTAAAATTAAAAATAATTTCAAGACCATTTTCAATTAATTTTTAAGAATATTTTTTGTATAAATAAAATATTTTAAAATGAAGTAGACTATTTTTTTGGAAAAATGATCAAATAAAAATAACAAATATTGAAGTCATATTTATCAGATCATAAGAAACTTTAAAACAAAAATTTTATAAATAAATAAATTTCTAAATATTTATAAAAGTTGAGTGTTCAAAATTAGTAAACAATTCTTATAAGATCTTTAAATTTATTTTTTTTCGAGAATAAACAGACTGAGACAAGGAATAAAATCTAGATAAAAAGACAAGTCTTGGAGGGGGATACAAGGATAAGTCTTGGATTTTTAAACAATGGAACAAGATATACTCTACATTGAAATATATAAGTAATTCGTTAGTTTAGAGTTAGTTTGGAGAGTAGAGAGATATGTTGAATTGAATATTCGCTGTAATAATTTTGAATACCTCAAAGTTGAACTTCTAACGAATTTATTGTTTATAAAAAAAATAATTTTCAAATTCAAATTTTCAGCACTAAGTCCCTTAATAATACATTTGAGGCTTTGATAATTAGTTTGGAGAGTGAGAGGATTGTCGAATCTAATGTTCGTTGTTATAATTTTTAATAATTCGATGTTGAACTTCTACCGACCTTTATTCGTCTAAATCAGAATAATTTTCAAATCCAAAATTTCCATCACCGAGATACTCAATAAAACCTTTGAGGTCTTGATAATCACAGATCATAAAATTTAAAATCTATACTACAGAGATTTTTTCGTGATATTAATCCTGAATCTTACTCTTCAGGTCCAAACACTAGTTTTAAGCCAAACTTCAACCAAATACTAATTACCTATAAAAAAGACACCAAAAAAATTTTTATTTAAAATTATAGCTTTTAATCATAATTTTAAAAAAGTCATAATATTATTTATTTATTATATAGGTAATACATGCATTTCGTCAATTAAAAATTAAATTTAATAAATTTTTAAAAATTTTTTACACATTTCTTCTTTTTTTTAAATATTTTTCATCAAAAAATTATTTTTAACGGCGCCCGTAATATCCATATCCATAATTATTTCCCCATCCCCAACCATTCCAAGGCCACCACCAGCCTCCTCCACCACCATAGCCTCCCCAGCCATAACCACCATATCCATGATGGTGGTGATGTCGGCGTACTAAAAATTAATATAATATAATACAGTTGGACACCATGATACGCTAAATATAAGTAAGACACAATTTGCTATTTGGATGTAGGGTTGCTGGTTCGGAACCAGCTAGCAAAAAAAGGATTTTTCTGTCGGTCATTTTGTTCTTATTCGGTTCTGTTCCGGAGTTCCTAAGATTTTTCGGGAACAGACAACTCTAGATAAGAGCATTGTTTTGAAGGTTATTTATTTAAGATATAACTCGTAAAATATAATTTTTTCAGATACAAGTTGTATCCCTATTAGAGATCTAACTGGGTCTGGACCAAGACCTAGGGTTTTCGTGTACCCAGAGTCCAGACCCAGGCATTTTTGACCTTCCTGGGATTTTCCTGGGCCTGGGTTTTTCCTGAACTACAGGCCCATGATCCGGCCCAGGTCAATCAATCAAGCACAGGAACAGGCCTAGGCTTTTAAAAATCTCGATCTCTAATCACTATAATTTTTCGACTGTATTTTATTTAAAAAATATTTAAAGGGTCTTCTTATGAAAAAAATTTTTTTAATGAAAAAACTATGCCTCTCTCATTTTCAGAATTTTCAGAATTTTCTAGCGAGTTTACATTCACAAATATTAAATTAAATAATAAAATAAAAAATAAAAATAAAATAAAATTTAATTTAAACATCATTTTTGAATAATTTTAGATAATGTAAAACACAAAAAATAATTTAAGGTAATACAATTTAATTTTATTTATATTCAAGTTGGACAGATAGAAATTGATTAAAGACCATTTTTGGAGAGAATTAATCATTCACATCCTTTTTAAATTTTTTCTTGTGATTTTTTCAGTTAATTTAACATTTTAAATTTTATTTGGTACAAGTTTCCACATACCTAAATTAATTTATTTCCAGACTATAAAATACAAAGAATATTTTTAGTTGTGTTAATCAACTCAAGAATTAAATAGAATTTATTTTTAAAACATTTATTTGACGAATAGTAAAGTTAAAAAAATTTAAAGAAGATAGATAGTTTTAAAATTAATGAGAATGTCAATACAAATTTATTTTAAATATTTTCCAAAATTTGGTAGTGAAGAAAGAATTTAATTGCAAAAATGTGAAAAATAAAATTTTTTTTAAATAAGAAAAATTTTTTTCTTATCTTAATAGTTGATTTAATAACCTTGAAGATTTTAGAAAATTCGAGAAAAAAATTGGGGCAGCATAAATGAATTCTTTTTGGGGGTTGTTGGGGGCCAGACTTGTAAGAATTTCTGGGTCGGGATTGGTTCCCTATATTAATACAGTCGGAATTAGCTTACGTGTACCCTACACTAAGATATGGACTCTCAATTTAGCGTACTTATTTGAAAATTAGTTTTGCCGTTGGGAGGGGAGGGCTGTCTTTTGTGTTCCGCCGGAAGTTCCGGTTCCGGTAGGCCAGAAGTTCCGGGATTTTTTGGTTCTCCCAGTTCCGGTTCCGGTTACTAATGTCTATGAAATACTCCCATTTAAAATATCATTATAAAGTAACATTTTCATGTCTCAAGAGCATTTACCTAAGTAAGGTCCGACCGTATCCGATTTTTTAAATTATCCGGAAAAGATTACTTAATTTCCATAACGAAAAAATTTAAAAAACATAATTAAAAATTAAAATAATAAAAACAAAGATGCAAATCATTTCACCATTAAATCGTCTAAAAGAATTTCCTCCACTGATTTGAGGCCGAATTAAATTCTGTGAAGTCATAGACTGCTCTGCTTGTGGAGGAAGTTGAGGAGCAGGAGGAGGTGCAGGAGGGAAATTGCCAGTTCCATAAATTCCTTCTGTCGGAATACACGGATTTGGAGGTGGACGGCACTTGTATGTGACAACTTAAAATTGAAATACAATCGGACCTTACCATAAAAGACCTCCCTGGGACAGAAACTATTTTCGAATCAGGTTTTGGGAACCTGGCCCCTCCCTCATGTTAATTATGGGTATTTTATTATAGAATGGATTAAGCTCTTGCCTATCCAATTTTTTCACTTGCAAACAAATTTTAACAATTCACCTCTTAATTAGATGTCAATCCTGGTTTATTTAATAATAAGGATCGACTATATTAATGTATTTATTTAAATATTCTCAAAATATTTTTAAATTAAATTTACCTGGAGCTGTTCTGTAAGGCTGAAAATGAGGCTGTGGTGGAGGGGGTGGCGGTGCTGGTGGTGAAGGTGGAGGTGGAGGCCTAGTGAAAGGAGTTGTACTTGTTGTTGTAAGTTCTAAAAAATCACAAATTAGGTGATACTAATAATATAAAAATTACTCGTTGTTGGAGGTGTATTGTATGGCTGCGGTGGTGGCCATAATGGCACGGGATACTGATCATCTATAAATTATAATATATTCAAAAATATAATTAAAATTTTGTATTTAACAATCCCATGGGGCTATATTTTTCAATCATCCCTCCTCTTGATTGGGAGAGGTGAGAGGTATTAATGAGGAGGTACTGATTCAAAGGGAGAGACTATTTTTCAACAGTCTTCCAAAGGTGAGGCAGTCTTCCATTGGGCTATATGTTTCAACCACCCTCAAGTGATTAAGAAAGGGAAGAGGTATTAATGATGAGATACTTCAGAGGGAGACCTTATTTTTTTAAGAGTCTTAAAGAGGCGCTCTAATACAGATGGGGGCTTTATTATAAGTAATACGATAAAAATTAAATTAAAAATAAAAATTAAATATAAAATTAACTACCAGAATTAGCTATACAATAAAAAATTTCTAAAAACAAAATTCTAACAAATAACAAAAATAACAACATTTCTATTTCAATTTTATAATTTCTACTGTTTATTTAAAAATTAAAAATTTTTATTTAATAAAAAATATTTTTAAATTTCCTAGCATTTTTATATAAAAATTCTTTTTATTTATAAAATTTTTTTTCCTTTTATTAAAATCAAAAAATAAATTTGTTAAGGAACAATGAAAGAAATAAATTTATTTTTAATTTATTTTTCCTTTATTTTTTTCTTTAAATCAAAATTAAAAACTCAAAAAAATTTTTTAATAAAATAATTTTTTACTTTTTAATTAAAAGATTAATAGAATGAATCAAGCGAGATAGCAAAGCAAAATTTAAAAAATATATGGAAATTATTTTTTTTGAAATTGTGGAAATTATTTTTGGAAATAAATTGGATAATGTTAAAATTGAGAGTTCTTACTCTCTCTTACTCAGTCTCTCTTTCTACCTCAGAAAAATTATTAATCGAGCTTAAAAATTATTAATGGAGCTTAACGATCAGTCAAACCCTCGGATATTGAGATTAGGTTTTTTCTATATCAAAAATACAAAAACTTTTTCGAATTCCTGGATCAGGCTCTTCTGAAACCTTATCTTTTTAAAGTCGATGAGTTCTTGATTATTCATAATAATTTCAAGAAGCTTTATCTCTCTCTCGATCCCTTAGTTAACAATACAATACATGTAGATGTTCAAAGGCTATGGTTAACTTTTACTGAACATTTCCGGGGCAAAATAAAAATTTCAAAATCTAAGATTTTAAAATTTTTATTTTTATCATGTATTTCCAAACATTTTTGTTTACTTGCACTTTATGTTTACCCAATATGGCATTTCCTATTATCGAATTTTATTATTGATTATACGTGGATTTTTTATTTCTCAATCACTCACATAGAGAGTGGTTGTTGAATTTCCCTCCCCTCTCCCACCTCACCCCTCCTCTCCCCCCTCCCCTCTCCAATCCCCCCCTCCCCTCCCCTCCCCCATCTCCCCTCCTCTCTCCATTTTCAAAATTTTATTTTATTCACTCACTCATTGTAAATTATTGAATAGCCCTTTTTTATTAAGAAAAATGTTTTTAAATTTAAAATTATTTTTATTTCTTTTTCTTGTTTTAACAAAAAATACATATCAATCTGGAGATGATAAAGCAAAATGGGCTATGTCGGATGCGGAAGAATATTCCTCCTCGGAATGTAAACCATTTCTTTTTAATTAAATTTGTTTTGAAATAGTTTATTTTTTCTTATTTTAAATACGGATAGGGGATATGCTTGGATATTGCAGGAGGGTCTTCTTTTTTTAGCTCCGCAAGAGAAAATTCTGAGAATTTTGGAAAAAAGATGTCAAATTTTTTTCAATGTTTGGCACAGACGGGAGAAATTTTAGGAGGAAGGCCAGAACAAATTTTTTCAATAATAATTGCCGACATCTGTATTTTTGGTGGAAGAGGAAGCGGAAGGGACAAAAAAAGACGGAACCCATCCCTTGCGAGGATACAGAGTCGATGCGTTAGGAAAAATTTTGGGCAGAAGTTCCCACCAACTTAGGTGTGATTTTCTCAGATTCCCGTACGAGTGATTACCGAAGCGACTATAAACCCTTAGGTGTCTTGTCACAATTGTAAAATAATTCCCTAATCTTCATCTAAAATTATCATCTAAATTAAGCTTCAAATGAAAATTGGATACATTTACAAACAGACCATTTATTTTCATCAATATACTCCCGTCCTTCAAGTAGCTATTCACCTCAAATTCCCCAAATTGATCCAAGATTCATCTTTCCACACTTGCCAATACCTCAAACAATCATAAAAGATTGCGAAAATGAAATAAAAAAAGAAAATTTGACAGAAGAACAAATTCAGATAAATGAGAAAAATGAAAGAAAAAACTTTTCAGGATTGGTTAAGGAGCATTTTATTAAATTTGGTTGGCCTGAAGAAGAAAAATTCCAAAATGGAAAGGTAATTAGGGATATTAACAATGAAAAAATTTACAAACGGATAATTTATTTATCTTAATAATAGTGTCTTGATTTAAAGTAATGACTACAAGTCAATGGAAACCTCAAGAAAATTCGAACTTATGAGCAGATTAATTAGAATTTATCAGTCCTGGGTATTGGGAATTTATTTGGTCTCTTGGCTCCGACTCCGGGCATTTCAAATTTCTGAGCCCGGCTCCGGAGCAAGCTCCTAGAGCCATACCCAGCACTGGAAACTTTATACCTAGATAATATATTAAAGCGGTTGCAGTATCTCAGTGCCTCGATGTGATTTATAATGTTATAAGCTGTGTTGCGCATGCTTAGATCATTCCTGAACTCCGCAGTGAGCGTGTTACACGTAGAGAAATATAGGATAACGTATGAGATACATGTCCCTATTAGACAAGATGGACTGTCCTCATGGGACGCTTGATAAATGAAGATGTGATATGGAGGTATGGTCACATTAGTAAAGTATCAAATTCTAATAGTTGGAAATAATTTATAATTTTTCCTTATCCAGGATTATCTGCTAAGCAAAAATATCCTAACAAAAATTGATAATTGGCTTCTAGCAGTAATTGAACCAAATAATAAAGCATTTGAGCAAACATATAAATCGATAGAACCTGATTTTGGCCATACCAGGGATAAAGTAATGAAAATAGTACTTGATGCAGTAAATGAATATTCGAGGTTTTATTAGTTAAGTTAATTTATAATCCAATTTTTTTGATAGTTGTGTAATCAGATCAAACCAAACAAAGATTATTATGATAACTGGGCCCTTGTCACTGAATAAAATGAACGAAAAATGGGAAAAGGACTTTACGTTCAACGGTTTAGTTAATGAATATAAGGTATTTTGAAATTTATTGTAATATAGACGAATAATGAATAGGCTCAGTAATTAGTAAGCCCTATTTACCTCTCCAATAAATTTGGACATAAAATATTATTATTTATTTTCGTGGCTAAATAATATATCTAGGCTGTGCAAATTATAGTTTGTTGTGTCCAAAAGGATAGAAATAAATAAGCCCAAATAATATACAGCTTTACCTCAATTTTACATAATCCCAAACTAACTAATTCTCAATTTGGATACTTTTTTCAAGTTGGTGAGTAAGTTAGAGCTGCCTAAGCGATACCCACAATTTAAAACACTCATTATCAAGGCTTAAATTATAAGACACTCATAATTTAAGATGATTAAAGTGAAAAAATTTATTAGATGGGAGATTATGGAACCAACAAGGAATGAGTTAAGACCTAAGTATACATTGTCTATAACTACCATGCTACCATTGAAGCCTTTATTTTAACTCATTTATATTTTTTCTGGGAGTACGTGCACAACAGTAGCTATAGGCTTTACAATATTTTAATAATAAAATTCAATTATTAAAATTTAAAAAAATTTATTCAGTTTGATGATTCAATAAAGCATTCAAAAACAACGCATTTTTTCAAAATTTTATTAATTGAAATTGAAAAAGAAAAATATTGTGTTGATGTACTTATAATTAGAGCTATTAGACATTTATTTAAAGGAATTCTATCTAAAGGAAAAAATCCTAAGGATTGTGGGAAGGAAAAATTGAATGAATTTGGAGACGATTGGAAGATCCAGCTTGAATTTATTGAATGGTATTTGGGTATAGATTTGGATGAATTTATGGAAGCAGTTGGAATTGGATATATTAAAAATATTAAAAGTAAAAAAATTAATTATAAGACATTCAAGAATAGGTATCAGGGGTGGGGATGGCCCCGGAAGCCGGCCCGGGAGCAAACTCCGGAGCTGGTGTCAAGATACATCCAACATGCCGCTTCCACTATCCACAACATGTACATCCAATATCCCCACCCCAATTTAAGACACTTACTGGTGTGGGTGTGGGGGAAAGAGGCCAACAAACAATAACATAACTAAACAATAACCACCTAAACAATCCATGCTTTATATTACAGTGAGTTTTTAATTATAAATAAATTTAGGTTGTCACAATCACCATTTAACTGGGAAATATAAGCAAATTAAATCAAATAAAATTATTTCAAATACCATAATAGAGCCAACATTTGAACACAAATTTAATAAAGTTTGTGAAAAAGAATCGGATAAGCAAAATATAAGAATTTATAAAGTAAAAAGTTTAAAATTTTAGTCACAGAAAGGGCAATTCTTAGGGGTGTATATTTAGCCTCGATCCTCGGCGAGGTTCTTGGCGAGGACCGAGCCGAGGTTCCGAAGCCCGAGGCTGATCAATCCGAGAGAGAGAGAGAGCAAAATGGGCGAGGACCTCAGCCTCGGCAAGGCCTTGCCCTCGTGATACTTTAATATATATGTACTAGCAATAAGGTCAACATATTTTGCTTCCACCCTCGGACTACTAACTTTTTGACCCTTTTGTCTTACATTTTTATTTTCCCTTTTTCCCCGCTTCTGCTTTTAAATTGCGGAGGGGTCCGACGACCCGTTTAAGATTTATCCATTATTAAAATATGTATGTAGCATACTAAATATTATGAAAGTAAATAATATTTTAAGGATTTTTTGGTCAGCTTTGATAGAAAAAGAAAAATACCAAAATGGACATTAGAGTTACTTGATCCTCTAATTATCAATAAAATACAAAGAGGTGGTCGTTGTCTTAGATGGGATATAGATCCAAAATATAAAGTAGAATTTCAACCAACATTTCATGATTATGATGATGGAAAGGTTCATTATCTACTTATTTTTTGTGATCATTCTGAAATTATTTTTAGCGACACGAGTTGGAACATGGACATAATGTTCCGGCTTATAATCACCCAACAAATGTTAAACAAACATTTTACTATACAAATTCGGCTCCTCAGAATGGGCATATTAACGGAGGACATTGGCGGATTATTGAAGAATATATCTTGTAGGAGATTTAATTTATTTATTGTAGGTATCCCGTCAGCTATTTTAAATAGCAAACACATCAAATTTAAAAATTTATTCATATATTTTCAAAATTTAAATTAATTAATAATGCGAAGGTCCGAAAAAAATCCCTGATATCCTGAGCTTTTAGAGCCAACCCGCCTCAAAAGCTCTTCTCATATAGTCTGGTCAAATTCCACGTAAATATTCCTCTATTTTTTTGGGCATGGTAAAAGTACCGTTTAGAATTATGAATTTTACTTATATGTAGCATGGTCCCATTACCCATCAAATATTCCTTCTATACTCTATTCCAATACTGATTCAGAATGCCACGTATCATATAGACACTTTCCTTTATCTATTAATTTTAATATTACTTAAAGTTGTATGGCAAAAAGTGGACAAACAAGTGTTTATACAGGCCCATTATTCCTTCCTAAAGAACAAATAATGAAATTTATGCTTATCGGCAAAAGCGAATTAGCAGTACCCACAAATTTCTTTAAAATAGCTATAGTAGAGTATTTAAATGATATTGGAGAGATAAATTATTGGATTGAAGCATTTGTTCTTCCAAATGAATTTAATGAATTGATGATTAAAGAAATTGAAAAAGAAATTTCTTTATATAAATTAAAGGAAAAATTGCCTGAATTTGTATTCAATTGTCGAAATGCCGGTTATAAAATTAATCAAAAAGAAAACTCGAAAAGAATTAATATCCACAATTTGATAGCTAATTATAGCGAATCTGTTGACTTTATTGAGCAAAATTCTGAATTTAGAATTTTGACTAAAATCAAAAAAGCAATTAAAAATTTAAAAGGAGGGCATAAATTCCATAAAGATAAAGCTGGGGAATTTCAAATTATTAAAGAAAAAGTTGTGGAAGAAAAATATAGGAAGGAAGAATTAGAAAATTTAGAGGATGAACATGAGGAAGATGAAGTTTTAGAGAATATTTCGGTTAAAGAAACAAATACAGATAAATTGAAGACACAAAAGACAGATAAATTGTATGCCAAAAATGATAAGAAAAAGAAAGAAGATAAACGAGAAAAAAGAGTAAGTTTGGTGTTGATAACATCGTCCTGAAATACGAGGTCCATCTCTAGATAATCCAATCATATAGTTACTAAAAGTAACAAGAGTCAAAATAAATAAATAAGTACTAAAAGGGTCATCCAAGAGGTTTAATATTCCTCTTAATCGGAGAAGATGATATCCTTCTTAGTCGATAAGTTTATTGTTCAGATGAGGCCTGTTAGGTATAAGAAAAAGCTCTAAGAAAAATGATTCTACGAAGTCACTGGTGACTAGGGTTGGATTATTCTAACGAGGGTCATACGACACTTGCAGATATGACATTTGCAGACCCGACATTTGCAGACGACTTTTGCAGATCGACATTTGCAGATACCGACACTTGCAGATATGACACTTGCAGATCAGACATTTGCAGATCCGACTTTTGCAGATATTAATTTTTGAAAAAAAATTTAAAAAAATTTCAAAATCTTAAAAAATCAAAGGATATAGTATAGTATACCCGTGGAAAGGTTTTGATATAAGACCCATACCAATTCGTCTCAACGAGCTGAGTCAAACGATACCACTCTTTTTTCCGGAGATTCTCTTTTTTCCGGAGGTTCAAAATGTTCAACGTAGACCTATGGAGCGCCGGCAAGGCGCTTGTGCACAACCCCGCGCTTCGCACGGGGTTTTGCGGCACGCGCCTCGCGGGGAGTCAACGGTCGCTGGGCTCTGGGCCCGTAACATGATTCCTATCATCGATGAGATGGGCATCCCAGGATTCCTCCACAGCAGCAAACACTCCACGGTGTATAGGTAAGGTAAAGAAGTGAGCGAAATGGGTCTAATCTGCAAAAGTCGGGTCTGCAAATGTCTGATCTGCAAGTGTCATATCTGCAAGTGTCGGTATCTGCAAATGTCGGGTCTGCAAAAGTCGGGTCTGCAAGTGTCGGGTCTGCAAATGTCATATCTGCAAGTGTCGTGACACGCTAACGAGGCCCCCGACCTTACTAATGACGGAAGTATGAGCGACAAAGTTAACGAGGATAAAATATACATAGAATGACCATTCCGTTGAAGGAAACTCCGTTGAATTCTCTCTCTATAATAGAATGCATCTTAGAAAGATGATTGAAAATAGAATGCTCGAGCATTCAATCGGAGGACGATAATTTGTCGGATCATGATCTAAAGAAGCGAATGAATAAATAATCACTGAACATAATTATCTTAACATTTTAAATATTCAGATTAAAGCAAAAAAGGCTAAAAAAACAAATAAAATAGCTTCAACTATCATTATATCCGAATCAGAAAAAAATATCCCACAATTGGAAGATTCAACATCAAGTCGATTAGATGAAGGTTCCGACAATCTAAATAACAATGAAAATGAGCAAGTTATTGAAGCAGAAGAAAGTAATAGAGTAATTTGGCATAAGAAAATATGGAAATATTTATTTTCTTCTTAGAGCTGATTAGATATTTTTTAAAATTTATTAAATAATCGAAATCCAAGGATAAATTTTTATTTTAAAATTTGAAACAAAATTCAAATCAATTAATATTTTGTTAAAATATTTTCATTAATTTTAGAATTTTTTAATAAATATAAAATTATTAGGGCTGGAAAAATATGAAAATGGAAAAATATGCAAATTAAATACCCATATTACCTGACAATGTATAAATATTCAAAATTATGCAGAAATATTTTACTATGAATATTAAGAGTTCTGCACGAGTCTAAATCAAGGGGCATGAATCGAATCATCGAATCAATCGAATCCAATCAGCGATCACGCCTTATGGATCTTTTAACCCCCCCCCCTTCCTTGCTTTTTAAATTCTTTAATAGTAAGTTCCTTACTTAAAAATAAAAAAATATAAAATGAAATCTTGATTTTGCTAACTTAAATTCTCGATAAATCTTGAGGGCTTGCTGAACAAAAAAATAAATTTTTGGCAAATTTTTTTGTCATCATTAATAGCATATTTTTCCCAAGCATATTTTTGGCAGCTCTAATACTTCAATTAATTCGCCTAATTTTAATTTTTTTAAAAAACACAGTTAGCAAGCATGAAGATAATAATGGACATAAAATTGAGGAAAAAGATTTACCAAAAATTGTTGAAATTGAAGATAAAACAAAAGTGATTGAACAAAATTTAAGAAATACAGAAAATGAGATATTAGAAGATCAACTTGAAATTAATGAAAATTCCAATGAAATTGAAGAAGGAGAGATAATTGAAAATGACGAGAATGATAATAGAAACCCGGATGAAGAAGATGAAATTAAATTTTTAAATGAATTTAAAAGAAGAATAAAAATGGGAGAAAATAATGCTACCGATCATAGTAATGATACAACTAATTTGTCAGTTACAACTCGAAAAGGTGACCAAAAAAATTTTTTAAATCATATCTTTGGTGAATTATCCTTGGAGAGACGCATAATGTTATTACACAAAAATCGCGGGCATAATGTGGCCACTGCTTCAAACTTTCAGATTGGCCCATACTTCATGCCACCAAAAGTGATAGGAAAGTTCCGGCTCTGGAACTGGAACTCAATAAATTCAAAAAGCACCTTTTCCAAAGAAATTTTTAGACAATTCCCATCACTGGCAACCACTGATACTGATTTTTCTTCTACACATCTTAGCATAGTCTTATTTAGTTGCCCGAACTCGTATCTTGTATCACTCCTACTTTGGCTTTGTAACTCATACTCGTACTTTTTAACTCTTCTAAGTTCAATTACGAGGTACAAGTACGAGTTTTGGTACGAGCTTCAAGCCCAACGGCAAGACTGAAGCACAAAAGTTTCAACGTGCATAAATCAACGCACCATTCGCATAAAATTTATCTCTATTTGATCATCCTTAGCTCCCCAAGGGTGTATTTTTTATGGTCAAACAAAAATTTTTGAATTTAATAATTAAAGAAAACCATCAACAAAAAATTACTGGAGAAGATCCAGTTGAATTAGATGCAAAAATATTACTAGAATTGAATAGATTATTTGTAACCGGAAAACAATTAAATACACCATATTCTATAAATTTTGAAGACGTTTATGAATTTGCTCGGAAATATAAGGAAATGAGAGATAAAATTGAAAATTTTGTAAAAATCATAGAATTTATCTATGAAGAAATATATGCAAATAAATTTGAATTATTATTCGAAGAAAATAACGAGATAAGCTTAACAGCAAAATTATCATATATTTCTATAAAATTCAAAGAGCATAAGAAAATTTTTGAAGAATTAAACTCAACTATAATCAATTTAAAAAAAATTAAAAAAGAAAATCAGAAATGGTTAATGACATCTGAATTAGGAATGAGATTATTTGAAGATTATATCGCTACACTTTTTTGCAGAAATAATCATATATCACATTTGATTTTGAACGCCCCTTGTCATGCTACTATTAAAATACCTTTGGACGATCGTATATGTAAGCAAAATTGTTTTTATGAAAATATTTTTGATTATTAGTGTAAAGCATATAGCTATTAATTTCCTAAGGCTGAGCAGTAGGCGGCGTGGTGTAATGGCTAACACATCAGTCCGGTCTACTGAAGATGCTGGTTCGCTCCCAGCCGCCGAATAACCTTTTGCACTAGCTAAAGGAGAGATATATGTAGCTATAGCACAGCTGCTTTACTTTAGAGATCAAAAAATTTTTGAAATTGGGGTACATACCAGGAACATTCTGGTTTAATTCCAGAAAGTTAGAATTATTGAAGTTAAGCTGGGATAAATCAGGTCCGGCTATTAGATGTCCGGCTTTTAGGTGTCAAAGACTGCGCAACACAGTCCGCTTACAGCCTACCACGAATAGTTTTATCACAAAACCAAAAGAGGGTTCGGCTTTAGGCTAAGCCAAACAAAACAGTGTTTGGCTTATACAATTTAAACAGTTTAACATGACAATTTAAGCAAATATTCATTTGAACAAAGAACTGAAGAATATTGTTAATTGGATATATAAAATGAAAGCACATGGCAACCTTTCTGAAGAAGATTTTTCGCCGTTTAAAAATTTAGGGATGATTGTTCGTTCATGGAGAATGGTTGAAATTTTGCTTGTTAAGGGTCATGATTTGATTTCACAGGGTGATAGTCGAAATGGAATTTTGGTTAAATATGCTGCTTATTCTTTTTATTTAAAGAGGTAATCAAAATTTTGATTTTATCGAATCGACCTTAGTTCTACTTACGTCTAACAGTCCGACCTTGAATTTATACACGCCCTAACTTTGTACATTACAATTTTATTTACGAATTCTTCATTAGTTTAGGCACTAAGGGAGCTCTAATTGATATCTTATTTAATTTAATCCTTATACTTTCTAGAGTCCGACATTTTAGGTTCAGACCTAGTCAGACCTGTAATGTTGAATAAAGCCCTAAGCCTGGTTTTCCCTGCACCCAACGTCCAGGCCCAGGCATTTTTTAACATTCCTGTGTTCTTCCTGGACTACTGCCCAGGACCCGGAATTTAGGAACAGGCCTAGGCTTTTCAAAAATTCCGATCTCTAGTTACTACACATGACCTATCTGAGCCTAAAAACCTATTTCGGCCATTTTAGGCTTATAATAATTAAAAAATAAAATAGAAAACTACCTATTTCTCAATTTTCGGACCTTAAATGTCCATCTACATATAATCATGTGCTTCAATATTTTAAATCCAAAGGTGTAAGTAAATTTGAGGTTAATAATAAATTTTCAGATTGGTAATACATGTCGCATCACCAGATCGTAATATCTCAATTACTTTTGATAATGATAAAAACATGATAATATATTCTGAAGGTTCTATTTTACGTTTAATGACCGACAAGTTACGCGAAATTGCTACGAGATTTAAGGAATTTAAAGAATTTAAAAAAGAATGTTTAAATTTTATTAGATGGTTTGAAGTGATTTTTACAGAACTTGAATATATAAAAGCTTTAAAAAATTGTATAGAAGATGTAAAAAAATATTTGGAATTATTATAAAAATATACAGCCAAATCTCGTTATAGTATACATACTTCCATACTTTAAGGATGAGACCTCTTGCCTTATTTTAAATAGCGAAAGGCGGAAGAAAAAGGATAAAAATGGCGAAAAATGGCTGGTATATACCAAAGATGTATACCAAAGATGTACCTCCAGGGGCCTGTTTCAATTAGCATCACATCAGCAATGTGACGATATGATTAATTGCAACACGCGTGTGATTTTCTCAAATGATTAATCACATCTGCGATATGATTATTCGTATGATTTTCCTAAAACACGCATCGGCGATATGATTCTTCATCACGTATCATCACATCGCAGATGTGATGATTAGGGCTAGGATTTTAGGCAAAATGCCTGTTTTTTTCCTGAATAGGCCTGATGCTGAAACGTTCAAATCCGGTGTTATTTTACTGAAAGCTGCTTTCTAACTAGTTTTATCGTTGCCTAAAATTGCCTATTTTAACCTTTTCTGACAAAATGCCCTATTTTGCCTTTTTTCAGCCTATTTTTCACATTTTTGCTAAAATTTGTGATTTTTTGGGCATTTTTTGAGAAAATTCTTGTCTAAAAAATTTTTTCCGGTAAAATATAAAATTTTTTAAAAAAATTTGTGTCAAAAAATTTTTTTGAGAAAAATTTTCTTCTGAAAAATTTATCAAATTATTTTTGGAAACAAAATAATTAATATAAATTAATTTATATGTAATTCTGATCGTCAAAATTAATTTATTTAACATTTTATTGCTTAGATTTATCTTTTTAGATAAAATTTAGTCAATTTAAATCAGAAAATCTCGAAAAAATACTGCCTATTTTGCCTTTTTTTCGTATTTTAGTGCCTATTTTGGCAGTTTTTTACTGCCTATATAGGCGCCTATTTTTGACTTTTTGGTGCCTAAAAATCCTAGCCCTAGTGATGATAATTGAAAGAGACCCCATATCTCGCTTTAATCTACCAGTTTTCTACCCCCAAGGACGTGCACTATAACGAGATTCGACTGATTAACTTTTATAACGACAATTTTTATTTTGTAAAGTTGTATTTACTATCATAAAAACTTGTAAAGGATTCGCTTAGTTTTACGACTATAATGTTTCGCCTGTTGGTAGGGGTTTATTGAATTCAATCTAATTATCAAATGACTAATCATAGAAATTACTCCAAGATATGCTTTTATTAGATGATAACAGTTAAATTCAAACTAAGTGAGAAATACATATGTAGGAAGGTGTTAGCATGAATATATCTTTACGATCATATAGGTTTTGTGGATCTGTTTTGAGATTTCGATTTTTAACGTGCGATTTTAAAGGAGCCAACATGAAGTGCTGGGTATCTATCGTTATAGACCTAAATTAATTTAGTAGAGATCGGAAATTTTGAAAAGCCTGGACCTGTTCCTGGACTATGGAGTTTGATTTCTTGACCTGGTCTGGAGTCTGGGCCTGTAGTCCAAGAAAAACCCAGGCCCAGGAAAAACCCAGGAAGGTCAAAAAATGCCTGGACCTTGACTCTGGGTACAGAAAAAACCCAGCCCTTGGTCCAGACCGAGGCCGATCTCTATAATTTAGTATATCTGCTTTTACAAAGATATGAAAAAGAAAAGGGAAGAACAATGGAATGGTGGGAGATAACTTAATAGGTACCAGGGATCTAGCCGTACAGATTCCCAAAAATCGAGAATTCCCGACGTTTTTTGGGTCGGGAATCCCGATTCCCGAAAATCGGGAATTGAATTTTTATGTCGGCTAGATCCCTGATAGGTCCAATGAAAAAAATATCTCGAATTTTTTAAAGTTTACTCAAGAAGTTCACTCGAGATGTCTTTAATAAATAAAAAATTTTTCATTAAAATAACTTTTTTAATCAATAAGATTTTTTTCCAATTTATTTTAAAATTTGAATAAATTATAAACGTGGATTTAAAAAAATTTATTTCCTTAATTTAACTAAAATTTAATTTAATAATTACGTTAATTGGAAACTTAAATTAAAATTTATTAGTCAAAATTAATTTTTAAAATTTAAACGTATATGTATCTTTAAGGTATTATGAAATAAGCTAAACAAAGAGAAAAAAATTATCTTGGCTTTCAGAAATCCGAGATTTTATTGAGGGCCCGACATTCCTATATTCAAAAAAGGGAGTGTCAGGAATTGAAATTTATCAGTGAGGGCATGTTGGGATTCGAGTGTCGGGGTGAGGACATATTGGGGTTCAGTGTTAGGGGTGTCGGCGTTTCACCAAAAATTTTTCAATCTAAATTTCAGAACTAGTGTTATTCAAACGCAATTTTTCGGTATCGGTATTTTCGGTAAAATACCGATACCGAAAAAATACCGATTTTTTTTAAATTTTTCGGTACCGTATTCGGTATCGGTATTTCGGTAAAAATATCGATACGGTACCGTGAATAACACTATTCAGAACAGTAAACAAAAATTTTTTAATTCATTGGAGTAATAAATTTCAGACAGGCCATGAGCCATAAATCCTGCTTTTTATAACGAGAGACTCGTCTTAGGGAGGATTTCTTCCAAATTTTTTGACTTAAAAAAAATTTATTCTTAAAAAATGTTTCAAAAACAATATTAGAAAATTCAAAAAAAAATTCTTTCAAAGTTGTGGCATCAGAAAAACGTGTATTTCATTGGACATTAATAAGCAATATATAATTATTAAGCTAAACAAATGCAAAAAATTTATTTTAAGAAATTTTAAAAATTAAAAAAAAATTTTAAATGCGTCATTAATAAATAGAAATTCATATTTTATAAATAGAAAATTTATTTTTAAAAATTTCCAAAATTAATTCTAAAGCATAAAGCTATAATTTAATTAATTAATTAATGCAAAATTATTATTTTTTAATGAATTATTTTATTTTATTATTTATATTTGCCAAAGTTAATTTTGCCCAATCTCAAAATAATCCCGATGAAATAACTGATGTATTGCCAGGAATTGATTTTAAATTAAATTTTAAGCATTATTCAGGTAAATATATTTCTGGAAAAATTAAATTAACAATAAATCCAAATTTTATTAACCCTAAGGGAACCAATTGTATTTAAAAATGAGAGGTGACTATGAAGATTGGGGGTCTATACATACTTTGTTAAGAAATTATAACCAGTGTTCATAAATTTCAATTTTTTTCGTACTCGTACTAGTATTTCGTACTCATGTACGTGTAGTACGAATTTTGGTAAGAGCTTTTGAACACTGATTATAACTCAACTTTTTTTATCTTTGTGGTTTCTTAACTCCCACCCCTCCTGCGGCAAAGAAAATTTAAATGATTTTATCTAAAGGTTTGAGGTATCCAAAATTCAGGGCATTTAGAACACGAGATATACATAACTGAAATAAAAAAAATTTATTTTAAGGCTATCTACAAATTTCAAGAACTAAATTTCTGCATTATATGTTAACAACTTCAAAAAATAATCCTGAAAAAGACCCCGTGGTATAATTTTTCTTCAATCAGGCTTCACTATAAGATACAACCTTAAAATTTAAAAAATTGTTTATTATAATAAGGGCTTGGCAGCTAGGCTTACATAAAATTTGCGTAGAACGCTATGCTGAAGAACGCTAGGCTGCTCCTTGCCGCCGGCGGGAGACGCTGTGACAAGAGACGCACAAAGAAAGCGGCAAGACGCCAGCGTCTCCAGTGTCTTAAGCGTAGCGTTAGGCAGCTACTACCACCTTTTAATATACAAGCTTTAAAATAGTAAATTATCTTGGGGAGTATTGAAAGTAATTTATAGTGAGGTCTGACGTAAATTTATGTAGTAGTTATAAAAATTTATTTAAAGATATTTTGGTATAATGGTGGTCCTGGTTGTTCTTCTCTATTAGGATTATTTACAGAATTAGGTCCTTATCTTCTAAACAAAGATGGGTCTAAATTAATTGAGAATCCTCATTCCTGGAATAATAATGCTTCTGTGGTTTTTATTGAATCACCTGCTGGGGTTGGATTTTCTTATGTAACAGATGGAAATTATGCAACAAACGATAATATTGTATGATTAATTTAATAATTAACCTATTAGAAGTCATGACCGTTCATTATTCAAAGGATCACTTAGTGGGATTTAAGTCGGAGAAGGGGGAGGTGTAAATAGATTATAACTCGAGATGCTCCACGAACCACGATCCCATAGCCAAAGCGTTAGGTTTATGATCCATCCTCATCCTACAAGTAACCTTAAGTACTCGTTAGTATCGCGCTATTACCAAACACTGTCGAAGACTCCACCCAAGCCCTATAGAGGGATTAAACTCAGAAAAAAACTTATGAGAGATTGAAGTATAATTACCGTATTTTCTCTAGTAATCCCCCAGGGGGATTATTGTTTCAACCCATTTCTAGAGTGGGGAATTAATAGAGACTGGGGAATTAATAGAGTGGGGTAGAAAGAAGGGGGATTATTTTTCAACCCATCTCTAGAGTGGGGAATTAATAGAGACTGGGGAATTAATAAAGGACTGGGGGATTATTAGAGTAAATACGGTAAATAATGTAATAAAATTTCTTTAGGCTGCTGATGATAATTATCTAGCAATAAAACAATTTTTCAAAAAATATCCAAAATTTCTAAAGAATGACGTTTATATTACCGGAGAGTCATATGCCGGTATTTACTTGCCAATGCTTACATCATTAATTGTTAAAGGAATGAGTAAATTTAAAATAAATTTAAAGGTAGAATATGATTCAGAATTAAAGAAATTAAATTTCAGGGTCTAGCCATAGGCAACCCTTATTTAAATAAAAAGCTGGATTATGAATCAGCTCTTATTTATGCATATGGCCATGGAATAGTATAAAACAATTTTAAAATAAAATAAAACAATTTTTATTTTATAAAACAATTTTTCAAAAAATATCCAAAATTTCTAAAGAATGACGTTTATATTACCGGAGAGTCATATGCCGGTATTTACTTGCCAATGCTTACATCATTAATTGTTAAAGGAATGAGTAAATTTAAAATAAATTTAAAGGTAGAATATGATTCAGAATTAAAGAAATTAAATTTCAGGGTCTAGCCATAGGCAACCCTTATTTAAATAAAAAGCTGGATTATGAATCAGCTCTTATTTATGCATATGGCCATGGAATAGTAGATGAGGAGCTTTGGCAGTCAGTTAAAAAGGATTGTTGTAAAGGATGTGTAGGTACTGTTATGATTTTAATTAGTATTACGGTTTCAACAAAGGAAGCTTGGAAGAAATCGGGGCTTGGTCTTCGGATCGGATATCGGATCAGGGATCGGTCTTCGGATCGGGGATCGGATTCTTCGGATCGGGGATCAGATAGGATTCTTCGGTCCCCTATCCGAATAGGATCGGATTCTTCGGATCGGGGATCGGATCGTCTTCGGATCGGGGATCGGATAGGTACTTGTACGTGCTTCGAATTTCGGATGACCCGCTTATTCCTCACCTATGTGTTATAGGAGAAGGATGGGTCGGGGCAGATTCCTTCGCTCAGCATCATTCCCAAATTTCATTTTTTAACTTTAGAAGGATGTGATATAGCAAATCTGACCGGAATATGTTCTACTAGTGTAACTTTATTATAATAGTCATAATTCAATGTAAAAAATATTATTTTAGTCAGTACAAATTTACAATGGATTTTCCAATGGCAATATAAATCCTTATGATATTTATAGAATCTGTGGTAAATATATAAAAAATTATCTAAAATTCCTCAAAAAATTAGATAATTCACCAAATGCCTCTTCCTATCAAAAATATGATATGTTCTCTAGAGCAGCTTTTCGGCTGAAAAATATGGCCAAATTAGCCAAGAAAGCAAAGATGAATATTGTATAATTTTAAATATTAAAATTAATTTAGAGAAATTTTTTAAGATGGAAGAAGATACTAGAAGAGTAAAAAGAGACGACGGAAGTTCGTTTGATCCTTCACCTGTTCCTTGTTTAGCCGGTAAAATAATTAACGAATACTAATTTTTATTTTGATAATAATAGCAAATATCGACTTAAGAATGAGTTAAATTTAAAAAAAATATTGTATTATCGCTAAAAATTTTTATAAAGGATTTACCTTGGTCTTCATAGCTGTTGTCCCCAACCCTCCTAATTGGGAATTATCCTGAACTTGAAATCCCATTCCAATTTCATAGCAAAGTTAAACTAAGAGAGAAAATATGCCCTTGGAATGATCTAAGCATGGATTAAGAATAATAATTAAAATATTGTACCAAAAATTATTTTCTAATCAAGAATAAATATATTTTTTTACTTAAAGATGATACCATGAATACTTATATGAATAAAAAAGAAGGTAATTTGTTATTAGTTTGCTGACTTGATCCGTAGGAGATCCCACACCTTTATAATTTCGTATTACATCGGTTCGATAGTAGACGTATAGCTTTGTTCGAACTTGCTTTTTTGTACGTACTTTTGATAAGCCATCGCCGCGATAGCCTCATTCAATACGGCTCTATTCCATGTACCATCTAATGAATTATCCCATACCAGGGATATAATAATACCAGAATCTTATAGAGTTTTTAAGTCCGTGGATCGATCTGCTCTAACAATTAATATATATACCAAATCTTTTAAACTTTTAAAAACATTTTTAGTTATGAAAGCATTGCATATCAGCCGAAATATAAGATGGAGTTTGTGTAGTGATAGTGTTTCTTCTGAAAATAATTACCAAATAATTCAGCGTAAATAATGTTTAATTTATATTTTATTAGCTTTTGGGTTATCACTTTTCTAACTTCTGTGACCCAGTTTTGCCTTAACATGGACCCGAGTTAAGTATCCAAGGCTAAACCCTTAAACTTTCCAAAAACCCTGATTTTCTTCTAAATGTCAAAGCTGTCAATTGTTGGTCAAAATTTTATATTTAATTAAATTCTGATTAAGCTAAGAATAAATTTTCTGATTAAACTAACAAAAAAATTTTCTAAACAATTTTGTTCAGGAAAATAATTAAATAAAATCTTTCCAGATGACATGACCCCATTTTTCAAAATTATTTTAAACGCTACAGTGCCAACTTTGCTTTATTATGGAGATACAGATTCTGTCTGCAATTTTATTATGGGTCAAAAATTTTCGGAACAACTTGGGCTTAAAGTAAAATTTTTTTGAATTTTTATCTAAAATTTTTTTTTAGCTTAAAAAACCAAAACAAGCCTGGTTGTTTAATAAACAAATAGGAGGGTTTAAAACTGAATATTTTGGAGGATTAACGTTTTTAACTGGCAAGTTTATTATTTTCTTGAATTATTTTTAATAATTTATTAAATTTACAGTTCGAGGCGTTGGTCATATGGTGAAAATTATTTTTAAATTAATTTTAAAAAAATTAAAAAAAATTTTTTTAAGGTCCCCCAGTGGGCTCCCGCTAGAGCTGAATATATTATAAAACAATTTATGAATAACTTGCCTATATAAATTGGGTGATTTAAATAAATGAAAAAATGTTACGAAGAAGAAAATAATTTTTGAATTAAAGAGATAATGATAATTTTTTGAAGTAAATTTTAAAAAATTGGGATGGATTTTATGTGATTTTATTATTATAATTTTATTACGGGGTATAATATTTCATTGCTTTTAATGCCTCTAATTAATTACAAATTTAATTAAAAATTTTTAATTTAAAGTAAGATAAAGTTCTAGGGTGAAAAGTTAATTTTTTTTTAAATTATAGACGGTTTTTGAATAATGATAGCGTTTTGGGGAATATTGTTGGAGGGTAATGTGCTTCATCACAAAGTTCAGGGCATGACATTTTTAGGGAAATTATTTTTAGGGATAAGTATTTTTAGGGAAGTTTTAATGGAGCAAACTTAATCGCCTGTGGTGATTATTTTCATTGTTTCACTAATTTGCCTCTGGAAATTTTCTGGAAATTTCCAAAAATTTTGTTTTTATGAGAATTTTCCCTCTATCTTAGGTCTATCTAAAAGGTACTTACGTATTTACTCGATTAATTCCCCTCCCTTGAATAATTCCCCACCCTCTATTAATTCCCCATGCCAGGGATGAGTTGAAAAAATAATTTTCCACCCTCAATTACCCTATTGCACGTTCAAATGCCAAAACTCGAATAATTCCCCTCCCTTCGAATAATTCCCCATCCCATGGATGGGTTATAATATTAATTCCCCAGGGGAATTAATCGCGTAAATACGGTAAATAAATAAATTATTACATCAAAAATGACGATAAGAATTAATAAAATAAAATTAATCTCCAAATTCTAGTCTTTCACATATAAAAATCTTAAATTTTATTCAATTCCTTTAACGTTTATTCGAAATTTCCGTCTGATCTCGACTAATAAATTTTTCCATTTATTTATTATTTTCTCGTTGATCAATAAATTTATTTAACCGTCTGTTAAAGTAATAGTTTGCACAGCCTGTCACTATCTTCTTTTTAAAATAAAAAATAATAATATAATTATGTATATATATACTTAATAATTAATAATAAAAATTATAAAATCATCATTATTATTAGGGTTGTTCACTACCGGTTATTAACCGGAACCTCCGGTTTTCGGTTAATCCACATTTTAAAAACCCGGTTGTTAGGTTTTGAGTTTTAGACATATATCGGGTCACTACTGAAGATGAGGGTGCTCTGTGCCTTTTTCGGCAAACATGTAAAAAATAGTCAAGCTATCAAAGATTATAAAACTCGTCGAGCTGTGTCGAATAACACCAGGATCAACGTGATTGGACAAGATTCAACAAAGTTAAAAAATGATCAGTCTATCAAATGCTCCGATGGGTCTACCTAATACTCCTATAGGTCCTGTCAGTTTTCGGTTTTGTGTTCTTTGAGTTTTTTTCGACACAGCTCGACGAGTTTTATAACCTTTGATAGACTGACCATTTTTTACATGTTTACCGAAAAAAGGCACCGGGCATCCTCATCTTCAGTAGTGCCAATAACTCTTTTATTTTGGGGGAATTTTTAATTCCACCATTTTCAGAAATTTTCGGTTTTTTTTTTAATTTTGTAAAACCAGTTAATTTTTGACAAAAATATCAAAATTTTCAATTTTAAACCGGCATTGAACAACCCTAGTTATTATTTTTTAAATAAATTATGGAGACTGCTAAAGCATCTATTTTATCTCATATAAATGTTATTGACTTTTCTCGAGTTGTGGCAGCACCTTTTGCTTCAATGATACTGGGCGATTTAGGGGCGAAAATTTGGAAAATTGAAAGGCCTAGTAAGCTGAGATATTTAAATTTATTTTTAAAAATCTTTAAGAAATCGGAGATGAATCTCGTTCATTTTATCCACCAATGATTAATGGACAGAGTTGCTATACCCTTTCATTAAATAGAAACAAAAAGAGTGTGACAATAAATTTGGCAAATTCGGAAGGGCGAGAATTGGTATAATTTTTTTAAGAATAAGAAATAGTTACCTAAATAGCTCAGGTTTTATTGCTAATATAAACTTTCCTGGTAAATTAAAATATGATTCAAACCATGAATTTATTTAATGAATTTATTTAATTATGAATTTATTGGAATTTATTTAATCGAAAATGAAAGGATCTCGAGTAAGAGATCTAGTAAATTTTCCAGGTACTCCTGCTTCGTTCTTAAGTAAAATACCCCCTCAGTCCTTCCTTTAACCCGAACCATGGAACCAAAGAATTTATGTTTCAAGATCTTCACCCAGGAACTTCACAGTATTATGAGGAAATAAAATTATAAGTTTTTTAAATGAAATACCGTATATACTCGATTAATTCCCCCGGGGAATTATTTTTTCAACCTATCCTTGGCATGGGGAATCATTCAAGGAGGGGAATTATTCGAGTTTTGAAATTTGAACGTGTAATAGGGTATTTGGGGGAGGGGAATTATTGTTTCAACTCATCCGCAACATGGGGAATTATTCGAGAGAGGGGGAATTATTCAAGTGAGGGGAATTAATCGAGTAAATACGGTAGTCTAATTAAGTTAAATAAATAAATATTCTTAATTATTAAATTTATTAAAAAAATATAAAATATCAGGCAAAAAAACTTTCAATGCGTGCGGACGTTTTGATTGAGAATTTTAAAACGGGTCATATGAAGAAATTCGGATTGGATTATGATAATCTCAAAAGAATTAATTCTCGATTAATTTACTGTTCAATATCTGGTTAAACAAAATATTTTAAATTTAGAAGGAATATTTAAAATTAAAGGTTACGGCCCAGACGGTCCTTATTCTGAAGATCCAGGCTATGATGTAATTGCTGCAGCTATAGGAGGTTTGCTAAGCATAACAGGACCACGGACGAATAATTCTGGTGAATATATTTTAATTTTATTATTAATGTTGGGGATCCGGTCCGAAGGATCGATTCGGGCATAGAATTCTGGCCAGAAAAAGGCTCGATCGGGCTGATCCGATAAAAATTCGGCACGGAAAAAATGAGAAAAAAAAATGCCGACTCGAAAATCGCTACCCTATATATTATCAGGCAACGGGGAGGCTTGCTGTGGTGGAAGAGGTATTGCGGGGAATGCTTTTCCAGCAACAAGAAAAGTTTTCAAGCAACGAGGAAGGAAATTCCAGCGGTATCTAAGACAATGGTATCTTGATTTTTCTCATTTTGACAACCCCCTGAATTGGCTAAACTGAGGAATTCTTCAGAGAATAACTGATAAAAAATAGGTAGAATGATAATGGATCGAGATGAAAATTCCCAGATAGATAAATAACGATAAAAATTTTAGAACCTTGCAAACCCGGGGTTGCAGTCACAGATTTAATGACTGGTCTTTATGCTCATGGTGCTATCCTTGCTGCATTACTTCATAGAGATAAAACGGGAAAAGGACAGCAAATTCAGTGTAATCTATTATCTACCCAATTAGCTACTTTAATTAATATTGGAAGTAACTATATAAATGCGGGGATTGAAGGTGTTTTAATTTATAAATAATTAAATTTAAAATTAAAATAATTAATTTTCTAACTCGATAAGCAAATTATTTTGACATAAATTAATAAAATATAAGAAAGCGTAGTAATCTTTGGTGAATTAAATGATAAACGGGTCTTGAAGTCTTCCATATTTCATTAATAGGTAATATATCTTAATCATGCCGTATTTTCTTGAATATATTATAGCTGGTGGGGGAGAAGGAGAAGGAGGGGGTTCCAGTTAAAAATCGGTTCCAGATCCTTGCCGGTTCCAAGGTTTAGGTTCCATACTATTTCCAGACCTTTACCGGTTCCGAGATTTCCTTTCCGGAACTGGAACTGGAACCGCACCGGTTCCGGAACTGTAACCTCAGCATCACTGACTACGACAACATTGGAGTACCTAGCTCGTTGAGAGTTGAAAAAGGTACCAAAAGAGTTGGTACCTAGCTCGTTGTACATTGTTGTGGGATATTTGATTCGATTTGAACTGATAATATATCTTAATCATGCCGATAATAAAATCATATAATCTGCTTTAAGGCAAGCCATGGGGAACTGAACACGAAAGTATTGTTCCATATCAAGCATTTCAAACAAAGGATGGTCGTTATTATGTTGTAGGTGCTGGAAATGATCAAGCTTTTATTGAGGTGTTTTAACCAAAAATAATTTTAATTTGCTTTTTAAAGCTTTGTACAAAAATGGAAATGCCAGAATTAGCAAATAATCCAGAATATGCAACAAACAGTGATCGAGTAAAAAATCGAGAAAAATTATTGAAAAAATTTAAAGAAAAGTATTTTAAATTTTTAAAATTGAATAAATATTTTTAAAGATTTTTGACAAAAAATTTGGAATTTTGGAAAAATAAATTAAGAAGCAAAAGTTTCCCGTCTGGGCCAGTAAATACAATTAAAGAAGCTTTTGAACACGAACAAACAAAGCATTTGGATTTAGTTAAAATTATGGAGCATCCTAAATATGGGAATGTGAAAGTTGTTGGTTAGTTTGTTTCAAATAGAATTTTATTTTGGCATAGAATTCAGGCAATTTCTAATATATGTACATAAGTAGCGCCGTTTACTAAGTTTCAAATAAAGCAAAAAATAAAACGATTAAACGGTAGTGGGTTTGATCAGCGATTAACCAATTTGCATCGGACGTCTCTCAAAATCAATCCCCTCCAATCTTTTGGTATTTTCTTGGATGGGATTGGCCATGTTACTTGACAAAGCTCGAAATTTTTAGGCCAAAGTCTTGCTTTGTCTGATAGCCGGTTAAGGGGTATATTATCTCTTTGGGGCGCAGAACGCTAACTAGATTAAACCTAGATCCGTATCATAATTCTATTCATAAACTGCGAACTTGGTTGCGAAGCAAAATATTTTTATTTTAGGCCCTCCAGTAAAATATAGTGACACAAAAAATCAAGTTCGAACAGCACCTCCATTGCTAGGAGAACATACTTGCGAAGTACTTTCTCAGGAATTAAATATTTCAACTAAGGAATTGGAAAGATTAAAAAATATTGGAGCTATAGATTTTTAATTTTATATATTTTTAATTTATTTGTAAGGTTGTTCTCAAAGTTAGGTTTGTTCTCCTAGCCCTCCTAGGCTCCAAGGATTGCCTAGGAAGGAAATGTTTCTATTGTATCTTTGGGTGTTGTTTAAGGATTCATTCAGAATTTTTTGGAAAAAATATTAAACATCTTTTAAAACAACTTAGGAATTAGTAGAGATCGGGCCGAGACGAAATATCGAAAAGATCTGGGTTATCGAGATAGATATTTTCCAAAAAATCAACCTTTTTATCATATCCCAGTCTGGTTTTGAGAGATGTTCACAGATAATGGAAATTTTCATAAAGGCAAGAAGCAGAGGTTCCGACCCCCGATACACAAAACACGGAATTATAATTCTAAACACGGACTGACTTTTTTCACATCCCGAACCATCCCTTGAAAGGAGTACAACTTTATTAATCATAAAAACAATTTTAATTAAAAAAATCAATTTTTAAAATTATTAAAATTAAAAAATCTCGAGATAAAAAATAAATTTATTTATTCAGCTTTAGCTTATCTCGTCAATTGAATTTTGAAATTCAATAGAAAGGCAAGAAAGCCTTTTAATTCTATTTCAGGCAAAATTTTCTGCCTTTCAATTTTAAATAAAAATTAAAAACAAAAAAAAAGCAGATGAACAAATTTTAAATTAAAAAGAAAGAATTTTTTCCAGATTTTCTTTCTAGTGAGAGAAAATCATTTAAAAAATTAATTTTTAAAAAAGTAAAATTTAAATTTAAATTAAAAAATATTTTTTAATGAATTTATTTTCTATTTTTTTATTTTTATTTCCAATCGGATTTATTTGGGCTGAATGTAGCGGAGATTGTTCTTTAGAGAACCAATATAATTGTAAATTTATATGATTTAAAGCAGGCATGGTAAAGGGTACGGGTTTGTGACGATTTAAGTTAACCCTCCCAAGTGAATATCAACGGCATGAACGGACCGACATTAATACCGTATATCTTCTAATAGAACCACATGTGTTCGTATTTTTCGATCCTATCGTAGGGTGTGCTTATAGTAGGGAGTGTTCTACTAGAGAGAGTGCTTTTATTATAGGTATTGGAGATTGTGCTTCTTTCAGAGAGTTGTTCTATTAGAAGATTTACGGTAATAAACTCTCGATTCTGGGAAATGTGGCGGGTGTTCAATAATCTAGTCGTTTTTCTAAATATCTTGAACATTCATAATTTTTCCTAATTCATATGGAAATTGGCAGCCACATCCAAATCGGCCTATAGTCATAGATATCAAGATATCATCCGTTTCACGCCTGAGTTGTATAAATATCCATGTTTAATTTAATCATGTAGATAAATGTGAGGATAGAAGCGAATTTTGTGAAGAATGGGGAAAATACTGCGAGAATGTCTTTCTTCATAAATGTGTAAGAAAGGCTTGTCCAAAGAAATGCAAAGGTAAATAAATGAAAAAAATTTGGAAGAAAATTCCTATTAGTTTGCCATAGTTTTGGTGAAGAACCTAAACCACAACCTACAACTATAACAACGGCATCAACAATAACAAAACCAGTAGCAACAACCCCTCAAAACTCAACAAGTACAACAAGTACTTCGGTCGAGGTAAACGCGTTCAATAAAAAAATCTCTGGTGTATACTAATTAAGAGTTGTGTTTAGTTGCCATCTGTCGTAAATTAGATCTATTTTTGGAAAAATCCAAGGCTAATTATCTCATCCAATTATCTCATCCATCTAATTATCTCATGTCTCACAACCTTTATAATTAACACCCATCTATGATAAACTCATTTCCAGCTTAGGTAATATTAGAGGTGGGGGGGGGGGGTATAACAATAGTTAAAATTTTCGAACTTCTGATGCATTGGTAAGATTCATTGCATGATGCAATATGTATCTACATAATACGGCTATGGATTCGAATATTTAAACTAAAGTTGCCGGATAAACTAAAGTTCCCGGAAACCAAAGTTGCCGGACTTCATATATAATGGAGTTACCGGAATTTGAAATTATAACTTTTAGACAACAACCGAATGTGCTAACACAACTACAACGGAATATGAAGCAACTACAGAAGAATATAAAACAACTACAGAAGAATATGAAGAGGTAACAACCCCTATAATTACAACCACCAAACCGACAACTTATTTATTAATGACTACAATAGTTGAAGGTTAAAAGACAAAAAAAATAAATTTTTAAAATTGAATTCAGAAATTAGTGACGACGAATTCAAAGACGCAAAGAAGATGAAATGTAAATCGTGTAATGCAAAAAGGAAGAAATTGGCTGAAATTTATGACAAATATTATCCGAAAATTAAAATTATTGCTAAATTGTAAATTATGAATCGAAAATGTTTTGAATTGTGAAACTAAAAATTTAAATTAAAAATGACTATATTTATTATTTTTTCTGAAAAATAAAGTAAGAATTAAATTTTGTAAATATGTAGAAATTTGAGACCGGGCTGGAGGGTCTTACGAGATATCCCGAAAAATCTCGATCTCGATAATTGAGATTTTCGTTCGAGATCTTGTCTCGGTCCGGTTTCTTCTAGAGATACTTCTAGATCTACAAATACTATCGATTACAGACCACGACTTTGCGTAGAGGTCGGAATTTAAAAAAAGCGGGTCCAGGAACCGGGAAACGGGTTCAGAAGTTGACCGGGAGGAACCCGAACCGGGAAAACCAAGAATTTCATTCCGGTTGCTTCGAAAAAACGGGAAACGGGTCTGGGTCCCGGACCCGTTCCGATCTCTAACTGTGCGACAAAATTCAAACTCCAATTTCCAACTCAAATTTTTCAAACTCCAATTTTTCAAATTTTTAAACGGACTAAAAAGCCAAATCGACCAATAAACATCATCGTCCATAGCTATCATAGCCATTTGGAAATTTCTAAAAACCGGAAAAAGTTTTTCTTACTCTTTTTTTTTTGTCAAAAATATTTATTTAATTTTAATTTTTTAAAATTTTTTAATCGATTCAAGATAAATTTATTGGCTATAGACAATCTCTCTCTTTGCCCTTCTACATAATCTCCCCTCTCAAATTTTTATTAAAATTATACGTGTCTGTTAAGCATTAAGCGACTGCGTCTGTTAAGCATTGTGATTTCCCCTCCTTAATTTTCCCTCCTCTATTTTACTCGCAAAATTGATTTTCAATTGTAAAATTTAAAAAAATTGGTTAAGAAAATTATTTAAAAAATTATTTAAAAAATTATTTAAAAAATTAATTAAATTAATTTAATTAACCTATTAATTTAATAAAAAATATTAGAAAATATAGGGATTATTCCAGTAAAATTTAGAGTTATTCCCCATCGATGCGAGTGCCTTCAGAAAAATTTCTGGGGAGACAGGGGGGACTGTATCTATCTTTTGAGTGAGATAGAAAACTTTGTTCTATCTCCACGTAGAGGAGGGACGGGCCCTTAAAAAGGCAACCAATTCCCTGACTTTAAAGGGGAGATAGGGGAAAACAAGCCTAAAATGTACTATTTTATATGTAAAGTGCCATTATTTAATATTAGACATTTTCATAATTATATATTTTTTATTTAAATTTTAAACAATAAATTTTAATATTTTGCAGTAAAAATGAATGTTATATTTTTACAAATTTTTATTTTGTTATTTTACAATGTTCTCTCTAAAGATGGTAATTAATTACATATTATTATTATACAACATAAGGAAAAAGTTTAAAAATTTTCAACAAATTTTTTAGAGAAATTTTAGGAACTTTCGGGTTGACAGGAGGGACTCTTGAGTGAGATTCACGTGAAGGGGGATGTATTGTGTCCTATTTTTCTTCTATAATAAAGAAAAATCTTTCTTAATGGATAGGGATTATATCACTGAAAACTGAGATATCGCGGAATCGAGGACTAATTAGTAGCTATATTTAATTCACAAAGACCCTTAATTATAGCGCCTTTAATAAAAAGGCACTTAATCTTATTTTTTTTACAACATGTAAAGGGTCAAAAAATTAAATTGAAATCTTATAAAAATTTTTTCAAATACAATATTAAGATGATGAAGCATTCCAAATGGAGCAACTTTACACAAAAATTTTTAACTTATCCAAGGAAGATGATAAACGAATATTTTATATTCAACAAGTTAATGTTTTGGCGATTAAAAATGAATTCAAACAAGAATTTGAAAGAGTAATTGATGAAAATTTTGAGGAATTTTTAAAAAAACAAATTGGAGAGTCCATCCGAGGCTTTCCCTTCCTAGATAGGATGGGCAAAGAGACTAATGAGGAACTTGATAAATATTTGTTTAAATGTTGGAGATTATTTAGAAAATTTAGGTTGGAAACTTTTTAGCTTTCGTAAAGTTGTAGATTAGGGTTTTTGAGATAACTACAGCTTAAAAATTTGTGTAATGTGTTAAACTTGAAGGGCATTAATATAAGGATTAGTTAATTAGATTGCCGAGAATATATACATAGTCAGTGATAGGGAAGAAATGGCAAAGAAAAAGGAAATAACAACAACAGCAAACTTGCAGCAGCTGATGGGTGGTTGAATGACCGAACGGAAAAAAGAGGTTCTTGATCGGAGAGAGAAAAGAGGGAGAAGGGGCTCTGGATCGGAGAGAGAAAAGAGGGAGAAGGGGCTCTGGATCGGAGAGAGAAAAGGGGGAGAAGGAGCTCTGGATCGGAGAGAGAGAGAGCGGGGATAAGGGGCTCTGGATCTGGATCGAAGAGAGAGAAGGGGGAGAAGGGGCTCTGGATCGGAGAGAGAGAGAGGGGAGAAGGGGCTCTGGATCGGAGGACAGTAGTCAAACCCAATTTTTCATAAAATAAATATAAATTTTTGTATGATTATGATAAGAGGTTTATTATTAATAGGAGGTATTATCATCCTCATAAACCCTTATCAGAGCCATTTGGAAATTTCAATTTCCACATTCAATGCCCGACATCTTGTCGTGTAGGAGTTAAATTTTAAATTTATTCTAAGTTAAAATTTTAATAAAAACGTAAAAAAATAATTAATTTACATTAAATTATTAGAGAGATAAAAGATGATAAAGAATTACTATCTAAATTTACAAAAGAAAATTTTTCAAAAGAAATTTCCATTTCACTTTCAACAGACGAGCGAAATGAATTATGTTGGGATATCGTTCTTGCACATTTTTATCATCTTGAAAATGGCATTTTATCAAATAACAACGAAAATGAATTGTGTAACTTCGCACTTAGAGTTGATAAAATAATTGACGATCAAATGGAGATTTATACGGATTTTAATGTTGAAGATCTTTTTAATTCTAAAAGCTGTAAGTATTTAATTTAGATTATAGAGACTCCGAGAATAAAAATTTTCAAAGGCTCGTGAACAAGCACACACCCTAGACCAAAGAGATAAAAAAGATCAAAACATAAGGCTTCCAATCTGAACTTGACTATCCAATGTTAACTAAGGTTGTTCCTAAAATTAGTCCTGAAACTCCAAACCTAACATTTCACCTACTCGGTCCTATGCATAGAAGAGATGGTTAACCAATACCCGAAAATAAAAGATATGATGGGATCTGATTCTGAGAGTTTTTAGATCCAATGTTGTTAACTAGAGAGCGAGATTTTCCAAAAACATTGATCCTTGACATTGATTACGGTTGGGTATCTTGACCAGATTCTTGAACTTGAGTCAAGGAAAAAACAAGGAACTCTGAAAAATGCCTTGATCTGGACTCTGGTTCCAGGAAAAATCAAGGTCTGGATCCAGATCCAGCTCGCTCTCTATTGTCAACCGATCACCGACTGATCCTTTCATTATTGCTTTATTTGCCAGAATGAGAGGAGACTTTCCTACCTTTAAGCACCTAGTTCAAAATTTAACTTTAAAAAATTTTTTAAAAATTCAAGGGAATATAAATCAACAAAATTCTAAAATAGATTACTTGGTTCTTTTTGCCGAAAAATATGGTAAAGGACAGACAGTTTGGGCTGAATCCTTAATTACAATCCCCATATTACTCGAAGCAATTGATCAAGAATTAAAAAAAGAAAATAAATATTTCTACTACCAATTCAAAATTTTGTCAAATATTGGGGGAGTATATGTCATAAATGATCTTATAGCCGAAAAAGATGATATGAAAGGGATAACAATTGTTTTTGAACTTTACGAAATTTATCAGACAGTTAAAAAGAGAGAAGATAAAATTGATATAAAAAATAAAAATTTAAAGGATTTGGATGAAGGGATAAAATTTTTGAAAGAATTGAGAAAATTATTTATTTCCAAACATGAAGAAAATATTAATTCTTACACAATTAAAAGTGAAGATGAAAATAGTTTTTCAAGCCAGATCAGACAGGGTTGGGGAATGAAGAATAGATTAAATGAATTTTTCTTTGGATTGGAAAATGATAAACAAAATCATCCAAAACTCCTTCATAATTTTTATGATTGCAGTAAATTTTTTTTAAAATTAAATAGGAAAAGAAGTGATTAGAATTGATACGGGTGAAATAGGCTAACTGATATCCGTCTCGGGTCTGGTATCTGAGTCTGGAACCGGAAACACTAATGCCAAGACATATACACAATCCGACTAGAATAAGCCTCTTTATTGAAGAGACATTTTTTGGAGAGCAAAGGGGGTGTTATTTTTCAATTTTCCTCTATAGGCATCCATACGGTAAATCTAGTATGTCTCGTAATCCCATCAAGAAACCTATGTTTACATATATGAGAATAATCATTTAGGAATGACAATGAGAGAGTCAGTAGAAGTCACTCCTATATCATTAGATTTTTAAATGCCCCGAAAAAGTGACATTCAATTAGAAAGGCATAGAAGGATAGAGTGGGATATAGAAGGATAAAGTGGGGATTTTCATATTGAATAGTTTGGGAAAGGGGGGGGGCGGCCGTACTTCTACCAGAACCCCGAAGGGTCTATCCCGAAAACCCCGATCCCCGATGATTCCAACCCCAAAGGTACGGGGAGCTACCTAGTAAAAATGATCAAAAAAGAATTTATTTTAATGAATTTTGAGCAGCCTTTAGTAATCTTAAAATTAATTTTCTCAATTAAGCTTCTGTTGAAATTTCTAATTTGACGCATAAAATTTATAAAGAATTTTATGATAAAAATTCTAGAGGAATATTAGATGATAATTCTTCCTTAAATATTGAATTAGCTTTAAATATTCTTTCATATATTTATAACATAGACGATAATTTAATTATAAATCAAAGAACCAAATGGAACGAAATTAAATATAAATTTATGATTTTTGTGGATTCTCTTAGTGATTTTAGTAAAAATAATATAGAAAAATTAAAAATGGAAGGTTTTTACTATCAGAATAAAATTTATTTGATCTGGAACAAATGCAAAATTACCAAAATTATTGAAACAAATTTTATTTGCGATTTTTCATTTGATCTTTTAAATAAATTTGATAAACAAGCAAAAAAGGTTTAATAATATTTTAATATTTTTCTTAAAAATAATTTATTGTACTGTTGCTTAGAGGGAGATAAAGTATAATTGAAACTAAAATCCAATATTACCGTATACACTTAATTAATCTCTCGATTAACAAGAATACGCACTTAGATCAAAAGTAACTTCAATTTAGTCCTGGGGTGTGAGCCCTACTTTGTTCTGAGCCTAATTTGATAACTCATATGCTTAATTCGATCTAGAGACTAAGGTTGGCGGTCTCGGGTATCCGGAACCGAAAAAACCTCGGATATCCGGAAATATTCGGTTTGGATATCGGTTCCGGTTCCAGATATCCGGAGATTTCCCAGGAACCGCCTTCCTTACTAGAGACATAGAAAATAGTGATATCGCTCAACAAGTTTATAATGGAGTATCTTATATCTACTCATTTATAATGGAGTATCTTGAGAGGGTGGGTATCAAGGGTGGGCACTTTAAAAATCGGAAAGTGGCGCTAGTTTCTTAGATCAACAAAAATTCAGCCATAAATCTTTAAAAAATTATTTTTAAATTAAAGTCATCCGAAGAAGGCAAATTAATTAATGAACTACAACAATTAGATAATATTAAAAAATTTCATGAAATTGATAGAGAGATGCTTATTGCTGTAGCTTCTAAAGATGCTATACTAAATAAAAAAGTAAAGATGCTTATGCATAATGGCAAATTAAAAACATACACGAAGGGATCAATGGTGGAAAATCCGGATCAACTACAAGGAGTGACTATTTTTATTGAGAAATTAAAGGATGATATTGAATTTATTGAATTATCAGAAAAACTGAATGAGAAAAATTCGGTATTATATTTATACAGTAAATGTTCAATAGAAGCCTCAACCCAATAGAAGCCCATGCCCTAATACAGGCCCACTTAATGAGGCTATAACTATTAGAAGCCCATGCTTAATAGAAGCCCACTTAATGAGCATTGAAAAAAGCAGCCCAGCCCCTTTATACACAATTCCCCCTCTAGAGGAAGATCAAAAAAATAGTACGCAAGGAACATTCTCAATTCTCTTCCTATGTGGAGAGAAGATCAAAAGTAATTATTCGTTCAAGTAATTATTCCTTCAAACTACGTTGTTGAATGCTCTCTAGAATATTCGAATCCTGATCTTGACGAACTAATCGACTTTTCTCTCTTAGGATTTTAATGCAGTTACAGGATTCAAAAAATTCTTTAACAAGGTTATAGTAAGAGGGTAATAGAGTAAGTATAGTAATTGATCAGAGTCCGATATAGAGTTACAGCAACGCCTTAGCTAACGAACATGAGATCAACACATATAGCCATTATTTTATAATAAAAATTTTTTTTATTAAAACAGATAAATAATGAAGAACCAACAGATCAACATACTATTGAATTAATTGATAATTATAAAAATTATTTGACTGATAATTTGTCGATTGTCGGCGAAAAAGACAAAAATGGCCAAATAAATAATTTACACGAAAATTTAATTTTATCAGTAATTATTTGGAACTACAAAGATTTTTTGAATAAATTCACAATATTTAATGAAAAATCGGAAGAAGCTGATTCTGTATTTTATCAATTTATGAAGACTGTTTCAACATATGGGTTTAAAAGAATAATGAAAAGATATCAACTTGGATGGACACAATCATATGAAAAAGTTTATAACGACTTTATATTGGATGGAAAGGAAGTAAATAAAAAAGAAAATAAAAATTTAGATAATAAACATAAGCTTTGTTTATTACACGAATTTGTGGATAAATGGATAAATAATGAAGAATTTATGAAAAATGATTATCTGGAAATTCTTATTAAAGGAAGATTTGGAATAATGGTATTCATTAAAATATTTTAGAATTCATTTTAAAAAATATTATGCCTGTTATTTAGGGTTGGGGCTCCGATCGGGCCCGGTCCGCCTTGTATAAAAATTATTTGTCTGATAATTTTGGCCCGAAAAAGACTCGGTCGGGCCGGCCCCATAAAAATGACTTGAATGTCGGTCTAACTCGAAAACCCCAACCCTACTGTTATTGATATCTCACTAAAATAAACAGAGTTAATTATGACGTGAGATCATGAAATTGAGGAGCATCTACTTTCTAGTGATTGGAATGTTTAATGATACCAATCATTGAGTGCACTTTTAAAATTCGATTTATAGACAGCGGATTAATTCTATAGTTAAAAGATAATATTAGATAAACCATCTAATACTAGAGCTAAAAGATTTAGATATAGGTTAGAAAAATCCGGATATCGGAACATTTAAAAGAGATTTTCCTGGATCCGTAAACTCAGCGTTGAATTACTTTCTTCGAAAACCTCAAGATATCCCGGTTCTTTAGTCTGATCCTCGGTTCTCTAGTCTGATTACGAACTGACAGCCTTATGCCTTACTTAATATGATTAAGATTTGGATTTTTAGTAGATAATATTTTAAAGGTAACTGAAAAATTTATGGCAAATGGATAGTATATTTATCTTGAATAGGCTCGATTATAATAATATTTATGTAGAATTCTAAATATCATACCATCCAATTATCTGCTCTCATAATTATAAACTTTTACTCAATTGTTAACTAAAACTTTAAATTTATTTTAGAGAGTATTTCCAAAAACTGTTGTAAAACAAGCAAAACAAATTTGTTCAATCCCAGCAAATCTTAACAAAATTTTTGAGAGTTATTTTGACGGGACTCGTGATGATCAAATTTTGGAACTACACAGAACAAATATTAAACTTTTAATTAAAAGATCAGATTCCTTTAGAAACTTTATAGGGAAAATGGAAAGTAAAACAAAACTTTTTGATTTACTGAACGCAAAGAATTTTGGGAAGCTTGAGGATGAATTTCCTGAACCTTTAAAAATATGTAAATATTATATAATTTCTTTTAAAAATTAAAATAAGTACCTATATGTGTAATTGTATTATGTGATAGGAGGTGACGCTAAGAATATAGATTGAGGTTGAGATCAAGATTGATCTGGAACCAACCGACCCAAACGAACATTTTCGGTCGGCTCTTCGGTTCGGTTTCGGATATCCGAAAATTTTGGTTCTTCGATTGGGTTACGGATATCCAAAGAATTTCCAGGAACCGACAGCCCTAGTTTTGTATATTTTGGAATATGATTTACTTATTGATATTGGTAACTGAAAGATGTCCTTACAAAGGAGTGGTCTAACGTATCAACTTCTGCCAATCATTGAATAAATCATAAAATAGGGCCTATGGTGTTTAAAATTTAAATACATATAAATGTTCTTATTCCCAAGCAGAGTAAAAGAAATTTTTTTATTTTAAGCGGAGATGGAAGAGAATTATCAAAAATACCTTTATGATCAAGCTTTGGCATTAAATACAAAAGAAAATCAGGAAAATACTGAACATATTACTATATATTCTAATTTGAGGATAACAATAGCAATATTAATGAAAATGTATCTTGAGCTCGAAAATACGATTAAAAATCAAATTAAAAATTATCGAGGGGACGAAGTCAACGGACTTGAAAATGAGTTAAAAAATGTAGGACGAGAGATTTACAAGGCTATATCTCAAAATGTAATTTGTCTGAAGGAAATTGAGAGTGAAATAATAATTAATGCCTACACAAGATGTATTCTTCACAAAATAATTGAATTGTATGATGAAGAATTTGAAGAGTTAAACGAGGATAATTTAGCTACTAGAGCAAATTTGTTGAAGGAAACAATGGATAATGCCAAAGTTGTTTGTGACCCTAAAAACATCAAAGATAATGACATTAACAATGAAATAAAAAAGATTGTAGATGAAAAGCATTATACCTATATAATGGAAAGAATGGATAATGAACCTGAATTTAAAGAAAAAATAAAAAACGGTTTAGGCATAAAAGTAAAAATTGCAAATCTGATCGGTATTGAGTTATATGGACAAATTGAAGATGAAGTGACTGATTATAATTGTAGGTTATAAACAAGAAATTAAAGTTATAAACAAAAATTAAAATGAGTATAATTAGCTATAAACTTAAGGATATCATTAATTTAATGTTTATTTGAAGTGTAATAAAACATAAGATCCCTAATACATATTAGAGATTTTCACATCTATTTTAGAGAAAAAATCGGATTTGAGTGTTAATAATAGATACTGAAGACTAAATTATTTTAGATTAATAAAATGATAAGTGTGAATATTCACTGCGAATAATAATAGATATAATAATAATAAATATAATAATAATCGATATAATAATAATAATAGTTATAATAATAATAAACCCTTAATAATAAACCCTTAATAATAGTTAATGGTTTATAATAACCCTTAATAATATAACCATTAATAATATAACCCATGATAATATAATATAACCCTTAATAATATATTATAACCCTTAATAATAACACTTAACCATAATAACCCTTAATAACCCTTAAGTTATAACCCTTAATAATACATCTATACCCCTTAATAAATAAACCCTTAATAATAATAGACTTATACTGTAATTTATCATAAATTCGGGCAATTATTTTTGTTCAACGATGTACGTTAGCCCTCTTACGAGGAATTTGTTTTTAAATAAACAACTAAAATATTTGGCCAGTGTTTCCCCAGCTCTAGGACCCTCGTCTTATGTCCTTACAAAATTATTATTTTTTTAGTATTTTTCAATAATGGACAGTTAATCAAACATTATATAAACTCAATGAAGGATGAGAATAATATAGTAAATCAAATAGCAAATGAATTAGCTTCCCATGTTTTTGTTTCGTACTCTTGGATGGAAAATACAATAAATTCAGAGTGTGGTCAAAAGAAAGGAAAGAAAAATAAAAAAGTATGGAAAAGTTGCTCTGCTCGAGACTGGACAATGGGTGCCTGGAATTATAGCAAAGCACAATTTTATCACGTTTATGACGTTATTTTTGTAAAAAAAAGTCAGAAAGAATTGAAGAATATAGGAAAAAAATTTATGAGGCGGACTATAGCACTAAAAGCATTCTTGGAAGAAAAAATGAAAGAAGAGGAGCAACCAGATTATGAAGTTGATTACTTGGATGAAATGCCAGCTAAAGAACGATATAAGGAATGGATGGACGTATATAATAATGCGAATGATGAAATAGATCAAGCTCAAGAAAATGAGGAAGACCAAAATGATACACGAAAAGATTTGTCGAACATGTTAGTTAAATATAGTGATGAAATTAATCAAGCAGATTCTTACAAAAATTGGCTGTCAAATTTGCATTATAATAAATTCAATGAAATATTCAAAATGAAGCAAAAGATTGGGGAAATTAATTTTTTGAGAGAGCTGGCATTGAGTGAGTTTATTGTTAATTAAATAGAGTTGCACTTCGAAAATCGTTTCATAAAATATTTTTTGGAATTATTTTGAAATTTTCAAATATCTTTTCGATACAAGCCTCAAAAAATTGAAAATCCCGCAAAATCACTCCAAACATTAGGGGTGTATCCAATGGTTTGACAGTCGTTCCAAATTTGTACTGTATCTCGTGAGTAAATTTTACGAGTACGAGGCTAAAAACAGGGGAGAGATACAAGCAGGGGAAGGTACGAGGGAGAGGTACGAGTCCAACCGGATGCAACTCTTTGAAATTTAGTTATAATTATAAAAAATTAAAAGTTATGAACAAATGTGGGAAGAATGAAATGAAGATAAAAATGGAAATGTTTCTCCCCAACGATAAAATTGATGAAATTATTGAGAAAATAAATAAAGAGAATGAAATAATTAAAAAAGAAACGGAAGAAAAAGAAAAAAATGATTTAGCTAATCTTTTAAAAGAATTTAAAGAAAGTCCTAAACAGGCTAAAAAAGGAAAAACAAATTCTAAAAAATCAAACAAAAAGAAAAACAAATTAAATGTTGATCAAGAAAGTATAGGTCAAGGAAGCATAGGACAACAAGAAAATATAGACCAAGAAATTATGGAACAAGAAAGTATAAGGGAAGAAAGTTTAGATTCTACTTCGGAGTTATCTATTAATAACGAAGGTTCTTTAACTAATTTAAAGGGAGAGGAACACAATGAGGAAAGTAAAGAAAAAATAACTAAAAACAAGAAGAAAAAGCCTAAAAAATCGAAGAACGAGAAAAAAGGACCTAAAATTGAGGAATTAATTTTTAAAGAAAAACTTGAAAAATTTGTGGAATATAAATATTTAGCCGTCTTTTATAGACAATTTATAGAGGTATGTAAATATGTATGTATTATAGAAATATACGTAATTAGTTTTTATCAGAAATATTATGTTTGATCGAATAATAACAATCATTTCCTCCTTCGCCAAATTTAAAAACATCTGTACATATTATCCATTCTTTTCACATTATGATTGTTTGGGCATTGCGTCCATTCTCTGATCTTGCTGTTTAGGAAGAGGCCTATTTTCTTACATTAACTAAAATTAAAAAATGTTAAATGATCTAAATACAACTTTTTAAAATAACCTCACCATTTCTCCCTTACTATCCTTTTTCTTTCTATTTAAATATAAGCTTTTTCCGTAATTTTCTTGTGTCATGTTGAATATACTTGACCAAATATGTAGCAGAAATAAACTTGTACATGAGCAATGAAATAGACCAGTTGTCATTAATAAGAATAAGTTGTCGTTTATTGATTAGACTAAGATGGAGAATGACTAAAAGCTAACGCTTTTATAGTATGCCAGAAATTATTGAATAAAATAATAAATTAACCTTAAAAATTTTAAGGCACCATCAGATGAAATGCGTAAACAATTAAATATAGCCGTTTATATTTATGAAATCTCAAATCGTTTTAAATGGTTAGAGAATGTAAAAAATAAATGGCCTATAATATATGAAGCAATGTTTTCATTAAAAGGAGAAAATAAAGAAAATAAAGCTTTGAATAAATTAATGGAAAAATTAAATAAATTTAAAGAAAATGTGCTTTCCTTAAATTTAATTGAAAATTTAAGTGAATTTGAGATTAATTTACACAAATTACTAAAAGAACTAATTTATGTTGTAGAAGGTATTTGGGATGGAAGGCATAATGACCATGTTGATTTGGAGGAAATTAAAATTGTTAGAAAGCAATTAAATTATAAAATGATCATGAAAATATTTTATGAGAAAAATGAAGGCATTGAAGAAGATAGGAACAATTCTGGTGGGAACGGAAACAGTAAAATTGTTCAGTTAATTTTTGGAGCTGAAACATATGCAAAAATATTTAATTATAATACAGAATTTGAAGCATTTTCTGTGGATTGGAATAAATTTAAAGAACAGAGATTTATAGGTTTATTATTTTTAAAAAATATTAAGTTAATATATTATAATATTTTTTTTGTGCTGTGGGATCTAATAAGTGTGGTAATTAACCAAGGGAAAACTTAGCTATGGCGTAATGTTGTCGGATCAGGATCCAAAAAAGTCCGGATACCGAAATTTTCGGATATCTGATCCGCATATCCGAAGATTCCCAACTATCCGACAACCTTACTATAGTTGAAATTATGGGAGGGGTAGAGGAGGCGTTCATATAACTAAGATTTTTCTTATTAGTAAATTTTGTTTGTTTCGGCAAAGCAAACAGAAAAAGCTAATATAATGCTAATAAATTTATGGTTCTTTTCGGTTATGAGCTCAATACTAAAAGAAAATAGTATTGACTTTTAGATTCAAATATTTATATACATATATTTAGATCCAAATATTTATTAATCATACTTCTAATAAATTTAAGATTCTCATGTAATCGTTGAAAAATTCGAGGTGCCCAATTATATTCCACCTGAACATTTCCAACAAATTGAATTTACAAATAAAATAGAAAATTCTACTAGTTTGGAGGTTAATAATTTTTATTTAAATTTATAACTACCTATTTAATTAAAGCTTGAAGAAATATTAATTAAAAATTTACGAGATGAGGCTCCAGTCAATAAGAAAATAAATACAATTAAAAAAACAATAAGAGAATGGATAAATAAAAATAATTCTGATAGAACGTGCAAAATATTAATTAGTGGTTCTTACATGTTAGGAATTAATACAATTGGATCAGATATAGATTTGATTTTAATTGTTGAGGAATACGAACGAAATACTAAACAGCAGTTTGATATAATGAGTGAATTTTTTGGGGATGAAGAAAAGGCTTTGTACTATCATCTTTTGAAAGTATAATATTATAAAATTTATAATATTTTTTAAATTTTTTTGGTTACATACCGAGATTAAATATGCACAAAAAGCGTAGGATATGCTGATCGTTCTGAAATTATTAATAGTCTTTCTGGCTTTTGATAACTAGTGCGCAATTGACTAACCTCGACGGATTAGTTACTGTAGTATTCCGAAGTTTAAATATTAATTAGCACTAGTATTGTATTAATATACTAAAAGGATTTATTTATTAAATAAATCTAATAACAAAAAATTTATTTATTTAAAATAAACAAATTTGAAATTTGAAAATGAATAATGTGAACATAAAATCGGTTAAACAATTTTCTTATATATTGAACGGCGGCTTTGGGTTGGGCAGTCATATTCTTTCTTCCGTCTAATAGTTTGGGAAGGGTACATAGCTTGGTTTTGTTGGCGATCGTTATTTTCCTAGCCTGCGAAATAATTAGATTAAAAGTGGTAAAAATGATGATAAAAATAAAAAGATAAAAAATGACTAAATTAGTGTAAAAAACATATATTTAATATTGTATCGGTAAGAAACTCGCGACAGCCAAAGAGAGATTTTCGCGAGCGAATATTGTATGTACTTTGTCTCAATGTGCGGTCGCGGCAACTGGTTATTCCAATTTAGAGTTTATTTGGGGATTTGCAGTGCTATAAAAAATATTTTTAAATCTAATTCAAAAATTTATTTAGTTGGATAATGTAAAGAATATTCAAAAAGTCAATACAAGAATTCCATTAATTGAATTAAATTATTCAAACATTGACTTTGATATTGTGTTGATATTACTGCCTTCAGAAATTCCAAATACTCCAAATTGGATTGAAAAAGTTTTGGAAAATGAAAAGAATTTAGCTATTGGAGACAGAAAAATATTACCCTTAGCTAGTTATAAAGCAAATGAATTTATTTTGGAAAAAATTCCAAAAGAAGATTTAAGGACTAAAAATTTCCGTTTTGCAATTATTGCTATGAAAAAATGGGCAAAAAGTAAAAGATATTTTTTTCTGAATTTTTAATCGAAAAATTTTTTAGACAGTTCAATTTATGGAAATAAATTTGGTTTGCTAAGTGGATCAATTCTCACAATTTTTATTCAAAAAATTTATTTATTATATCCAAATGCGAATTTACATAGCCTTTTACAAAGAATTTTTCTGACATTTTTAACGTGGTTGGGAAATTTTATAAAGACTATTTATAAAAATAATTTCAGGAATTGGCCAGCAATATTTCATTTAAATAAAATCAAATTAAAAGAACCCGGATGGACACCAATTAAAGAACGCGTAGATCGTTCAGACTTTTACAATAAATTAATAAATATTGAAAGTAAAGAGTGGTTAGGGTTAAATACCAATAGATTAACTGAACACTTTAACCTTAAAATCCCAATAATATCAAGTTCATTTCCTGAACAATCTGTTGGTTTTAATATAAATAATTCTACAAAGCAAATAATTATGGAAACAATGACTTTAGGTTAATTTAAATAAAAATAAATATCCCTTCAGAATGTGGGCATTTACTGGAAACCCATTATCCTCGATAGACACCTCATAGTGAATACAGGAAAATTTTTATGTTAATTGCATATATGCTAACTGGATTTGCCAACTCTGGACATTATCCCCTCCAATGCTGTCTGGGGAGGTGTTCAACATAAGTGTGCCCTAATCATATATTATTATGGGACAAATGAATTCTTTTTAAATAATGTGTCGGAAATATTTTTTAAAAACTTGCTGTATATTTCAGGCTTAAAAATGCTTAGGCAAGTACATAATGCCTCAAAATCAAATTTGAAAAGTGAATGGGAAAAATGGTTAAAAGGAGTAGATTTTCAGAAACAGGTTCCTTACCAAAAATTTCTAAATTTAAAATATTTTAAAGTATAACCATTTCATTTTAATTGAATGTGTTGGAATAGACAAACAAATTGGGGAGGATTTTTGTATCAAAGTTGAAAACAGACTTAGAATACAATTAATTACTACAATAGAGGAAGACCCTAAGCTAGTTGAATACTCACATATTGGACATTATTGGGACAAAGAAAAATGTAGACCAAAGCAAAACTCGCTTGGAAAAAAGCTCAAAAATACGGATAATGTATTTTGTAAGTATTGGTCTGTTGGATTAGTATTGCCACACGGAAAAAAGGATTTTGATAAAACAGAAATTAATTTATTAGAAGAACGTTTTAAAAAGTTTGGAGAAAGAATATTGGAAGGAATTAAAAAGAAAAATAAAATTGAAGAGGATTGTGTTGGGTTAAATTTGATTTATGAGAAGGGGCGAGACGAGAACAATCGAGAATAAAAATAGTACACGTCTAGCCTTAAGATATATGACTTCGAAATTTTTTTTATTTCTTTCCAAAATTATTATTCTCACAAAAACCTCAAATTTAATGTAAAAATATTTTTTATTAATGCACAATAGTAGACATTATGATTTAGCCAACCAAACGGAAGCACGCATCCTGCTTCCTCCGGTTACCCACACGAATTATAACATATTGGCAAAAATTTTAACACATTATTTTATTTCAATAAAGGTGTGTTTTAAAATTAATGACACACTCATTATCAGGAACTCATTTCCGCATTTGACACTTTAAAAACGTTTTAATGTATAGGGAGCATAAAAAATACGTGACACATTTCATTTCATCATAATTTTTTAATATTCATATTTTTTAATATTTATTTTATTTATACTCATTTTGTATCTTGAATATTTATTTTACATTTTTTATATATCACACACATATGTTCATTTTTCGTGAGAAATTCTCAAATTTAGAAAATTTGAAAAAATTTTCTAAATTGCCTTAAATTTTCTCGACACCCTTTTTTTATTGAGTATTTTTATTTATTGTTTTTATTTTAGTTTAATTTTCTCATATGTATAAAATATTTTTAAGCCAATTTTAAGAAAATATCAAATCTGTTTATTTATTAAGCTAAATTTTCTAAGCAATTTTTTAAAATTTTCTAGAAAATGAAGCTCATAGCAACATAAATATTTATCTCTTTCATATTTTAAAAGGATTACATAATTACACGATATATTTCGTGACAAGATAACGAATTAGTTTCAGTGAAACAATAAAGTCGAAAGCAAAAAGCTTTACACTTTTTTATAAAAGATTTTTGGTTTGGTATTTACAGACATTTTCTTAGCAAACTTGATTAATAATTCTTTATTCTAGTCACGCTTATAAACTTTTGGTTTAAGCCAAAGTCTGCTTATTGGCTCATTCTGGCTCGGAATAACCGCGAATTGAAATTATTAGTTTGAAATTAAACATTTACACACATTAAATACGCAGTTTTAATAACGAGGATTTTGTTCGAGATCCTGTCTCGGTCCGAGCTCAATTAAAAACTGCTAATAAATTATATGCCTTTATAATATTAGGGTGTTACAAAAGTTAAGTCGTGTGTCTCTTCATGGATATACATGTTCTACTTTATTTTTTCGATTAATTCCCCTCCCTCGAATAATTCCTCTTCTCGATTAATTCCCCATGCTGAAGTTGAGTTGAAGCAATAATTCCCCACCCTCAAATACACTACTGCACGTTCAAATGCCATAACTCGAATAACTCCCCTCCCTCTAATAATTCACCTTCCCACGTATATATACATATGTTGTAATATTAATTTTCTAGGTGAATTAATCGAGAAAATACGGTATCTTGTAATACAAGTTTCAGCGTTTTTTTTAATTTAAAAATTTCTTAATTTAATCCCCTAGAAATGTCTTCATCTCTTACCAACTCTACACAATTAACAACACTTTTACCCCCAGAAATTTTATTTTTTGGGTATTTTATGGGTGTTATAGAATTAATTACACATCCAATAATTATTTGTATTTCGTTAATTAACCCTTCAATTTTAATTACTTCAAATATATTACACCCAAATTTATGGCTTTTACTAATTTTTCAATCTTCAATTATCTCGACTTTTGAAATCCAGCGTTGGACTATGGTTTTGTTGAAATTTACTGGGGGAGACATTTTCCGACCTGGAGATCAAATTTTGCAAGTAATTAAGTTTTACTTTGAGTAAATTTTGAAGAGGGCTGAGACCTAAATTTTGAAGAGAACTTAATGGGCTTTCTGTTAAGACTAAAATTAAATTTCTGAAAAGACACTACTCAGAGAAAATAATTTTTTTAATTGACCCATCCCTACTCTCCTTTGATTTATACCTCAAGATTTCGAACAAATTATTTTCAATAGGTGGAAGATCTGGTTTTAAGCTTAATCTTTATCAGTTCAATATACATAAGGTATCAGGCTAACATAAAAATAAAATCATTTATCGGGGATAAGGATTGCAAAAAAGCTCATTACGGTCAGCAAACGTTACCCAAAAACATTAATAATTATGGTGCATTATGAGTTCTAGTAGATCTAGAAATAAATAATTTAACAGGATATTTCATTGTTCACAAACACAGCCCGTAACATTATTGGACATATCCTTTTGATTGAAAGGATGCTGGCTAATTTTATGGTTAGAAAATATGAAAATTGGCGTAAGCCGCATTTTAGTTGTGTTTCTCTTTTAATTTTGGTAATTTTATTTTTTTTATTACTGACAGACTGAATTACTTATAGTATGCTACCTAAAATTACGCCTACTCTCATATTAAAATACTTTTTTAAATTTTGGTTGGTACTGGGTAGAAGAGACCTTCTTTATGCACAGGAGAGAGCCCGCATTAGAGTATGGCAAGGGACGGATCCTGTATTGTATGATATTGGATCTTGTCCTAGGATCTCGTATGGATCTCGTCCCCTATTATAATTAATTTATAAAGTATCTTCAAAAATTTAATTTTTTCTTCAGTTTTTATTTTCTTCACTAAACGTTCTTACAAATGGAAAATCCTGGAATACAACATTAATTAATTTAGTTTCAAATTCATTTCTTCTTTTCTGTTCATCTTTTGAATTTTTAGTAAATTTTAAATATAATAACCATTTTAATGTATTTTTAAGATTATTGGTTCTATTGGCGTTAAGAATTTAAAGAAATATAAAAAATTATTGCCTAATACAGAAGGTTATTCTTTGAGTGAAAAATATCAGGTAGCACCTTTTTATAAGCAATGTTAACAAATAAAATCGGCTTTCAAATTAAATTAAATTTTTGGTTATATAGTAAGAGCGGCGTAAATGTTTAATCCCGGGCAGGCTTCGATCCTGCGACCTCCTGAAAGTTATTGCTAGGCGCTTTCGCTCACTCCGTACAGGTGCTCCGCAGACTGAGCTACCGAAACAATGCTTTACCTTCCTTTTAATAGATCTTAAACCCACGTCTAGTGAGCGTTTTAAAAGCTAGCCAGCTGGATCTTTCTCTTACTAACAATTTTTAAATTAATAGCTATATAACTAAATAATATGAAAAATACATGCGTTAGTAAAAGCACCCAAGCTTGATGTATTCCGACTTATATAATCCAGCTAATTTGAAGTATCTTTACAAGATCTTGGTATCATTCGATAAAGAATTAAATTAGCTACAAAATGAAGTATGAATAAAAATTTTCACTAACCTAAGGAAAAAGTTATGGGCGAAAAACACCCTCATAATTAAATATAAAATGAATAAAATATAAAATTCAACTAAATTAATATTATTTTTTTTAAAAAGCTAACTGAGAATATTCGTACGAGTAGACAATTAGCTCCAGTCTTCATCTGTCATTTAATAAATAATTTATTTTATACAATTCTTACTTATTTTATTTATTTTAATATTGTTACAAAACCGCCTTATATTCTGAGTTTATGCTATGCTGTTCTGTTCGTTTTTACTTCGATAATAGAGGGACTGATTGAAATAACTGTTTTGACGTAATAATTTATCTTTAAAGAAATTAAAAAAATTTTTTCTTGAATAATAAGCCTATCCTCATATTTACTTATAAATAACCTAAAATTATTTTTACCCAATTTAAGTTAAATTTTTAAAACAAAGTTGGCCACTTGGTATGGTGATGCACTACATAGGTAGGGGAACCACGTGCCCGAAACGCTTCGTATCGTTGTCAGTTTCGTTTTGTTTCGCTAAAAATGTTTTATAGAATCCATAAGCTAAACGATCTCCCCAGTTTATCAAACTCCTCATTATAAGATAAAATTTAATCCAATCCGTATGTATCTAAATGAATTCAGACTATAATTCATTTTATCATTTATTTAAGGCATCATCCAGCACTAAGAAGAACGTTACTTTCGCGTATTAAACGTTTAACATCTTTTAAACTCGCAAAGATTCGTCCATCAACAACAACAAATACAAATACTAAAAATTCCCACATTCTCAATTCTATAAAAAATATTCAAGGCGAACAACTTATAAGTAAAACAAATATTGATGAACATTTTAGAATGTTAGTAGAAAGTTGGAATATATTTTAAGCTAAATTTATCTTTAAAAATAATTATTTCGTAAAAAGATTCTTAAAAATCTATGATAAAGCTTTGTTATTCCAATGAAAATTCTATTCCTCCTCTTAATCTATATCAATTATCAGTTCATTTTATGATTAAATTTGTTACATGTAATACTATTTGTTCCAATTATAAGTTCCATTTCTTACACAAACATTTTAATCCAATTATTAATTCATACTCCTTCATTTTTTCTAAAAAGCAGTTTTTGATGAATTTAGATGGAAGGTTACACCCTAAGGTACCGCAAGTACTTGCGGTACTTAGGCTTGAGGTACCTTGGCCGGCTAGGAGCACGCACTCGCACCCATTGAAATCTATCTCTGCTGATCATTACTCTAATATGCTAACACTAAGTATGTCAACTATAAGATCTAATGCGTAACATACTCCGGATTTTTAAGACTAATTTCATGTGAAATTTAGCATTCATGTAGACAGATATAATTTAAAAGAAAGTATAATTTATAAAATTCAATGCTAATATTTACGTCAAATAATCACAAGGATAAGATACAATTAAAATTTCAAAATCCAATAAATAGTTAAAAATCTAAAACAATAATCATACAATATAAAGCATAAAAATATTAATTTAGTTTGTAATTTTTAATCAAGAGTTGAAAATTAATTTCTATGTTTGTCACTTTTATTCTAACAACAAGCTACAATAATATTTATATTATAAAATTAAAATGGCACGGATACAAACCATCAAAAATGCTTCAGTTTTGTATCCTAAAATTTTTTTTAATTTTATAAATATTTAAAGTATTCTGAACTGAATTTTCCACATATTCATTACCGTATTATTACGTACACGCCGATTTTAGTTTCATTTCTGGACACGGTAGGCTACCGGACGGAGGAGTTACTTAAATCGTCAAAATAATGGTCAATATAAAGTGGATTTCTAATTTTTCAACACAAAGTGTCTGCTAAAAATCAAGTCTAATCAGTATAAAATCCAAACCAATTATTCAATCCTTCTCTCTTCTCATAAATTAAATTTAAAGCTAATTGTTTTAAATTCATCTTTTTGATATTATTTGCTTTCAATATCCTTGAAGAAAAAATTTCCATCCTTTTTTGTATTAACTCTGCAAATTCCATTTCAGAAACCTTCTTTGCTTCATTAAAAAGTTTTAGACCAACTAACCAATATTTACAATATTGGAGTTTGACATTTCTAAAATTTATATTTATTAGTCGGAATTTAACAAATTTAAGTTTAACATACAAAAATTCACTTAAGGGGAGATACAGTTTCGATGCCTAACGGCAGTTGGTGAAATTTTCTTTACCGTTATCCCTGAATAAACCTTAACAGGGGTGATTGTGCAAGTCCACCCCTGAAGACCTACACTCCGTAGACCTACACACTGAAGACCTATTGACCTTGATGACCTACACCCTCAATTACCCTGAAGACCTACAACTTTTTTCATCAACACAGATTTTTTAATTTTAATTTTTTCAAGTTTAATCAAAGGATTATAAAAAGGTGACTTGGAAGGATTAAAGGCGATATCGGTGGATTTGGAGGGATTAAATGGGGGTAAAGGCGGACATGCCATCCTTTATTTCAGCTTGTTACGAGTTATTAAATCTTTTTTACTTTGGATTTTTTCTTTTGCACTCTTGAGTAGTCCAAGAATGCCCTATATGAGAATACTTAATTAATTGAGGCTCTTCTTCAATTGTAGTAATTAATTGTATCCGTAATCTACTCTCAACATTATTACAAAATTTATCCCCAACATTTTTATGAATTGCTGCACATTCAATTATAATAAAATGTTCATACTTAAAATAAATTTAATTTAAATGTGATTAATTAATAATTACATTCAATTTGAAATCAATCCCCGAAAGCCACTTTTCCCAATATCCTTTGATCGCCTTTCTTTTTTGTCCTGCATTGTATACTTCTCTAAGTTGTTTTAGGCCTTAATTTTTATTCTTTCGATCAGATTACTTGATTTATTTGGTTCGGAATAAATGTATAATTTAGTGATCACTCATGTTTAAACGCTCACCCGGAAAATAATGGTGAGGATAATGTCCAGAGTTAGCAAGTACACTTGCATGTATGTTTAGACAATGTGAATACACAAAGGCCAGGAGGTATACCAGGGATCTAGTCGACCCGATTCCCAAAAATGGGGAATTCCCGAAGTTTACTTGGGCGGGAATCTCTATTCCCGAAAATCCGGAATTAAATTTTTGTCGGCTAGACCCCTGATGTAAACGGAGGATAATGGGATCCTTGTGTAAAGAAGTATGGACATAATAATTATTATTCTTTAATACCTAACATTAATTTTCAACATTAAAATTTTTAATCAAATTAACCTAAAGTCATTGTTTCCATAATTATTTGTTTTGTAGAATTATTTATATTAAAACCAACAGATTGTTCAGGATAAGAACATGATATTATTGGAATAACAAGGTTCATGTGTTTAGTTAATCTATTAGCATTTAATCCTAACCACTCTTTACTTTCAATATCTATCAATTTATTGTAAAAGTCTGAACGATCTACGCGTTCTCTTGTTGGTATCCATCCGGGTTCTTTTAAGTTAATTTTATTTAAATGAAATATTGCTGGCCAATTCCTTAAAAGTATTCTTTTAAATTGTAATTTTGGCTATTGTCCAGTTAAACATCCAATCGAGTTACACATCCAACCTTTACGCATCCAATCAAGTATGCATCCAATAAACGGTTTATACCAGGGATATCATGTGTTACCCGAAACCCGGTCTTTTTTCAACCACAAACCCAATCTGAAGGAAGTTTTGCATGTTACTATAACTCTATTGATAGAGCTGTCTATTCCCATAGATTTTATAGTACTTGAGTGCAGAACCGTGTACAGACCGCCTTTGATTCGACGCATAAAATTTGGTTGGGCTTTGATTGAATGTGGTGCAAATGGACCCATAATTTGTACAGGACCCAAAATTTTCTATAAAATAATTTTAAAAATTTCCCAACCACGTTAAAAATGTCAGAAAAATTCTTTGTAAAAGAACATGTAAATTAGCATTTGGATATAATAAATAAATTTTTGAAATAAAAATTGAGAGAATTGATCCACTTAGAAAACCAAATATATTTCCATAAATTGAACTATCTAAAAAATTTTTTGATTGAAAATTCAAAAAAATTATTTTTTTACTTTTCGCCCATATTTTCATAGCAATAATTGCGAAACGAAAATTTTTAGTCCTTAAATCTTCTTTTGGAATTTTTTCCAAAATAAATTCATTTGCTTTATAACTAGCTAAAGGTAATATTTTTCTGTCTCCAATAGCTAAATTCTTTTCATCTTCCAAAACTTTTTCGATCCAATTTGGAGTATTTGGGATTTCTGTAGGCAGTAATATCAACGCAATATCAAAGTCAATGTTTGAATAATTTAGTTCGATTAATGGAATTCTTGTATTAACTTTTTGAATATTTTTTACATTATCCAACTAAATAAATATTTTTAAAATTGAATTTAAATTATTATTAATTTATCTAATCCTCATTATAATCCCAACATTAATATCTATATTCAACAGGTTTGGAAGAAATCAGATCAAATTTAATCAAATATGTAGTACTATAGAATAATTAAACGATAAATTCCTAGCAGGTTACCGAGGAAATGGCTTTTTGAATGGCTTTTTGATAGGGCACTATTTGAGCTCCCGAAAGGGGGGGGGTGGGGGAAAGGGGGCAGAAAGGGGATAGTGCCCCCTCAAATAGTGCCCCTAAAAAAGGTGCACTATTTGAGCTCCCGAAACCTGTGCGTGGCTTTTGTAGCTAACTCACTCCGAGGCGAGAACCGAAGCTAGCTACAAAACGCCCAAGTTTCAGTCCAGTCACCGAATATTTTTGATAATACCTTGCATAATATACAGTAGAGAGAGTTATCATTGCATTTTTTATCTTTACAAACGGATCTTTCTGTTCCAATAAATTTCAACATTCCTTCAAAATCATTTTCATTTAAGACAATCATTAGATCTACATCTGTCTCGATAGTATCAATTCCAAACATATAAGAACCCCCAACTAATAATTTTATTTTTCTCTGAATATTTCTTGCCCATTCAAAGATAGTTGATCTGATGGATTTTAAACAATTTTTAACCAATTCTGGATGTCTAAGTTGGGTTTCCAATAAATATTCGAGCTAAAATTTAATAAATAATTATATTAAAAAATTTATTTGAACCTCTTCACTTGTGATATCTTCACTTTTGTCATCAAAATTAATTTGTTGGAAAGGTTCTGGTTGGACATAATTTGGATTATCATAATTAAGAATGTCTTGATTATCTAAATATTTCAATTATTATATCACTTTATTTTTTCAATTCATTGAAATTATGCTGTAATTTTAATAGTTAAATTACACTATCCACGCTCTGACCTATGTCAGTAACGATTTTGTGATAATCTTGGCCCATACTACAATAAAGAACCACACAAGGTCATGGTTAACATACGACTGCCCTATACCTAATCAAATCCTTTTGATTAAGGGACAGGCCCAGGATAACTCAAAGTATTATAAAGCTTGAACTCTAATTAAGCTCTCATCAATGCACTTTCTGTATATTATTTTAGCAAATTAATTTATTTGGTCAGCTAAAAGCTAGCTAATAAAAATTGTTATTCCCTTCAGTCCTAGATGTGATTGCTATTGTTGCTATAGACATATCAACATATCCTTTATTTAAGCTAAATAAATAAGCCAAAACATAGCCTCTATTTATGAATAATATATTTATTATTTCAGAAAAAATAAAGTACCTATAAATCTTTGATTTTTCATCATTTTCCAATCACTCAAATATTTATCAACATTTTCAATTATTTTATTTTGCTCCAAAATTAGCCCTTTATCGAAAAGTATGCCAACAATTTTATTTTTGTGTTTCTTTCCAATACCTTCCCAGATCGAATAATATTCATCATTTACTTGATCATAAGCTTGATCTGCACTTTCCACAAGCATTTTATGATTTAATTGTTTTCTAACAATATTAATTTCCTCCAGATCAGCACGTCCATTATGCCTTCCATCCCAAATACCTTCTACAACATAAATTAATTCTTTTAGTAATTTGTGTAAATTAATCTCAAATTCATTTAAATTTTCTATTAAATTTAAAGAAAGCACACTTTCTTTAAATTTATTTAATTTTTCCATTAATTTGTTCAAAGCTTTATTATCTTTATTTTCCCCTTTTAATAAAAACATTGCGTCATATATTATTGGCCATTCATTTTTTACTTCTTCTAACCATTTAAAACGATTTGAGATTTCATAAATATAAACGGCTATATTTAATTGTTTACGCATCTCATCTGATGGCGCCTTAAATTTTTTACGTGTACTATCCTGTCTGATAAAATAATATTGGGATACTAAGGTATAATAGCGCTAGCTTCTAGTTACTACATTCTCTGTTATACATTCTCTATCTTGTGTGTTTTACGTAAAATAATAACGGAAAAACGCTAATTTAGGAGATAATGATTAAGAAAAATCAAGCGTGTATTGTTATATGATTTGATCATATACTACTTTAATTTTTGCATAGTTGAATATGCCTCGTCATAACAGCTAAACCTGAGGATGGGTACAATGATAATTTACAATTTTGAGTGGAACAGCATGCAGATTAGGGCGGAAAACGACTGTTTCAGGACTTGTGGGTTTCTCAATGAAACTGAAGCACTAAAATACCAAAAATAACTTAGCAACTATTAATTTAAATTATCCACCTCTATAAATTCGCCATACAATTTTATCAAATTTCTTTTTTCCACAAAACTTATCAAATTTTCTTTTAACACCAAACTATCATTTTTGGTTTTATTTTCTCTTCTAGCTTTTTGATTTATTCTTTTTTGTAAATTTCTCCATGATTTTTTGAAATTTTGACTGTTATTTTCACTAATTTGTGATTGCTCGGATTCCTCAGATTCCTCTAGATCTTGGCTATTTTTTAACTCCAAAATGTGATTTTCTGGCATTCTGTCTGATTTTTCTCGCTCATTTTGTTGGCTATCACATTCTTTTTCTTTCTGATCACTTTCTATCAATTTAATTGAATTATCGTCCCGATTATCTACATCCGGGTTGTTCACTTCTACCTTCGTTTTTGCCTCCTTCTTTTTACCTTTTTTATTAATTTTAGCCTTTTTGGTTACTACTTTATCCTTTTTATCCCACATTTTATCGTTTAATACATTTTCCCATTTTTTATCATTTTTATCTTTAGCAATAGGCATTTCCCTTTTGATTAATTCAAAAATTTCAAATATAGCATCCTGAGGAATGAATATAGATAGATACAGTCGAGATTCACCGACTAGTTCCATTTCTAAAATAATATAACGTAGTTCCTTTGATGACTCCCTCCACTTAGATGCCCCTTCGGAAGGTGGTTGTCCTTTTTGTAAGGTGGTTATCCCCCTTTGGAAGGTCTTTGCTGAAAATATATTTCATTGCGTTTGATCAGAGGAGATACAGCAATTAGTCTTTTGTTGGTGATTTTTAATGTAAAGGATATACATATTTTCACTTTCGAAAATCAAAATATAGTAGTAACTATAATAAAATTTATGGGAGTGGGGCTTTAATTCATTTTAGAGCTCTATTATATGGTAAATTTACTTTTTGCCAATTTTTTCCGAAAATCAGCATAAGCGTCCTTCTTCATAAACTCTTTTATCTGTATTAAATGTTGAATCTTTAACCATTTTATAAATTCTATCGTGTTTGCTTCGGTATCTCTTGCAATCCAACGTCCATATTCAATTATATTCACGAATTCTATGACAAATTGCTTTGGATCAGTTATTTTTTCATTCAATAGTTTCTAGATAAAATAATAATAAATTATCCTTTAAAAAATATAGTACGGCTAGAATATCGAATTCTAACAGAGTCTGTCGTCGAATTCTGGCAGCAGGCATTCTTAATCTTCGCCTTATCCGCCTCCTACTGGTACCTAACTAGTAGACTAAAGGATATTGACTAAATATGTTGAATTTCTTTATAGTCATCCCTAGGAAACGGCCAAGAAGGGCACAAAGACTCTCGATCTATCTCCAATTCCCTCTTAATACACCGAGTGATCAGTTGAGAGATCCGTTAAATTATCTCCGTTTACCTAAAGTTAAAGGTTTACCTAGAGTTAAGCTTTAATACATTTGCATACCTTCTGACCAGGATCCACACTTTCTGACATTTTTAACTCCAATAAATATTTTTGAGCTTCGAACCACCCTAAAAACATATGGATCCCATCAGCTAATTCAAAAGTATTATCAATGTAAAATATTGTGTCATATCGTCTATGAATTTTAAGTTTAGAGCTTTCCCATGCCGTCTTTATTTGATTTCTAATTTTACAACATCCCCATGTTTGATTCTTTCCACGTCTATTGCAACATTTTTCATGAATTTTATTATCCATCCATGTATACCACACAAATAAATGTGCAGATAACTGATTTTTTCCTTTTATCATACGATTTCTTGTGCCCAATGAGGCTTGATAGTGGTTTGCTAATTGTTCTTTACTTCGATAAACTTAATTAGTTTAAAATTAGAATTGTAATAAAAACTGTTAGAGGGACTAAGTATGAATGTATAATACAGATTTATCTGACCCAATTCCTGAATATCGCGAATTCTTGACCTTTTTTGGTTCAGGAATCATGATTCTTGAAATTGTGAATTCGAATTTTCTCGCAAATTATTGATTTTTTAAAATGTCTGCTAGATCCCTGATCGGAATTCCAATTTCCGACGTTTCTTCCTCCCGGTTTCCGAGTTCAGACTTTCAAGCAACTTTTGATTTCCGACAGTTTCGATTTCCGGCACCTTCGTCATTTTTGATTCACCTCTGATATGTGTGCATACATTATGTAACACTGATTTATCTGACATGATTCTCGAAGATCGCGATGACCCGATTCTCCCTCCCCCTCCCCTAGACTATGTATGGATGACTTGTAAATTAAATTGGAGGATTCAAAATTGATCAAATGATTATAAGCTTTCTTAATCGAGTTGCTAGACTTGCTGTACTTTTGGACAGCGAAAACCATAACTGATAATCTCGAATTAAGATTAACATACTTTTGTAGTCAATAAGTCCAAACTTATCACAAAATTTTCTGTATTCTTTATCATCGTCTAACAAATAAGATATCCTGATTTTATGGCCAAGCTCATTCGTCAATCTTTTTCTCAGTTCCGGATCCTTTTCAATTTTATCAGATAAATATCTGATATGCTCTTCTCTAAGAATTTCTCTGTATTGTCTTATCCTTGCTTTAAGCTCATCATCATCATTTAAGTCTTTCATTGTTATACTATTCCCTAATAAAGCTATTATTTTATCCCAATCGTCTTTTACGACCAAATCAAATATTTTGTTTTTAAACAAGTTTATGGCTTCAACCAAAATATTTAGGGAGCATAAATGAGGCAATGTCATATAAATATAATATTTAATATTCCCAATTAATTGTAGTATTATTTTTAATACATCATTATTAGCGTGACGCAAAGTTAATATCAAGGTTTCCTCGTATGTAACCAATTTGTTAAATAAAAGTGATTTTGCCAGTCTAATTTCGAGATTAATATCTTGATCGTTGCTTCTTGTTTCTATTTCTTTATTTTCCCCATTTTCCAGATCATCATTAATAATCTCATAATTGAGACCAAGTAATTCTTTATATAGATACCAACGATAATTCTCCTCCATATTCCCTATAAATAACTTGATTATGTTGCAATCCCTCAAATAATTGCCCCCTCCTCCTCTACATAATAATTTCCCCGCCCCTTTAATAATTTCTCCTGACCCTTTTTATTACCTACTTTGGTTATTGGTAGAAATAATAATCACCATTAAAATTATCCTTTCTATTATTCGGTTTAAGGAAGAATCTTGTTTCCCAAGAACCTAAAAATTATCGTTATGCATAGAAGAACCACTTCCCATTGAGTGCTTAAGTTTACTGTAGACATGAAGGCAGGGTGTTTTACCATCACTTGCGCTTGATTAATAAACGGAGGATGGCTGAGTGACTACAACCTTTAAACTATTCTTACAAGTTTTGAGAGTGCCTCCGTCTACCTCATCAGTCAACTCAATTAATAAATCTTTAAATTCCCTTACATATTTCCAAAATTTCTGCAAATTCTGTCTCAAATTCCCCAAAATTTCTTGGGCCAAGTAAATGAAAAAGTTTAGTTTTTGATAAACTTTCACGCAAAAATTCAACAAATGAGCCTGACATTCCAATTAATTCTTCTATATTTTTTCTGTGTATTTCTTGTATTTGTTCAAGACGGTCATCTCCATTAATATAGAGTTCGGCTATCTTTTTCACTTGTTTTTTATTTGAGCAATTAATTTCAATTGGTTGTAATTGGTGAAAAATTGACGAATCGGCTTCCTTAAAAAAGTAGAAAAATTTTATTTAGATACAGTCGGATTTCTTTTGTACGTCAGAAACTTAATGTGTCAGTGAGTACGAGGTGATGAACACTAGTGGGCATTGTACATTTTTCGCACCCCTCTACAACTTTTTTTCAAGACTGGACTCCGGCTCTGCTTATGGTATGTCAAATTTTAGTTGAACCATACCCAGCACTGGTACGAAGTGAGGTCCTACCGTACTACAATTACAGTTAATAATAGTCAGTGCTGAAGTATAGATCGTTTCGTTTGATTTCCGAAAATCAAAAATACAAAATCATCTTTTCCTCTACGAATCCGTTTTTGTATCGGTGTGATTCCTACGTATAGTAAGACGTAAGAAAAAAATATTTTTCTCTTAGGTTAAAATCAAGAAGCTGGACAGATTCTCCCAAACATCCAAACTCTCTGAACATATTCAGAAAAAACCTACAATAATTGGCAATCCCAACGTCGTATTCATAATTGAACTCCACATTAAACTCTCATTTAAAATTGAATCATTAGCCCATTTAGTAACAAAAGAGTGTACTAAACAAAGTCTTTTACGCAAATTTTCTTCCTTCAGCTCCTTCATATTTAACAATTTTTGACCGTTCAGTAAAAATTCTTTATATCTGGCACCTATTTCATCAGTTATCTTAATTTCCCCTCGATAACCCGAAGTATTTAATAATTCACCAAAATGTTCTATAACGTCATTATCTGTTAAAACCTCATCTCCCCTCACTGTAAAATCTTCTATAAAGCTTCTATAACGCCAAAAAACTGCTTCCAATATAAACGAATTATTATATTTAATTTCAAAATTTAATTCATTTTCTTCTGTTATTTCACTTTCTGATGAAGTTGGATTTTCCAGTTTATGTTGATATAAATGAATTAAATTAAGTGTATGTTTATCGGTTGGTTCTTCACACATGTCGGCGATGTTTAGCTTTAAATTTTTCAAATTAAATTTGGTTTTTGACTTTCCTTCGACACTTCATAAGGGAAATTTTTTAAGTAATCATTACTTCAACAGACAATCATCTCAGCCCTCTTACATTACTTCATGTAGCCTAGGAACTTAAATCCAATCCTCATAAATATAGTTCCATATGCTCGAATAGTTACCATCTCTCAAATAATTATCCTTCTCAAATAATCATCCTCTCTCTATTAATTACTACCTCAAGCGAGAGGTTGAAACATGATTACCCAGGGTAATTATTTGATCATACATGGGGGGGGGGGGTAATGCATAATAATATGACTCTGATAAAGGACTAAGTCAAATGAGTCTTATATTAAGCCTGAAGACATTCTATTAAAATGTTATTCTAGTAAAAGACCTGAGGTCTGTGATTTTTTACTCAAAGATATACTTTCAATACTTAATATTGTTTAATTACCTTAATAAAATTCTCAGGATTTTTTTCAAAGTATTCACCAAGCTTATTATTTTCTTTACTCATTTCTTTCAATTCACTATCAACTTTACTTTCATGTTCATTAGCGTTCTATAAAACAAAATATTATTTTGAATAATTTGAATAATAAAATTTTGCTCAAAAAATCTTTGGTACTAGTTCCCTATTTGGACATATCCAAGTTTGATATAGCCGAATTAATCCATTTTATCCACGCATATTTAATCAACTTTAATTTCTATAAGACTTCCACCGAACTATAAGTCTTAGGGGGAAGTCTTTTTATAAGACTTCCCCCTAAGACTTCGCCCTGATCCCCGTACCGCCTTCCCGTCATAGATTTGATTTTATTATTATAGTTAAGGTATTTTTAAGTACCTGCATTTTTTCAATATCTTCAAATATTTTAAAGAATCTTGCATTATATTTAGTCAAAGGAATATCATATTCATTTAATTTTTTACGTAACATTTTAAGAAAATTATAACCCCCATTGAATGTTGATGCTTCTAAGCTTCCTTTTTTAATTCCTTTTGCTGCTAAAATATTTTAAATAATTTTTTTACTACGAGTTTTTAGTCAAATTTGACCTAGACTCAGTGTTCGATCTTGTTTCTGAACGAATTTTTCAGTAAATTTTCAAAAATATTTGAAGTTTTCTGAATTAGAACTTATGATATGTTCGATAAAGATTGCCAAAATTAATTATGGTCCACTTACGTTAGTGGATTCTAAAAGGCAAAAATCAAAAAGTTAAATGAAATTTTTAGATTTAATTTTACATAAGATTATAGATTTGATTTTATGTATATAAAAATTATACTTAGAGTGAGCACACCCCAACCTACCGCGAGCCCAACCTACCGCCGAGGCTATAACTTCGTTCCAAATTGTCGAATCTGAGACAACTTGGTAGGTTTGGATTCAGCTCGTAGAGGCGTATCGCTCAATACCAAGACATCCCAGATTCGACAATGCTGAAACAAGTTATAACCTCGGCGGTAGGTTGGGCTTCGGTAGTGTATATTGGATCCGGATAGCCTTATTTGCTAACCATCATTCTCATTTATGTAATCGCCAAGAATGCTGACATTCATATTCTCAATGTATTCAAAATATATTTTTGAAAATTTTTCTTTATCTTCTTTAATTTTAATAATTTTTTCTTCTTCAAAATTGCATATCTTTCTTTCTATACAATTTATATAAACTTTAGCCACCCCTATTTGCTTCGCCGACATATTTAAATTTTTAACATCCTTTGTAGAATCCGCAAAAATTAAATTTCTAATTTTAAAATTTCTCCATTCAACGTTTCCTTTTAGTTCTCCTTGCAATTCTAATGAATACAGAAAATTTAAAATGCTTATTGAATTTGCTGTAATATCATAATCTTTGCTCGTATTCCATTCATTATAAAAATAGTATATTTGATCTTTAAGTTCGTCAACATCTTAAAATTTTATTTTTAATTAAGTTGTTGTCCAGCTTATGTTTCCCATTTGGAAGGATACTATAAATTTAATCGCTTTTATAAACACCAGATTTTGTATTTTCCTGATCAATTAGCCCCTCGAGTAATTAACCATTCAAGAATGGAATTATAACGTCTTCAATTTGATGATCACAGTGATGATCAACTTAGGAAGAATAATAGAGAAGACGATGCTTACACCCACTGAAGTTGTAAACTTTGTTTCAATTAGTTATCGGACTGGGATCGTCGTATGAGAAGCGAGATCTTGAAAAATTTTCGATCTCGAGAACCGAGATTTTTGATCGAGATCTCGTCAATTCGGTCTCTAGTTTCCATGCTTCGGTTTTCACAATGATCCAAAGAGCTTGTTGATTTAAATCATTAAAAACCCCTTTACAAGTCTTTTTTCAAATAAAATTATAGGGATATATCAGATTTTTAGGCCAACTAAATCTTCTGTGGATTATAAAATTTGAAGGAGCTTTAAACTATAATTATGAGTTTGACAACATTAAATTTTTCTTTCATTGTCAACCCTTTAATGTTTTCCAAATTGAATTACAGGAATATGTAAATCAGACTCTTCTTAGGTCAACTAAATTTTCTTTTGATTATAACTCTTGAAGGAGCTTTAAACTATGATTATAAGACCTTAACAAACTTACTAAAATCAAAAATTCTCAACAATTGTTTATAATTACTCTCAACATTTGCCAATCCAAGAAAAAATTCTACAAGTCTATGTTTAGCCCCCCACTGCCTCAACAACTTTAATTGCACTCTTCTCTCATAATTTAAAATTTCTTTCAAATGTTCTGACAAAATTAACATTCTGACTTCAATTAATTTATCAGTTTCAATTAAATTTATGCCAATTTCATTCCCATTAATTATTTGAATTAATTCGTATAATTCACAAATAATTTCAAAAAGCTCGTTATTTGACCATTTTTTATCCTCATTTATTTTATTAAATATGTATTTTTCTCCAATATTTATTAATATTTTAAACTGATTTTTAAAATTATTATTTCCCATAACTTCCAATATTTGATCAACTATTTTTAATAAAATTGGGTAGGTTAAATTAAATTCGGCTAATATGGTTTCGCCTTCTTTATATTTATTATTTAATAGTTTGATGTAGTAGGGTAATGGTTTGATTAGTTTATCTGAATTAAATAAATGATCAGATTATAGAGATTTGTAAGAGATTTTATAATTATATTATAGAGATTTTTAAGTTTTTGGCTCGAGCATCTCGAGGTTATTATCTCTTTGAAATGCTTGTTAAAAACTCCAATACCAAGAATAAAAGATCTAGAATCTTGGATCCTCCCTCTCCTCGAAAGTACTATAGGACCTGTAGAGTTACTTATTAGGGTTGGGGTTTTTGAGACGGGCCGACGGTCTAGTCATCGTGGTCCCATGTTCGAGCCATCGAACGTCGTCAGACCGGTCGACATTCGGGAGGGGGTTCGAATAGTTCAGTGGGGAGGCGACGTTCGTGTCATTTATTTTTATCGGACCAGACTGACCAAGTCTTTTTGGGCTAAAATTTGATGCCCTACTCATCTTTCGGACTCGGCTCCAAACCCTATTACTTAAGTTCCGAATAAATGACTCTCGTGCTGCACAGAATTTTCCACTGTTATACATTTAACAATTGAATTTACATTAAAAACACGTAATCCGATTCCTATTTTCAAAAAAATATCGTTTAATATTCCTACATTTTTGTTCATTTGCAGATTTAAAAATTATATTTGAATCAAAAATGTGTTTCTCATTTAATTGTTTTTCCAATTCTCGTTCAATTCTTGTTCCAAATTTACTAATCCCTCCTCCATTATTCAAAATCCCTTTTTTAATAAAATTAAGATGTCCAATAATTATATCATATTCTTGTTGAGAAGCATTTGGGTAGCCTATTACAAAATTCATATTATGAATTTTTGTTTTACCTTTTTCGATTCCTTTTTTAATCTGCCTATAAAATATACATTTAATGCATTTTTGTGAATTTTTTGTGAATTTTTAAATCATAGCTATTCGGATTTGAACGATTTTAGTTAACTCAAATTATCACAAAACAACTAAAAACTTAGAGAGACTTATCTGGATTAAAAATTCTCGTCTAAAGATCATGACCAGGGCTGGACGCAATTGCGAATTGCGTAGAATTGCCTGTTTATTTGATTAGGACTAATTAGGGTATTTGATCAGGACTGATCAAGACTAACCCCTGATTAGAACTAACTATGGTTGGATCCTGCCGCATTCTAAAAATCGTAAGACAGAAGATTGGAAGTCGAAGAGAATTTCGAAATCTAGAACAAAATTAAGACAACCAAGAGTTAGAAACTGAGTTAGACCATCGTTAAGACCCAGCCCAACACATAGGTTACGAATGTTAATATACTGCCATCTAATAATTTTTTAAGAAAAATTTGATCATCGATAATATTGTGAAATATTTCTCGAAAAATTCCATTGAGAATTTTTGGATAACAATATGAGAATTTTTTATTCCAAATAATACATACCTAAATGTACTAAATAATTTCCAGTCTAAATCAACACTTTCTTTATTGTTATTTATAACGACCCCATCCATTGATCTCACTGCGCTCATTGTACTTTCCCAATGTCCATCCTCATTCAAATTTATTTTCTTTTCTTGAGATAGTTTTTCTATTTCAGAAATTTCATTGCCAATTTCATTTATTAGTATCAAATGATTAGCTTTACAAATATTTGAAGTGAGTTTTTGAGGATCGTTGTTGTCTTCCGAGGAAAATATTTTGGTATAAACATCATTAATTCTTGCTGAATAATTTTTTAAGAATATAATATATTTATTAAAATAATTTTTAAATAAATTTGTATAAATTGTAAATGAGACTATAGCTGTCTGTAAATTGGAGTTATAAAAATTGACACATGTAGGTTTATGATCAGAGTTGCCTTACAACTTTATAGTTTTTTTGAAAACCTGGACCTAATCCGTCCTTCATTGTACGTCCTTCAAAG